TTAAAAAAATTACTTTCATTTAAAGTTTTTCTCAGTCTCAAATGAAGCAAAGAATTAGTATAATATTCGACCGAGGAACAAAGAGGAGTAGAAGAGCTTATTCATCTCAAGAAACTTCAGCCCGCAAAACAGGATCTACTAAATCAAATATTAATCAGCTACCAAATTAGTGGTTAGTTCTCTGTTATTCGCAGAAGATTCATTAGAATTTGTACAATTATTCTAACCCTTTGGTCTTGGCTTACATTTAAGTGATATAATAATTGTGTAATCCGAAAACGTCGCGTTGTAATTCCTTTGCCAATTACAGAACATCCTTCATCTTTACAATTAGGGGACATTTTAATTAAATTTCCTTCACCTGTTTTGATGTGGGTTGGCACCAGTCTAAATAAATGTACACCCTTGTTCTGGATAATTCAATTAGTGAGTTTACAAGGTATATATTATTTAGTATATGTTGCAAATAAACACTGAAATATTTTAAAAAATTGCTCATCTAAAATTAAAAACACTTTTTTGGAACTCAAATTTTTTAGTTGGGAAAATTTACGCTCACTCTGTAGACCGAATGCAAGCTTCATTGTTCTTCGATATTCTAACCTGGTTAAGCTGAGCCATATAAATCATCTCGTAAAAATAAACCAAATTTACACCATACATCATATTTTAATGTAAATTTACTGCTAGAAACCCGCTGCAGAGCAAGTTAAGACATTTAACAAAGTATGGACCGGTCACGGCGACGATTACATCAACTTTATAATAGAGTTCGCGAAAAACTTTAAATTAGTTTGTCTACAGGAAAATTTATGGTATTCCATATAGAGAGTTTGAATTAAAAAAGAACTGTCTTCTTGGTTGACATGAACAAATTGGCAATTTGTTTTCTGACCATTCCTGTCGCATGAAGGTACTACATTGTTAGATTCTCTCTGGATATGACTAAGAACGAAACAAAGCTAGATCCAGGGTAAGTAATTGAAAATGTACAAGATTGGCCGGAAATGAAATTTACTATACGATGTTTTTTGAGGTAGTCAAAAATGAGCATATGTTTATTTTTTACCTAAAACATAGAGAAAGAGTCTTTTTTTGCTATATTCTTTTTGTTGGTAGTGTGCTTTACTCTAATGAAAATAGGGTCTCCTTCTTGGCGACAACAGCAGTAATATATCTGTCACATTTGCTATGAAATGTTTTCATGTCACATAACATGTCCAATTTCCTTCGTTACTTAAGGAAATTTTATTTTTAAATTTAGTAAACAATAAAATAATATATTTTAAATTGCTATAACAATCTTCTAACTTTATTGGGTTGACTGTCTTTAGAGAAAAAGATAATTCATATGTAATAGCGAGTTTATTTTAAAGAATACATTGTTAAGATTTAAAGTAGAGTAAATGGTTTTGTTTCAGTTTTTATAGATAATAAAGGATTTTGCTTTGTCATTAAAATATCTCTCGTAAATCGCTAACGAGACTGCCATTTCCATTCATATTTTAATAGCCTAGGGATAATGCTAGTTACGGTAATCCACTGCCATTGTCAATGATAAAATGTGGTTAGAAAATAGTAGGTATGTGACCTAAATAAAATAATTCATTGCAATGGTCTGCATTATCTTCATACATATATGCATTTGAGACCGCAAATGGCGTGTTAGCATTTTCTTTGCCAATAAATCTCTTAAAATAAATAAAGTAAATAAATTCATATTATTGAGTGAAGTACTTACTAGATATCATGAATATTTGTAAAGATATTCTCAAAAGGCAACAACTTTTTTAGAAAACAAAAATAAACTAATTATTATTTAAATGAACGAAAGACGTTAGTTGTCGATGGGTGCATACTTTTAGAAGAGTATAAGAGTCAAACTGAAGAAAAATCCAATCTAGAGCACATTATTGTGTCATCATATTCTGAGCACACTATTCTGATATGTTGGTATATTTAAATGTATGTAAATAAAAATAAACTTTGATAATCTTTACATTCATTGTTTTTTGTTCATATTAGGGAAGATCATTTTGTTTAAATTTAAATTCCAGTCGATCCTCAAAAACGCAACAGGTGAAGTATCTCTATAGATTTTTATATTTAAATCTATATGAAAAGGACTACAGTTCTCCTTTTACACTTTTACTCATTGTCAATATTTATTGAAATATACAGAATATAAAATACCAGCTGTCTAATAAGGAGCTAGAATTATCATATACCCAGATCACCGTGCATTCAACTAAATATGGAAGAAATTTTTATCAGAAAGAAACGTATGCGGTATAAAAAATGGAACTGAAAAATATCACAAATCAACAGTAATTTGAAATACATATATCCGAAATAAAACATAATTTTACAAATTCTAAGTATTGTTATCGCATGGAGCAGAAACTAACAATTTGTAATTCATCCATAATCTCCTTTTTATCGTACGATGAATTAAAATTAGTTTAAATGCGAATTAAGATGCTCAATTATTATCTGAAAAAAATATTTGTATATAATTGAATTAGATTAAAAAATTTAAAGATATGGCGAATGCGCCGGGGGTTTTACATTTATAAATGTCAGCTCCAATGTAAGATTCTGTTGACAAAATAAAGTGAAACAAGTCTTAATCAGGTGTTACTCCTTCTCAAAAAGTATCATACTAAGAAAAAATCTATTTCTAGAGATATTTCTAAAACCAAAAATCCAAATTTCATTATAAATACTTCAAAAATAATATTTTGGCTCATCGAGAAAGGATACTAGTTACACTATATTGACCATATATAATTACAATTTTTATTCTATACAATTTAGGAAAAAAAATAATGGAAATCTGCTTAACTTTGAATAAAAAGTTTTATTGATTGAAAATGAAAAAATCTAACCGTTTTTAATAAATCAAATTGGTATCACATACCACACTGAACATTTTTTTGGGGGTAAAGTAAAGAAATTTACGTCATATTTACTTCACCAATAAAGTACAACCACTACCCTCTACCGATCACTACAAAACTGAAATCTTTTGAAATTCTCGCTTTTAAAAATACGTTTCCTGATATTTTCGACTTAATTGATGCATCATCTACCTCGAAGACCCCTTCAAAATCACACTAAATTTATTTTGATATTTAATATGAACATTGCACGATGAACTAGTGTCCCACAGAATTCGTCTTGATGTCATATTTGACATTCATTCCGCAAAATCTGTTGAATATAAAAAGAAATATGGATAACTATTGTCAGCTTAGTAGTATAAAATGTACAACCTTTATATTTCCGAGCTTTTTCATCATTCTTTTTTTCCAGGTCAGGATAATTTACAGCCTGTCACTTGAGGAAAAGTAGACTTTTGAATAGCGAGAAATTTTACAAATCTCCAAGGTAATTTATAACGAATGGGTTAGAGTTTTTCATACACCCCAGTTGCAACGTTTCTTGTTACTACCAAAGATAAATTCGTAAAAATTCAATGTTTAAGAAAAAATACATTTTTCTAATTAGTAATTTGCCACACCAATTTGCTGGAAAAGATAAAAAATGTATGTGACTGCAGTGACATATAAATATAAGCTTTTACTTTAACATATTTTTGCCTTACCAGCTTTATGCAACCGTTGGTGCAGATACCTGTAAAAATAATAGAATAATGTTAATCGTTTAGAAACATAGCCGGTATTTACGTCTATTGGTATCAATATGTTTTACTTTTATCTTTTTCAAATAACGTAGAATTTGTAGGTCAAATTTTTCATTGTTTTTTAATCAAACTGGTAATGATTACATGTACCAGTTTAATACATTTTTAAAAGCCTTGTTTATAAAAGAAATGCTTGTTTATTAAGCATTTAACTTATGCAACCAATAATATTGTTAATCGTTATACTGTTTATCTATCAACAGATTTAACTTATTTCGCAAATCCTAGTAAGGTTCTTTTATTTCATAAGTAGAGTTTTATTAGATTTGCTTTATATTTTATTATACAAAACGCCTCTATGTCTCAGCTTAAAATTACATTGAAATCAGCATTTTTCCACAGAATATTGTAAAAAAATGCCGCAAATAAATAGTTACAGGCAATACATTGTATTTTTATATAATGCATCGTTTTGGATATTAAAAGTTTCAGGATGGAAAGAAAAATTTCCAAGAGTTTTGTCTTATTTTCAATTAAACAGGTTCAAAACGATGAGAACTCTTCTCTGTAAGTCATCAGAAATAATTCTTAAGTTTTGTGTTCTGTCCAGTTTATGGGTTATGCTTTCGACTTCATAATATTTTATAAAATATGTAACAGTTATATTTTTACATCCTTCAGGTCACACATGCTGTTAACGACATAATAAATGACAAGAAACAGTTAGCTGGACAAAAAATGCGTATCTTTTAACAGATCAGAGACACAGTAAGAGCGAATTACTGTATCGAGAAATCTACACAGTAAATCAATGTGGACAATTATTTTCATATATTCGCAGTTATGTATAGCATGTCCTCAAGAGCAGAACAAGTTAGTGTCGGGATCGGGGAACAATAAACATTATTAAATTGGTGTTGTGAGTAATATATGTTAGGTATATATAACTGGACATAAACTTCATCCAAATACCACTTCTTGATTCTTATATTGGTTCTGATTGGGAACTTGTTTTATTATTAGCTTCCGTATTTTTTATTCTACTTTAAAGAGAATTTAAATAAATTCAAAAACCAGAAATCTATGTATGAAATAAACATCTAACTCTATTCTCTCTATTGTGTATTCAGTTAGTTGTAACAAGACTTTTATTTCTTTTTAAATTGCTGCAAATTATGGTGGATTTTAAAATTATTTTAAATATTGCAATATATGATAAAATAATTTATCTACTTTTCCAGAAATTATACAGATAACCTGCGATATACCTAATCGCGTTTGTGAATCCCCAATAACAATTTTTATCATCAAATTATGTGATTTAGGAATAAATTACACGTCTTCTAATCCTCTCAAGATCTTTTGTAGCACTAACGAATACTAAAGATATTGTCGATTATTAAAACAAGATTTTACCCACGGAAAAGGTGACACGGGTATGTATCTTTTTAATACGCTTTGCCTTACCTTTTTCTGCTATCCGCTCTCTTACAATAAAAATAATTGCTGTGTTCCACTAATTGGTAAACGATAAACGTAGTGTTATCTAAATTGCAGATAAAAAAGTACATTACAAATGTATGTAATACCAAATGATAAGAAATAAGATTACTGATCTGTAAATTAACAAACTGTTATCGTATGTTTAATTTAGTTAATCTTATTTTGTGACACTGGATGTTTCTGTCAAGTTAAACTACTCTAGAAAATTTTAAATTTAGCGGATAAATAAGGTAAGTGTTATCCTTTCCTTGTAACTCATTACAAGTATTGTTTCTACCATATGCTCTACAAGAAAAACAATGTGAAAATGATTGAAAAATATATGAAATGCAGAGTGTTAATTAATAAAGTCATAGCTTTCTTAGGGGGTTTTTCGATTTAATTTTGATCGTTCTATACACCTAGATAAGCTGGAGACACTCTATATATTTCTATACATGTTTCACCATAAATTTTAGTTTTGTGAACTTATTTTAGATGTCCACTCGTCCAATCGTTGGAATCGACCTTGGGACTACCTTTTCCTGTGTATCAGTCTTTAGAAGCGGAAGAGCTGAACTGATTCCAAATCCAGAAGGAGATCACCTTACTCCTTCTGTTGTGTATTTCGATCCTAAGAACGGAGAAGTTTCAGTTGGTCGAATAGCAGAAGAGTTATCACCTCAGTGTCCCAGCAATTGTCTTCTAGGTAATAAATCAATACATATTAAACAGATATCTTTAATTTAATTTTTCAGATTCTAAACGTTTCATCGGGAGACAATACGATGACGATTTCGTTTTAAGCTACATTAGGAACAACCAACAAAATTTTTCGCTAGTTAGAGGACCCAATGACGAAGTGGTTTTTGAAATAGAAATCTCCAACAGAAGAGTCACTAAGAAACCGGAAGAAGTTAGCGCAGAAGTTTTCAAATATCTGAAATATGCGGCAAGTGATTACTTGGGAGATGATGTTACTGATGCTGTTATATCCGTGCCTGCCTACTTCAGCAATGCTCAAAGAAAAGCCACCAAACGAGCCGCAGAGCTAGCAGGGTTTAATGTGTTAAAGCTGATAACAGAACCGACAGCTGCTGCTATCCATTACGTTTCTGACAAGCAAAAAAATGATTCAAACATATTAACTTTTGATTTCGGAGGAGGAACCTTAGATGTGTCTTTGATAAAAGTAAAAAATAGCATCTTCGAAGTAAAAGCTGTATATGGGGACACATTACTCGGTGGCAGAGATATCGATGAAATCTTATTTCAACATTTCTATAGCAAGTTGGATTTGAAAAACCACAAAAACAATTTTTTAACAAGGAAGTTCGATCGTAGATTACACAACATGTGCGTCAATTTAAAGAAAAACTTGTCAACCAGAAAAGAGTTTACATATACTATAGATAGATACGACGGAAAGACAGATCTTGATATATCTATGACCCGGATGGAGTTCGAAGAGATTAGCAAAGGCATCTTTAAATGCGTAGAGAACATAGTGGATTTATGCCTGATAGATTCCGGTGTATCTAAATCGCTGATAAATGAAGTCGTTTTAGTGGGAGGGTCCACCAGGATACCCAGAATTAAAGAGTTGTTGAAATCTTACTTTGGACCTGAGAAAGTCAGGACGGACTTAAATCCGGATGAAGCTGTGGCCGCTGGGGCTAGCATATACGCAGCGTACCTCATGAGAGACCACCAGGACTTGGAAAAATACAAGGTGACAGAAGTAACTCCTATGTCTCTCGGCATAAACTCAGCTGGTGGACGAATGGGTTTCTTTATACCTAGAAATTCTCCTCTGCCAGCCGAAGGGCACCGTGAATGCATAACAACAGTTAACGATCAGACAACCATAAAATTTTCCATCTATGAAGGTGAAAGAAAAATTGCCCTTTATAATAATAAACTGGGAGATTTCGAGGTAACAGATCTGCCTAAAAAACGTGCAGGAGACATAACATGTTCTATAGATTTCCACCTAGATGAAGACGGTATACTAAACGTAACAGCTACCGAAAAATCCACGGGTAAGACTAAGAAGTTGGTAGTAACGATGGGAGAGTTCCGATTGAGCGACAAGAAAATTAAATCCTCCTTGGCAGATGCGAAGGAACACAAAATTGAAGACGATGTTTTCGAAAAATTTGCGATTTTCAAAATCGATGCTCAGAAACAGTGTCGTCAGATACTTTACGATATAAAAAGGATTCCTTTAGAAAAGGACAGCAATTACGTGAAAGAAAAGTGCGAACAATTCTTAGTAGATTCGAATCTTTTGGATTTCACCGAGATTGAAAAACTGGAGGGGGTGTTCACAGTGTTTAACAATTCAGTGTCGAGCATCTTAAAGAAATATTCAATGTTGCAATTAAAACACTAATGAACTCTAAATATAGTTTCTGAACCACGATATTGTCTGACAATATTTATTTGTTGCATTCCTTAAAAAATTGTTCCGTTAAAAAATACAATACATAAGAAAAGAAAAAACCATAATCCATGAATTTAAACAATTTGTACAACATAACTTTTCGCTAGTACTTTTATAGTAAAATCGTCAGTTAGCAGCCTTTTCTATTCATTGGCTTTTATTTATTTATTTATTTGTTTGTTTCAACTTCATGCTATACAAAGAAGGGTTTGCATACGTCGTAAGGAAAGAAAAATAATAATTAATTACATTTACAATAACAGATACAATAAAAATACATATTTTTCAAAATACTTGAATGAATTAGATATAATATAAGATAAGCTATAACAAAATGAATCAGGCAGCGATACGGAGTTTCTAAGGTCGGTTAGAAAATTTTTGTTTAATCTTTGAAGAAGATAGAGAAGTTTAGAATTTTTTTACGAATATAATCAGACGATGATTCAGATGATATAACCAGAATGATAGCTTAGAATTGAAATGAATTCCGTAAAAAGCGACCGAAATTTTCGCCCCTTTGTGAGACCTCATAAATTTACTCCAAATGTGTGCCAAAAGATAGTCTATGATGAGACTTCATCAATCGTCTATAAATTTTAGCTTGAGGCTGCATTTTGTTTTCAAGTTACGGTTTATTAAAGTTGTCCTTTTTGCATGGGTTGTTATAGGGTTTTCAAAGTCGCTGATTTAAAATCAAAGGTTCGTTAATCTCTATGACTACAGGTCATTTGGAAGTCAAAGAATTAATCCTGGAATCTTCGAAATTCTTCATTTTTCTGAAGCATTTCAATAATTTCATGAAGATCGAAGGATGATGAAGCAATTCTAATAGCAAATTCGTGCTCAGCGCGAAAAAGTACTTCGGAATACATATGCCACATGTGAAGTAGAAGCGATTTTTTTTAGCGGTGTAACCTCGATCCAACAATCCATGTAAAAATAACAACTTTAATCAACTGAAACTCGAAAACGAAATGTAGCCTCAAGCTAAAACTTATAGACGATTCAAGTCTCATCATAGACTATCTTTTGGCACACATTTGGAGTAAATTTACGAGGTCTCACAAAGGGGCGAAAAATTAGGCTTTTTTCGGTCGCTCTTTTCAAGATTACTTACGTCATTCAAGTTGCAAAGGAGAAATGTCATTGTCTCAGTCTTGGATAATTATGTTAATTGTGATTTTTTTTTTAATTATTGCTAAGATTGCAACAGAAGCAGTGGTATCATCTGCGAAAAGTATTCTTAAGACGTTACTGTCAAAAATGTTTAAATTATTTACATACATTGAAATATATGAGAGCCGTAGTATCAAAGGCGGCAATCTCCACCATTTCCACTTTTTGTTAAAGCGCAAAAAACTTCTACACTCTTATTACTGCTTAATTCAAAGGAAGCATAGTTTCCGATGAAAGAAAATGCTATACTACATTAGATTTTAAGGTTAATGTACCTAAATTTTTTATATTTTCTGAAAAAATGTACAAAAATAAATGGAGAATGCCGTGTTTGATACCAACAGTTGGATTTTGCAAGATTTGTTACCAAAGGTTGCACTAAAATGAGTTGTAAAATAAATATCAAGTATTTTGGAATGGACTTACAGACAAAAGAATAAAGTATTAAAATTAATTCAACAAAACGTATAATCAAAAATAAAAAAAACGAACTAAATAATAATAAATTCCTAACTATCTGAAACAGCAAGTCGTGTCACGTCACGTCATATGTTCGCTGTGAGCCATCTGATTGGCCAAAACGGATATTGCCGACTCTGATTCTAAGCAGGTAATGGAGATTGCCGGATTTGATTCTCAGGTGATGTTTTAATGCAGTTTTGTAATGGGATACAGCCGCTTTTGATAATCGCAAACCATATATTTAGATAGAGCGCGAAAAACTGAAAAATATCATGTATTTAACTCGATTTCGTCAAAAAGTGGAGATTGCCGCCTTTGATACTAGGGCCCTCATATACCGGATCCAAGACCAAACCTTGTGGAACTCCATATCTTACTTCCAGAGTACTTGACGTAATAATGTTAATAGTTTGTTATAGATTCACTGTCGTTTGAAGGACCAGAGAAATGTTTTTACATACTGTAAATATTTACTAAAAAGAGAAATTTTGTGTGCGACTCATTTAATAAATAATTAAACTATTTTCCAAAATTGTTTGGTTATTGTTAGTAACCTCAAGAATTCACATATTAATTGATGGAGGCCTTAGGTCATCTTGAAATAACTTACCTCTAGATAAATTTTATTATTTCTGGTGAACGAATTTCGGCGAGGATAAAACTGATTCGAACAATCTTGTAAAAGTCGTGTATAGTACACTTTTATGAAACAGAGGTGAAAGTTTAATGGAATGGTTTAAATTCGCATTAACATTATAGTCAAATTTTGCTTCCTTTCTCTTTTGCGTGTGTTAATGAAGTTCAGATATAATTGCAATTCATGGGAACACTTATTTAACAAATCTTACATAAACAGTAACTGGCAATATTCGAGATTACAAGAATGTTCTGTCTAGTTAGTAAAAAAGAAATGGAGAGGTATTTTCCAATGAAAAATATTGAATTAAAAAATATATTGATATTCAGATAGAGTTATTGTTTTAATTGAATCAAATTCCTGAAGATTGCGATATTTTTTCACGAATGCATTCCTTTTTCCAAGCATCGCCTATTTAGCGTTTGTACAGATACTGCCTTTATTACTGGATGCAAAAACAGCAGCACTGAAGAATCTGCACACATTTAAGTAGTGCTCTAAAAAGTTGTCATTATTAAACGCTCGGATTCCGTTCCTCTATACATTTTCATGTCCCTGAAAACTATGAGTTATTGGGAGCCATGTTACGAACAAACCAAACAGTAATAAACGCATACGTAGAGATGGTGTCATAGAACCGCAAACAGACAGAAATGTACGAAATTCATCACGTTAAATAAGAACCTCCATTTAGACACAAACAGATCGTAATTAAAACCAAGCTGTTAACGTCTAGCGCAGGTGAATGTGTTGTAACTGTGGATTGTTTAAACTTAATTGCTCTGTGCACTGGAAAAGTTGTATATGTGGAAATGCTATTCTATTATCATTAAAGAAAATGTAACAATCAATAAAAAAGTAACTGAACTTTCTAATCCAATATTGACTACTGCTTTTAGATTGTGTTTTATGATTTTTATAATCCGCTTTGTTTCTTTTTGTCCGTACCGATATTCCATTAAAGTCGCCCTTATATGAGATGTTTTTTGATTTTTTTGTATTCTCTTAAATAAAAATTTGCAATCATTTTCTTTACATAACACCACATATCCTTTAAGGGAGTTTTATGCCCGTTGGGTATATTAAAATAAAAACGATGTTTCAATTCTCCTTTTTTACATCGAAATTCCACTCTCGCTCAGGCTAGGAAATAATTTCCTGAAATTCCATCCCGTCTCACCTATTTCCACGATATCCCGAGCGGATCCAGATAATTTCCCCCCGCTATCTCAAACTCGGCAGTGTTACTACTGGGTTCGCTGCCTTCCTCCTAGACAATGGCGTCCTTTTGAAACGTAACGAGCTATTACACCCCAGTTGCTCGGTACAACGACTAGGTGTAATATTCGGGAAATTTCCTAGCAAAAAAACGTCTTATTTCTTACGAAGGGTCAATACCTGACTGGAGTGCTACTGAACTTCCGTGGAGTTATGAACCGGGCATTATTTTCAACACGCAGCAGTTCTTGATAAGTGAGAAAATTGCGAAACTGCAGAGTTTGCTGTCTAGAACTGTGTAAATTTGTTGATGAATTGAACTTTTAGTATTATTGATTTACCTATATTTATATTAACACCTAAGAATCCAAAATAGAACTAAAATTTAAACCAGACTGCCTGAGATTAAGAAACAAATATTGTGGACCCACTATCATGAAATAATGTTCTACCTACATTTATGAGGGTACTTTATTGCCCTTTAATGAGAGAAGTTTTGGTATTGTTGTGTATTGGAAAATCCGGTAGAATAGTGCCCGCGGTCGTTTAAGAGAAAGGTCTTTATTTGGTGGGTCCAAAATGGGTACATAGGTTGCTTGACACAGGTGGTCACTAACAGAACTTTTACTGTATATGTGTCACAAATTTAGGGGAAAACAATATCGACTCCTTAACATGTATGAGAAGTTGTAGATATGCCTATATTTCTATAAATTTAAATACTATCAACATTACATTACCCAAATGATGATATTTCCATAACTTTCATTTGGTCTGTTCAGAATAGTTACTTGAAATCCATCTGTATATTCTTGTTATGTTTGGTGTACGGTATGGATATATTGATAACACCATTTAATTCAGTTCCAGTAACCTGTTTCTATCAGCATCTTTTCTTACCTTTTGAATTTAGAAACTATAGAAATACTTCATTCTGAAAATTATTTTAGGTATTTTTAATGACAAGACGAGAACAAATTGCGTTAGAATGCCTTTTAGTATTTATTAAGCACTATATTAAATAAAATACAATGTAAAAGTGTCTGTATTAGAAATTTTAATATAGGTTATTGTTTCTCTCTAGTAACAAACACTAGGTATGTATATATTATCGTTTCAACATACCATGTGATGCAATTCCACTATTATATTGTATTTAATTACTATATTTAATTAACGATTCAGGTGAAAATAATGTGTTAATTTGTATTACTTTTACCTGCCATTGTTGAAAATACTTAATTTTGTTTCTACAGAAGGAGTAATTTTTTTAAATATTTATTGCCTTCAAATAGTAATCGTAATCTATATAAATATTTCAAAACTACAATATTTTGAATTCGAAGTAAAATGTGAAATGATGACTAAAAAATATTACAATTGCATTTCAGCACATTTTTTGCTTTTTGGTTTTCATCGAATAAACATTATGATGTATGATCATGTACGAATACATTTTCAGTTATCAAAAAAATAATATTTTTAAACATGGTGCCCATCACTGGCTTGTTGGTCCAACTCGATACTAAAATGTGTCTGCATTCTAACAAAGGTCAGCGGAAATTGTGACATTGGAACGAATACAATTATTGTCGTACACAAACTGATCAAATCAATATGGCTTATGCAACGTTACAGCCAAATTCAGGAGATGTGGAAGATTAGCCTTCCACCCGTATATAATATCTCACCTACATATTTCTGTTACATAAAGTGAGAGCAGGTCGAATGGGATGAAAAAAAAGTAATTACGCGAAGGAGATTCAAAATTAAGTTACAGACTGGAAAAAATGGCGGTATTCTTTGTTGGTGTTTAGATACAGGCGGTTTCTTTATAAAACACATTCAGTTCTTAATCAGGCCTCTTAATCTCAATTAAACAGCTGAGAATTTCGCTAATGTATATTTTTTAAATTTTAATTCCTTAACACTGCAACTGAATCGCTTTTGCCGATTTTAAATATATTCTTTTTCAACCAGTTCGTCATATGTTGAAAATTGAATTGTTTGCCCCTCTCCTCTCGAATTTTCTGGGGACGCCCATGGAGTTGTGTAAGAAAAATTAATTGTTAAGTCAATAATCGAAAAATATTCAACAGAATCCATTTATAAAGCATATTTTTCTAAAATTTGAGCCCCTAAGAGGATACAGGTTTGGCTTTAAAAAAAATGTACGGCATTTAAATTTTGATTTATTATAGATTTACTTATAAATTTTTTCATAATAAAATAAAGAGTACCATTTTAAAGGACGATTTGAGAGTTCACAAAGCATTAAAGGGTTAAACAATATATTTATATTCTCCCTACCTATTTCTAGCAAGCGTTAATTAATTTTAATGTAAAAAATATATATAATGTATCACAACTTTTGTTATTAGTAGTAGTTGTAGTATATTTAGAGATTTTTCTCCAATTTCCCCAATCTCATTTGACAAAAATGTAACCATTAAAGTCCATGAAAGCAACGGATATATATATATATAGAGATAGTTTGTATTGTTTCCAAATTGCCCCCATTTCAAATTTTTGCAGAGATACATCAACGGCGTCAGCATAGAGCGGGCGCCTGTTATTATACGACGTAATGTATTTTTTAGTACGTCATTATGAGACACTCACCATAGGGGATGTTCTGCTATGAATTATTTGTAGCCGGTTAACCGACGGAAGAACCAATTATGTGCTTATACAAACGAACACTACAATTTATTAATATCTAGAGGTTAAACAATACTGCTAAGAGAAACTAAGAGAAAAATTAAAAACAAAATGATAGTACAGTGAATCAAAATGGAGGAAAATGACTGAGATGTGTAAGAGACAAAAAATATTAAATATATGAAGTTACATTAACAATTGAGTTTCATGTACCTACGCATCTCATATCGGTAGTTGACAGAAGAAAAAAGAATTTACTATTGCGATTCCAAACGGGAAAGAACTAAAAATATAAGTAACGTGAATGCATATTTCTTTCAAAAACCAAAAAAAGTAATTATGATCCTATTATTCTACTGCTATTATACCAAAATGTATGGTATGCCATTTCAGAGAAAGTAAGTAATGAATACGTCGTCACTGGGTGTTTAAAAACGCAGCAAACTAAACATACATTGGTACAAATCTACAGACTGCTGACTAACGAAGAAATTTTGTCGCGAAAATAGACATCTCTGGTAAGATTAATCTCACAATTTTTTTGTCAGGTCTTTCAGTAAAAAATTCTAGTTAACGTATATCTACCCTTGCTGTTACTTCTTGATTCACTATTTTGAATTGAAATTGAATACAATACTTGAAACTGTAGTTAAAGTAATATTACCTGCGTGTAATGAATAATTTTTTTGACTAACTAGAAAATCTATGACTTTATCATTAGCTTTCTTCGTTAAAATTCGAGTAAGGTGTTATTAAAATTACAGTAACAAGTAAGTCTATAATTATTGAATGAAAAAAAACTACAATAATTGTATTGTTTCGCAAAATAAAAAATCGTACAGAACTTGTTGCCTTAGGTTATAATAATTAATCCATTGTGACATAATTCTAATGGTGTCACAACGGAAGTAACTGAACAATCTAAATATCTTCAGGTTTATATACACTTGTTACAATTTATAATGTAATGACAAATAACTAAGCAATATCTAATATTAGGGTGATCTTTAAAAAGTGTCATATTCTAAAGTTAAATGTCATTTTCTACCTACTTTATACATATTTAAATACATATATAAATAAATACATATAAATATAAAATATAAATATATAAAATATATATAAAAATAAATACATATTTAAATTAACTCAAATTAAGGAGGTACTTGTTTTTAAGGTTATACAGGGTGTTTTTAAACGAAGTAGCAAAAACGATACCAGTGAATGTAGAGCAACAAATAAGAGGATTGAAGTAAAAATACATTATATGAAAGTTGGACCCCTGAGGCGATATACCTTCTTAAAGGAGTGGATTGAAATTCACACTTTAATTTTTATCTTAGATTTTTTAACGAAAATCTTCCAACATTACTTGAGGATGTACCCCTCGCTACACGTCAGGTGATGTGGTATATGCACGATGGGACGCCTGCACATGGTACACTTGCCGTTAGAGAAACGTTAAAAATTTAAATTACCCAAATCGCTGGATTGGTCGTGGACGTGATGCCCCTATTTGTTGGCCTGCGCGTTCACCTGACCTAACGCCTATGGATTTCTTTTTGTGGGGACACATAAAAAGTATTGTTTATGCCACTCCTGTTGCCTCCTTAGAAGAACTACGCTTAAGAATATTTCAGGTAGCAGATGACCTTCGCAATAACCAAGAACTGTTTGTCAACAGACGTGTTAGCAGGTTATGCTTGCAGAAAAATGGCAATTATTTCGAGATTATTCTTTAAATTTAATTTTACATTTCTTGTATTTCGTTTGTATTTAATTTTATTTCAGATAGATAACTTTACCTAATACATGTCCCATAGTCAAAAGTTATCAAACATTTTTCATTAATTAATAGCAAATTGTTCTTAATGTTATTATTAAATTCCCAGCTTATTGACAAAAAGTGTAAATTTATTAATATGATAAATGACAATTTATTTGTTATGACATCCGTCTACTTTATTTTTACAAATTTTCGCAATTACCCCTTTAGTGAACGATGACGCATCTAATTTTTTTACTAGAAAACTATCGGTTTTATCGAAAAATTACAAGAGGTGAAAAAGTTGGGCAATAAATCAGTCTACCCAACAAAAATTTTTAAATAAATAATTTGTTTCATATAAAAAATTTGTAATAAAATATTGCAATGAGGTTTATAGGCACTCCGTCAGTATTTTCTTAGGTAATGCAGTCAAATAATGTTAGTTATACACCCCAAAAAATTTAGTGGACCGCCCTGTCATGCACCTTTCTTCAGCAACCTCCACGGTCGCTTAACTTTGGCACGCGTCAACTTTATGCCCCCCGCAGGCTCGTTTTCCCGTATTTCACTCAAATACATCCAGCGAACTTCTAGAAGTCAAACAGTCTCGACTCACGCCTCCGACAATAGCAAATCGACCTGGTTTCGTGGGTAAGGAGCCCTATTATTTGCTCGCTCTCTGAAGAAGGCCTCCAGTTCACATTGGAGAGAGAGTGAGAGTTCGTCGTAGATTTGAAAAAAATACGCTCTGATTACCGCGTACGAAGCGACAGATTGACAGTGTCTTCCTTCTGAGTGTCCATTCAGTTCAGGTTCTGTCACTGTGCCGCTACCGGTCGACTTAAAAAAACTTGTGATGTGTGTACAGACGTGGATGTTGTTTCTTTGGGCGCTAAGTCTGTCGGATTTAGTGACAGGGATCCTACCCGAGGACACAGCTACGCTGAGCGACTCTCATGGTGAGTAATGGGCGATTTAAAAGAATATTAACATACCAGGATTCAAGGATAATAGTTATTAAATATGTTTACTGAATCGCATTAAAATTAATTATTGCTGGCATCATTTATTTAAATAATTCTTTCACTTTTTCACATAGTTTCATTTCTTAGTAATTGAAAATAATAATAAATATAAATAAAGACAACAAAAAACGAAGTAGTCTCAAAAATTTCGCCTCAGTTTTGAATTTAATGCGAGTTGTTTGGACTGTTCTACATTTTAGAAATTAAATTTGTTTAAATATATAAAATAACTGCTCTTGAAATACTATCTGTTTATATAAATATTTCTCTCAATTTGATTAAATTTTGTGTGCACAATACCTGAAAAAAAAAACTCAAACCAGTGGCGTAGGTATAGGCATGCTGATTACATTTTTCTCAATGATTATAGCATGTAACTGATTTTTTTTTTTAAATTTATTGATCTCCTGACTTTGAATCACGGCGAGTAATGGATAAGTCAAAGGAACGCTTATGGACAAAGAGACAGGTATTCCGAAAAAAATCGCCAGAGTTTTGAATTGGTTGGTTAAACTATTATAGTATAGTTACTGCATAAATATACAAAATAACTGCTATCAAAATTCTACAAACATTTTAAACTCGAGCCTTCACTTTTCTAAAATAAGGTACTGAAATTTTCAAAATCAATATCTTTTGAAGAAATGATGATCATTTCAAATACAATGTCTAACTAAGTACATTTCAAAAGTGATTCTTTTCTCAGACCTAACCTAACTTTATCATAAAATATTTACATTATTTTTGAGTTAATATTGAAATGGAAGTACCTAATTATTAAGAAAACTGAAACTGACAACACTTAATCTAATTCTTACAGAATAGACCCTCTCAAAACCTTAATTGGACGTAATGCACTATAGTACATCTACGAAACCAAGCATTACATTTAAGATATGCAAATTATATCGAAATCCTCAGTTTTATGTAAATTTGTAACGAAATTATGTAAATTTACTTATATCGTATGAAATGCGACGGATAATTATATCGACCAGAGTTTTTTAAGCTTGGAAGTTATTTATGTTGAATATAATTCTAAAAATTTATATAATTTTTTTAGAGAAGTATGGAAATTCAATTTTCTATAAAATACACGAGGCACAGAAATTAAGGGATATTAAAAAAATCCCAAATTTTTGGGTGATTTTCAAAGAGCTGTAACCTGGAGGGAAATGGTCGTAGAGAGAATAAAAACCAAAGGAAATTGAAGCTTCAACTGTCTATTTTTCAGATCTGTGGTTTAAATTTTTTTAGCATCAGCAGTTTTAAATTTTTAATTATTTATTTACTTATTTAAATATTAATTCCTTCAACAAATTCCATGGTAGTCCAGTTACTCAGGATTTTTACCTCCGAATTCTTTATAACTGAACCGATTGACGTAAAATTTTGACTGAATGTGGAGAATGCCTCAAGGAACAAAACTTATATAGTGCCGAAGTGTGCTTTTGCCCTGGGAGTGGTTCCCACCCCTTCTTGGGGGTGGAAATTTTTACGCCCAAAATAACCACAGGAATCGATAGAGGAGTAAGTTTTAAGTAACAAATGTTATATAAAGTTTTTTGGATAATCCAATACTTTCCGAGTAATTCGTCATTGAAAACGTTGATTTTTTACTGAAAAAGTATTTGTTTTTGGACAGTTTTTTGCAAATAACTCTGAAACCATTGGATTTAACGAAAAAGTTGTAATGAACAAAAAGAAAGATAATAAAAAAAGAAATCTAACGGCATAATTTTGTTTTTGTCTAATTACAATATAAACCGAGTTATGGATTTTAAAATATGCTAAAAACTAAATTGGAACCAGTTAGCGTTAAATAACGCCAAAACCATAAATATTAGGAAAAAAACTATTTGAACCTTTTTTAAAATACTTTGAAAAACCTTTAAAATGAGCTGTTTTAAAAGTCTTTAGAATCAAAATTAACGGAAATATGATCGAAATAACATGTCTCATTTTTTGTAATAAAAAAATTAATAAACAAATCAGTGCCTTTGGCGACAGAATTAAAATTAAATGCAATCCATTTACAGATTTCTTTATTTGTGTTCTAAGAATATGTTCTGATTCTTTGGCTCACTTACAAAGCATGATTTCGAAAAAAAATTTAATTTTTGAAACTGTAAATTTTTCAAATTTTTGAAAAAAAATTCGATTTTTACGCTGTAACTTAAAAATTAAAGGATGTACGAAAAAAATACAAGAGTAAAAAAATGTAGCTTTATTTTTGCTGAAGATCTCGGTTTTTTTATTCTCTACAATTAATATTAATCGAGATATCGCCATTTTAAGTTATCATATGAATGAGAGAACCACCTTTTTCGAGCCCTTGAAACTCAATAGGTCACGTAGCCCTTACAATTCTCTGCAAAATGAGCCTTTGTGCGATTAAAAATCTTAAAAAGTAAGAAAGTTATCGTCGAAAAAATAAATATGTGTATAGGTGATAATTTTAGGAAAATTTAGGTCAAACCAGAATTTAGAAGCATTTAGACCTTTTTTGTATATATACATATTTCAAAATCAAAATTATTTTATAAGAAGGGAATAAATGTTTATTTAATACGAATGCACATTTAAAATGTTTCTACTCTTTCAATAATATTTTTTCATTTTATTTTCGAAAGAAGGTGTATTTTTCAAGGGTTGAAAAGTTGCTATCGATAAAAAAGATTTTTTAATCAAGAAATCTATTTTAATTGATAAAAATGCCTGATTGAAACGTTTCAAGTTGAAAAAAAATTGTTTATATTATTTTCATCCAAAGGGGTGGTTTTTAAAGGTTTTTCCGGGTTGAAAATTTGGGATACATTAAGTTTCATGTTAAATAGCACATGAAATTACTCATACTGCATAAATAAAATAGATTTGATTACATAAAATGCTTAAATTTATATTTTTTCTTTTTTCCAATAAGGGGTGGTTTTCACCCCTTAAGAACAAAAAGCACATCTAGCGCATATAAAAGTTTTGAAGTGGAGGGCAAGATGAGCCTAATTCTAAATTTTGAGAAAAATTGATGCAGTTATAAAAAATTCGGAGGTATTACTATATTTTCAGCTACAGTAACTGGGCTATTGGGCAAGAATGTAAATTTGAAAATAAAGAATATTTACATGACGAACATCCTCTAACTGTAGCTACGTTTTTCAATTATTATTTACATCGAACGTCGCAAAAAAAACCCTTGCTCTAGATAAGCCCGTCCGGTAATCATTAACCGATCAACGTGACGACACGATTCAATTTTTAATGCGACACAACTTCACTTGAATCGGCGAAACTCTACTCTCCCGTCCATAAACAACTATCAATTGCTTGTAAATTGATTCTATAGCATCTATCTGGGTCAAACCCTATTGGAACATATACTGAGAGCAATTTGTTACCCTTCTATTGAATTTAGCTGAAGGATAATATTGTCGAAGAAGCCTAATTCTCGCTTATATCTGACTGACAGAAATTCTATGAGGGCTTTTAATGAAATAATCGTATGAAGCGATTACTTCTATAGAGATTTGGTATCGGAAACAAGATTACAAAGAGTAAAAAAACTAGTGGTATTTAGAAACATGATGATGATCACAGAAACGTAGTGTACCTAAGTAATTTTTTTTTTCAAACGCTCGTAAATCAGCATTTTGGCAAAACATAGTTCTAATAACACAAACATAATGTCAAGTCAACCGTCTCTTTCAAAGCTATAAATATTCTCAAAACTATATCAGTTGAACATGCTATGCCCCTTTTTTAATATTTGTTTTGATCTCTTGCTGGGTTTTTTCTTTCTATGACTTTTCTTCTAAAATTTCTTGCATTTGGAAAACGTTAGACTCGATAAGGCAAATTGAGAATGTTTTATTGGACGTACAGTTCAATAATTAGACTCAGGTTTCTGTATGGCGTCCTATAGTGGTAAAATAAACTGTAGTAAATAAGGAAAGGAATCATCGACCTTAACAACTATTTTACAGATCTGTATAAATTCAGCGAAGTACCCAAATTGTTACTTAATAAGTAAAAAGTTGTCGAGTCACGTATTGTATTCATAATACATATACTGTGAAATCAGTCGCATTGTAAAACTGTAAATAATCCCAAAATTTCATGCATTCTTTTAGACAAGTAGTCCATCACACAGCGTCATTTTTGTTCACTCTTTTGAACCTAATGTTTCACGATCTAATTGTGTGTAATTAATTACTGTAACTGAAATTATATGAAAGTAAAGACATATTCAAGAGATGATGACAGTGTATATTATTGAAATAACTAAAAGAATAATTTCCTGATTTTTATTAACGAAACATTTTACAGAAACTTCAATTTTTGTTGCATCTGTATTGCACATTATTCAACAGAATTTTAAAGAAATAAAATTCTTTTTAAGTATTTTTGTTTAATCTGGAGTTAATGTACAACAGAACTAACCCCTACATAGCGAGGAGATACTTAAACTATTAACACTTTCCATTAATCTATAGATTATTACCCATATTATATGGGCCATATAGAAATTAATTGATCAGTGCAAAGCCCACATGCAGATAACTTATATTCAGAATATTCAGAATTTCACTTCAGTCATGTTTTAGCGAATGTATATTCCCATTTTCTTTAAAAATATAAATCTTTACATATTATACAACGCCTGTAGTTTAATATTAAGAATATAGAGTATATAAAACAATATTCACTCTAAAAAGATGATTCACCAATGAAATATTTCCTCGTATTAATGAAAATATTCTTTATAAATTGTCTTTTTATATATAATTTATTTTTCCATCCAAATTATGTAATCTACAGACCAAGTCCAGTGATAGATTACAGTCTGTAACTGAAATTGTAATACATAATTTCTCTGTGAACAATATAATAAACAGGTACATTATAAAAATTAGTCATAAATAAAATACATAAAAAATAAAATAAATATAGACATTTTTAACAATAATTGTTAATTGCCCTTGTTTTCTTATATTTTTCAGCTAAATTTTACTTAAAATAAATTGACGTTTTTGCGAATTTTTAAATATATGTTACCGTACTTCTTTATACTATACGTGTGTTGTTAAAAAACACTGACTCCTACATCATCCTCCCTTATCTCCACGGATATCACATAAATCTTGGAACTGGAATATTAGCTGACCGCAGACACTTCAACAGAAAAAAGAGGTATACATGTGGCAAAAACACATATATTTGTAAACTTAAGTCCAGCATCCCATACTGAACCTTTGGTAAATTATAGGTAGCTTTCATTTCGATTGGTTAAATATAACAAGCAGTTTGGCTTCGGCTTAATAAAAAAATTCCCAGATGTGTGTTTGCTGAAAAAAACAGTTTTATTTTTCATGCGGGCCAACGTGATTTTTGCAACTGTATCCGAGCAAGCTGTCCTGCAAGCTGAATTTTTAAAATGGGGTTTCATGTAAGTCTGGGGTTCGCAGAAATATTTTTGAAACAATTTTCGATCTAATAAAAATATTATTCTATGAAATATTTTTCATTCGACAATGTTTTGATGTCTTTCTTGGACTTGCAGATATGCAGACTCAAATGAAAATATTTTTGGAATTGTTCTAAATAAAGCCAAAAAAAATAGTCTTTACTATATATTAGTTATTTCTTTAATAAAGTTGGTCAATGAAACACTTCGGAACAATCATCATTTTCTATTCTACTAAAACTAATAAAGTTGAAATCTGTGAAATACAACTGTCAGATATTTTTAAATTACCTCAAATACTGCCACTAAGCCATTAGTGTCAACTTTCTTGATGTTTGATGCTACAATAGATTCCTCAGCCCAATTATTCTAAACTGAGTCGTTTCTTGAATCGTTTACAACAAATTTCCGCTGCAATTTTACCTACCTGAAACAATGGGTTTAAGAGCACTGCATTTTTTTAAATAGACAACCGTTCTACTTTCATACAAAAATAAAACAAATGTATCACTTGTCGTTCCCTAATACGTTGATAATAAAATACATTTGTAGAGCACTGATACAAACATGTTTTACGTTAATTTAGAAATAAGATATTGATGAATACGACGCTATTAATGTAAAATTAACAATCTGGAGTATCGTGTAGATGTACTATTTTTTTTTTAAAGTTTATAAACTGAAGATGTAAAATGAAAATCAATTATTATTTACTGTAACATACCTACGTAGCTGCACTTATTTTAACAAGGTTTTCAAAAAATTATAATTGTCATATTATAAGTTTACTGAATCATTGAAATTATGCATTGTTCAGAAGAGACAACTACTACAATTGTCGTGCATTTTTCGTTTGCAATTATTTCCACGCTCCAAGAAAAACGGTAGACGTACAATTACTTTATATACATTTTCAAACAATTTATAAGACGATTAAAGGTGAAAGTCTCCACCGCCGCCTGCAATTTACGCCGATTTTATGAAATATGGATCTAATGACACTGAATAGCTCGTATCAGATGATCCACATTGCAACATCGGACATGTTATCTACTCGATGTCGCCAAGATCACAACTGGTACAGTTCGATACGAGAATAAACTCGAATAAATGGAACAGTCAGCTAGAATTACCACACACATTGCGAATTTTCTGTAAAAAATCGAATTACAGCAGTTTCTGTTCAAAAGTCAACAAATTCAATTAAACATTTCTTGTTTTGATGTCGCTAATTCAATTCAATACGTCGGTTCGCAATTTTCATGGGCTTGACATTAATGGTGTCTCGTCCGCTTAAGCGAACCTTAAAATTGTTCAACCTACTCGTGACAAAATCCATATTCCTATGAAAAGTGGGTTAATTAGAAATACTCTTGGAGTGGCGCGTTTTGACTGTTTAAACAAGAAATTTTAAGCCACTAGTGAGTTAGCGTCCTTAAGGATTATAAAAGGAAAGCATTTATAATGGAGTTCGTTGGAGGAGTGTTCTGGAATTTCTGAAACAAAGATCAATTCTTACGAGATGCCAGCATTTAACGATCGTAGATACTAAAATTTCAACCATTGGTTACTTAAATGAATGATTATTATTATAACATTTCCTCAATTCAAACTTCGATAGAACAGGAATGGCTCATAACTTTTTTATTGCAGCTACGTGTTTCAAGAATGATCATAGTTATCAATTTTCGAAACATAAAAACCGGTATTATTGAAAAGTTAAAAGGATATTACTATTGTAGATTTAATTTGTTTGTCTACCCTTCTCATCTTTTTTACTCTCATACTTAGAAAAAACTGGTATGAGCCAAACTTATTAGCAATTTTCTTGTGAAACTCACTTAGAAGAACAATTCAGTGTTGCATTTCGAAAGTATAAGAAAACCAAAACATCCTGTATATCTTTACATATTTGAATAGAGCCCTTCTTTAACATTACAGTGGTACAAGGCTTGATGGGTCTACCTTTAATAGTAACCGAAATATGTTTAAAGGATTTATTGTTACCATATTCATTTGGCAATATCTTTCTTATTGTTAGAGATAGATCACACCTTATATCAAATATGAAGTATTCTGTTTAAAGAAAACGTAACAGGTTTTCTAAGTACTGTTTTGATATTGCAAGAAAATTCCCTTTGGCCCATACATTTTTGTTCTAAACACGAAAATGACAAAGATAAGGGGGTAGGATATAACGTGGATGATCCCGTACATAAAACGATCACAAATTGGAATCATACTGTACTATAACAAGCAGCATTAACCCATTATTACGGTAAATACAACTTTAAGATTATATAGTATTAAATTAATTATCATACTAGACAAATAATTGCTTACAAACGTTATGCTACACATATGTCAAGTGATAAATGTGCTAAAGCTTGCAGTTTGCCACAGCAGTAAATCTGCGTTAGTAAAACATATCAATTTTGAGATTGGATCCAAATAAATCACATTAGTAATGTTAAAGTTATGGTATTTGATATAAAAAAGTAGCAGTACCTAGCAGTAGCAGTTCATATGAAAATAAAGGCATATTATTATTATTACCTACTAACACAAAAGACTTGGATTTAATTATTGAGGTATGTCCGTGCCACATTATGATTTACTCATAAACACGGTGTGACACTTAGGATTCCCACTGTCCTTAAAAACCCAAAGATGCATTTACAATCCAATTGGGCATAAAAAATTTATCAACTAATAATATTTTTTCAGAAGACGCTCCCCCTCGACAGAACGACAAATTTTCCCACCCCACGTACCCCTACCTTCCAGAGCACGGCAACAACATTTACCCTGAAGAAAGGGAGCGCTTCACCCATCGTTGTTCTGAAAGGCTGGAGACTGCTTTGGACCAGATTCGACGGCGACAAATAGCCAAGCAGAAAACCCTTAACCTCAATGGATATTCGCTGCACCAACAACTCCGTAGCGCCCCCTACGACATGTACGTGACGGACATGAGAGTGAGACTGCCGCCTTCGAATAGTTGGGTAAGTTTTTTGCAATGATTAGGTGCATAAGGCCTGTTGAAGTCAAAATTTATTCATTCAAATTTCAGCAGAATTCCTAACTTAGTGAAATAGTTTTAATGGCTTAAGGACTGATGTAATAAATACATATTGAACTGTTGTTATCTATGAATTAGTACTTTTACTGTGTGTGATTAAGTTCATTCTATACACAACAGCTACACAGAGATTCTACTTTGGACAATATTTTGTTTTATTTCTTTCAATCCTTCTCTCTCAATTTCTCCTATTTTTCAGCATGGCGACTTTTCCTGAGTCAATTTTTTTTCAATTGACTTCCTTTGATATAACATTTTTGGCGTATATTACTTACTTGTTCTTCTCCATTGTAATGCAATACAGGACATTATAACCACTGTTTGTTTCTCAATTCTTCACTTGTTCTTTTCCATTCGTTATCTGTTCCTGCATCTCTTCATTTGCATGTAAATTTATTTTCTAGTTTCGTTTGTATTATATTCACTAAGTGTGTAAACCAAGTAAATAAGCGTCAGTTAAATTGCAATGTAGGTTCGCGTCGATAAATGCAGATTCAATCCCAGGAACTCCAGTCTGGAGACCAGGCTCTTATTTAGTGATCTCACAATTAGCGGCAGAGTAAATCTGTTCAACGAGCTGGATTTGCAGAGGGAGCCCGTCACCCCCAACCCCGAGGAGTCCTGCAACATGATTTTGCGACTCAGGAAGGCAGGAATAGGGTAAGCAAATATAATTAAGGAAGTGGCTATTAATCTGTAGTCTTCACATAATTACTTTAATAGTAGGAATCAAATTCTTTTTCGATATATTTTTTCTCAAAAGGTAAGTGTACTCGGATCAGTTAAATCTACTAAAACATGTTATTGAAATACATGTTTATGTATAATAAAAATATACTTCTGGATTACAACCATAACACTTGTGAGTTATTTTTTATAGAAAGTTAATGGTTTAGTTTAAATATAAGCAAGAAACATTAATTATTGTTCAACAAAACAAGACAAAGAGGTTGTTCTGTCAATCTTACTATTAACTTCCTTTGAAAACATTGAAAATCTGAATGCAAATTTCAAGAAATTATGAAGCGCTGAAAAAATCATCAAATTATTGTTGTTCCTTTTTACTTTTTTCTTTATCTTTGCAAGCAACAGTCTTGCAAAACACATTTCAATGGCGTGCAACTCTGCCCAACAGAATCGATTGTTTCGGTTCTTAGAAATTAGGCGCGAGAACTTTTTCAAGTTCCCCCAAGTTAACAGTGCGGACTGAATTCTATGGGTAGAGTTTCGCAAAGTCATTGTTAAAGTGCAATTTCCGGTAACCCAAAATTGTCCGTTCTCAAAACTGTGCTAAATGCTGACATCCGTGGCTTTCTTTTAATAATTCTAAACTTCGCACTCGATTAACCACCTGGAGTTTACTATAAACGCGAGTTGAAGGTTATGTTTACACTTGCAATTAAATACCAACACAATTTTCAAACAACGGATATAGTAGGTATATTTGTACACATAGGTATATTTTAATTTTGATAACGTCGAGAGAACAACTAATTTTAATTCACTTTCTCAACCTCTTTTTCTTGCGTTGGGTGAAACCTAGTAATAGTACCTAGTTCAAAAACAAACCCCTGAAGCATTTAGCAGAGCTAGAAGGTAATAATTTTCATCGTTCAGCCTTATCTGTCTACATACAACATCGTTGACTGAAAAAGAACACTTTACTGACCTAGTAAGAAGTGTATTTATAGTAATCTAATGAAACACAAGTAGAGTATCAGGATTCAGACATTCTCATGTAATTATATCTTTTAATTCAACATTTAAACCACCATAAAATTCATGGGGCAGCGACTAGGATATTATCTAATAGGATAGGGTCTTATTAATTTGCAAATTGGAACATCCAAAATTGAATTAAACTGGTGAGTTAATGGGAACGTAAGATAAATATTCAAATGTTAACTACATAGATTATAGCCTTAGTTACGTGAAAGCTCATAAACATTTTCTTTAAATTAGAAGAGTTTAAAATTCTCTTAACACCTTCAAGAACACGTATAATTACTTCAAATGAGGTGACAGAATTCTGTAAAACATATTCTTGTATGAACGAGATGGCAATTGTAATTGCCTATTTAACTGTGCATCCATTAATTAAATTAATCAAATGTTTTTATCGCTTTCGCCGTGAATTCATTATATATGAATTTATTGAATGAATTCAAGTCAAACGAAATGCCAAAGAATGGAATAAAAACATAAACAAACAAATTTAAAAGACTCCTGGTTATTGATGTGAAATTTAACCAAAAAATTTGAGAGTTTGAAAAATAATTTCGTTGAATATTGCAGTAAATAGTGTTGTTAAGTAAGATACAGAAAGTGCTATTAAATTTTAAAGAGCTTATCTAAACCGAATTGCCATTGAATTCGACTATATACCTTCATCAATCACCAGAATCATAACTCACAGTTTGCCCCTTCATCTTATATTTAGATCTCTAATTATGTTTGCGAATGTCGAGCTTAAGATTTTATGCATATACGAGGGGTTCCTTAATTAAACAGTACCTTGGTTTGCCTTGTCGTCATTGTTCAAAGAATTAGCATAATGGCAGAACGCGTCCCTTCTCCATCCTTGGGGAACGCCTGTTAGGATTTTGGAAAGTTTTAAAACAACTTAAGTTCTGTGTTCTGAATACCAAACATCAGCAACTTTTTCGTCATATTTGTGTGATTAAATTTCAAAAACAAACTTAAAATTATAGGAGTTTCTTAGAACGCTAAAGTTTAAAAGGTAGTACTTAGGATTTTTCAAATAATAATAATTAATTCAGCTTTAATATTAACCGCTTATTCCCTTCTTAACAGCAGGGTCCACAATTATAGCCGGTTCGTTATCAAAATTTGAAATAACTTTTTTCTTAAATAGGTTTTATCATATATAAATGCTTTGTGGGTTTAATCGTTTAAATTTATTTTCCTTAAATAGATATCATATGATGCATGTGGTACACAGCCAAGTGTGTCGACTAACGAGTGGCATGACGTCACACGTGCGTTTCATAAAAAAATTCATCAAATCAAGTAATTTTTAACTGACGATACTACTACAGGAAGCAACTTCTATGCGTCCTAATATTTTTTTATTTTCAGGTTTCACACCGAACCAATCCGTCACGATAGGGGGCAATTCAACGTACGGACCGATTCCCACTTCGTCGAGCCCGGTTTCATTTCGGTGTACGCCTATGGGTGTGAGCCGAGACTTCGCGAGCACAGGAGAAATTTTCGGGAAGAAGACGAAGAGCTATCCAGGGAGATGGAAGATATTTTCCTCAAAGGTATCCGATCACTTCTGACTACGTATATGCAAAAAGAACTGCAGCCCGCTATCAAGGAGACACTGATGAGGCATATGGGATACACGGTGTCCTACGGTTGAGAGGATGCACGATATTTATTGTAGATATGTAGATACGAATCATATATTGTGTGTTGTGTGGCGAGAATGTATGTGGTAGGTGGATTATAACGTTTAAGCATCGATTTTTTATTGCACAAATAAACTTCATTGAGAATAAAACTACAGACTGACTTGCTAAAGAATTTTAAGATTTTTGTTTTTCAAAAGGGGATCACCTCAAACTCGGAGACTACACGAAGAACACGAACACCATGTAAATAAATATCTTATCAAATTTGAGAGTAAATAGAGGAGGGGACAAATTTTGTCAATTTTCCCGTATAAGTTCGTGCTCCTTGTCTAGTCTCCCTGACCTGAAATCTTACCTTTCAGTTCTACTGTCAACTATAATACATGAACCAAGACCAGGGAACACGAACAAACTCTAACCTCTTTTCTCTTCTTCTTCTTTCATAGTACTACCGACAAAGGGCGCTCATATTTAAATAGAAATAAAAGCCTACAGTACATTTACTCTATCTTTACAACAAGAAAAGTGTTTGTATTACTTTATTTAAGAAATTAAAATATAAATAGAAAGGCTATTAAAAAAAAATGAATAAAAGAATAAATAACCAATAGGCTAACTATCAAATTACAATATGAAAACGTAGAAAAACATATACCTAATAATGCTCAATTTAAAATAAAACCCACGCTATTTACAAACCAAAGATGAAATTTGTCTTACCATGTACATTCTATGATTGTGTGAAATATACAATGTGTATATATTGTAAACTAGAAAGTAAATAAATAAATGTTTATATTTTTCAGTTTTTTTTTTACTTTTTTTCTAGGACATAAAATCCCCTTTATAAAGTGCTGTATACAAATAGTAATTTAAAATAAATGTGCCACGTCTCTCAAAACCTCTGTATATTTTTCTATTAATTTTCCTGCACTGAATATTAAAGAAGAGAAATATATTTGTGTAATAATTTCATGTTCTAAAATAATTGATTTCTTATAAAAAAAAATGAGAACATTTAAAAAATAACTATTATTACAGATACAAAAACATTGTTATTTCTTCTGCGCAGCAGATCTAGCAAAAACAACTACCAAAGGCTTATCTTTCAAAATATACCCGTTGGTCTCTTTTAAGGCTTTATGAGCAAGTTCTACGCTGTCTAGAGTTACAAAAGCTTGACCTTTCATCCTTCCCTCTTGCATCAGGCGAATATCAAACTGACTAGGTGTTTCACCTTCTGGAACTCTATACCTATTGAATATATATTCGAGATCTTTCGTAACTACAGTTTTCGCACAGTTTTTAATGTACAACCGACATGTCGGCGCACCTGCATGATAGTTCTTGAAAACTGGTAAAACACCAAGATCTTTATGAGATATTCGGTTAGCTGCTAGTTCTTCAGTTGTAATTGAAGTTCTTTCTTCTTCGGGTGGTTTTTCGGGAATTGGTGAAGCTTCTTTGGTCGCGTCAGGCTTCTCTAAAGGCAATAATATTCCAAACGAGCCAACTTTTTCAGTTCCCTGTTGATTTGTTTTGGGCTGATCTAGCACGTTTGACGTAACCTTTACCTCAATTTTCTTATGAACTTGAACGTCCACCTAAAATATTTTTTTATGTATTAATACACAAAATTTAAAGTATTCTTTAAAATTCAAAATACAACAAACCTTATCAAACACATTCTCTGTTTTCTCTGCAGATTTAGGTACAGAACTCGTGACTTGTACAACTGGAGGTTTATTAAATTTCGGTCTTTTAACAACTTGTTTCTGTGGAGCTTTCCTTTTCAGAGGAGTGTATTCTCGATTCCTAAAGCTGTCTTCATCGCTCTCCAGTTCCGATTCCGAGGAACTCTCTGCAGGCTTTATCTCTGGAGTTGGCACTTTTTCTACCGGCCTTTGTACTACAGGATGTTGCGACGGTGTTATAGTTCTTACCGGTGGGGATTCAACAACAAATGGTGGAGGTAAGTTCATCTTATTCATTAGATGCAATACTTGCGTATAAAATCTAGGTATAGTAGCTAAGGCATGAGCAATGTTATTTATCGTAGCTCTGTTTGGTTTGGGGTAGAGATACTTTAGATGAGAAGGAGGAGGCTGATGGAAACCAACAGACTCATTAAAAGCAGTCAATTTGCTTACAAATGTCTTAAAAGATTTTTTATTACTAATGTCACTTTCTTCAACCTTTTTCAGTTGCGATTTACCTTGAAGAATATCATTTTCTGCATATTCTACACAAAGTCTGCAATTTAGAACATTTATTTGGTGTAATCTAAGTAAAACATTCTTAGCTAATTCTTCAGATTCAAATTTCGCATATACAACAGATTTTTCTTTCACTCGAGATGTTATTACTTTCACTTTTGAGGCTCCAAAATGACGTGCGAAATCTTCTTTTTGAGCCTCTGATAACTCTTTTGGCAAATTTTTTATCTTAAGAGTGTCTTTACATACCATTTTGCATGTAAATTAAATTACTGCTTTTCAATTAACATTAAGACAAAATAGGTTATATAGGTTAGAATGGGGATATACGTCACATAAACCACGCCAGAATGACCAACTCTCGCTCCTCAAAATTCACCAACTAGTTGTTATTTGTTTTCGGTAAATAAATATAAATTTCAATTTCATTGTATCAAAATCCCAAAAGAGCAAAGAAACACTGGCTAGAGGTTAGACTAAAGTAAAATAGTGGACGTTTTATAATTCGTGTAAATTTTTTAATTTTTATAGACATGCACTATGGAAAGATACAAAGTTTATGTTTAAAAATGGATTTTTTCTGTATGAAAGTGGAGACAGTTCCTTGTATAGAGCATACATTTAGTTTGTTTTAATATCTAAGAGTATCGCAAAGCAAAATATTTACTTTATACACAAAAATCGTTCAAATAATATTACACAACTTCTCATGAGGTACACAGGTTCATAAGTTTCAATATAAGAGACGACCTTAGAAAACTTAAAATATAATTTTGTTTCAGTTTATGGAGAATTAACTGCCGTAAACAATGGTTGGCTTCGATAAACAACATGAAAAATTAACTCAGTTCGACTTTGCTTTTGCAGGGGGAGCGTCAGGATGTATAACTCGTGCAACTTGTCAACCCTTAGATGTTTTAAAAATTAGATTTCAGCTGCAAGTTGAGCCCATATCACATAAGGCTGTTTCAAAGTATCGTTCAATCTTTCAAGCAGTGTATTTAATTAGTCGAGAAGAAGGAATCAAGGCATTTTGGAAGGGTCATATACCAGCACAATGGCTTTCAATTATTTATGGAATTGTACAGTTTTGGACTTTCGAGGTTCTGTCAAAAAAGGCATACCAATTGAATTTGCCTGCACATACATCTCCTATTGTGAATTTTGTCTGTGGAAGTGCAGCAGGTATAATTGAAATTATTTTTAAGTGCAGTCGATGTATAGATATTAGCATGAATATTAACTGTTACATAACAATGTGGTATGAGTTATTGTTGCAGATATATGGTAATCTAATGCGATATTATTTTTACTACTTTAAAATTTGCAGGTTGTACCGCCACCGTAGTTTCTTTTCCATTTGATGTAATACGGACACGACTAGTAGCGCAGAGTGAACAAAAAAAAGTCTATGAGGGTATTCTACACGCTGGTCAGAACATTTGTAGGAATGAGGGGCCAATGGTACTTTTCAGAGGTTTGTGGCCTACTGTAATACAAATCGGACCTCATGCTGGTGCCCAATTCATGTGCTACAAGATCTTCGATGACTTGTACAAAACGTTCGTCCACTCGACTCACACTACTTTATCGAGTAGCTTAGTAGCAGGTAGTTTAGCAGGATTATGCGCAAAAACATTTATATATCCCTTCGATCTAGCAAAGAAACGATTGCAGATACAAGGTTTTGAGGAAGGCAGGGCAGTTTTTGGGGGTGTTCATTTTCAGTGTAAAGGATTGACCGATTGCTTGGTGAGAATATATAAAGTGGAGGGTGTACCGGGTTTCTTTAAAGGTTTAGCTCCTAGTTTAATAAAAGCCGTTTTCACTACAGCTTTGCATTTTAGTAGTTACGAAATGATATGTAATTTATTGTTATATGCGAGAACAAATTTTTAGTATAGTTTCATTTTGAGGAAATCTCTATTATATTTAAGGTTAAAACTGTTTCGTTTGCTCAGTCGAAGACCAAAGATATTGCTCGAATTATTTATGTACCTCATATTTGTGATATTCTAGGTTTATTTGTTGAAAAACAGAGCTGCGTATAGTTTATTTTAATTGTTTGTTGAAAATTCTGTTATTGCTTTTCTGTTACTGATTTGTTAAGATAAAGCGATTACTACTTGAACGTATTTGTATGTATCTTGTGTTTATTTTTTCTCTTTTGTCTTACACGCCAAATGATCGTTTGCGTAACGAATAACGAATAATAAAAAGTTTTTTTACAATCAGTTTGAAAACAAACTGATTTGAATTATTTGAAAAATAGTTTTGTGCAAAAAAAATGAAAGGATAAAATGTTATCGATATTTCTGCTCACAAGTAGATCTACTTCCATTTAAATTAGTTTATTTATTTAATTTACACCAAGTTGAAATTCAAGTCTCTTTTGGTATTCTTTTTCTATGTATTTGTTTCCACAGTTCAACGCATTGATATTAATTTTTGTTATTTGCACTTATCTACTCGTCTATCTGAAATGAATACTTTGAAAAGTCTTTATAAGTGTAACAAACGTCTAGTCATGTTTAAGTCTGTAATGTTTGTATTGTGATCTTGTAAAAAAACTGAAGGACTCTCGATAAATAAAATATAAATCTTCAAAATTGTTTATTTTTTCATCTCAACCTGAACATTATTAATAAATTAGTTCCATAGAAAAATTTCATATTTTACATAATAAAGCGTCTATTTACATTCTATGACCTACTTAACAAATATTTATGTTATGAAAAATTATAATGAATAGTAATTTTAATGGCTCACTTTCTTTTTTTGGATTTTTTTTTCTTTTTATCCTCGGAACTTGAATCATCACTGGAAGATCTGTATTCCTTCTTTTGCTTTCTTTTCTTTTTCTCCTTTTTAATTTGCTCCTTTCCCTTGACTTCTAATTTTTCTTTCTTAATATCTACCATCTCTTCAGATTTCTCTCGTATTGGGTAAATAGGTAACCTAGCAGGCAGCTTTATATCAGCTTCAATTTGATCGGCGATAGTTTCTCTAAAGTCTGTTGGGGGAGATGGTATTCTCCGCACATTAATTTGAGGTGCACATCCTTCTACATATAATTTTTTAGTTTCTTCCTCTGTATTTTTGTGTTCTTTAGGAACCTTGTAATCAGAAACATGATCCACCCTAATGGTCCGATTCATCACTTTAATTCCGTTAAAATTATCGACTGCTAAGACAGTAGATCTCTGATCTTCGTAACATAGAAAACAAAAACCTTTTGATTTTCCTGTGTCTTTCGAGCGTATCAAATTAATGTTTACTACCTCACCGTACTGAGAAAATATACAAATAATATCTCCTTCAGACAAGTCATATGGCAGTCCGCCTACAAAAACCCATGCACTATTCTTGTACTGGTCATGCCAAGAAGTTTTATTATTTGTTTGCAGTTCTTGTTCGCTCAGTTTTATAACATTTTTCATATTGGTTAAGGGATTCATTTTGAACAAAACGAATGTTAAATTCAATAGTTACAGGTTTTAAGTATAAATTCATTAGGCACAAATCGCTGTTATTAGAAAATTGAAATCTAATAATTTTGAAAACACATCAAAACCGAACTTCAGAGGCTTTTTGACATTGTTTGACAATTGACAAATTGACATTAGTAATGTCAAATTACATTTGTGCGATCACTGAACTCTATATGAGGAATATAGAGTTAAGTGCATAAAAAAAACATGGATCTTATATCTACCAGATTGGACACCGACAAAGAATTTTAAGATACTTTGTTCCGATTGGCTGATTATTCGAATAAGTTTGCCAACGAAAAAAACAAAGTTGTATTTAGAAAGGAACCATAGCTTTGGAATTTCTCGCAAAAAATTAAGGTGTTAATATTTCCACAAGATACAAGAAACTTCATATTGTTTTAAATGTAAACGAATAGAAAGTTAATTTGAGGATTGGTATGAAAATGCCACAGTTGGCAACGTAATCGGCAACATCATGTAACGAAAATACTAAATTACGCGCACCCGCAAAACTTCACGTTGCGCAAATACGTGGCGCACAAGCAGGGAACAAAACATATGAATATTGTTTACGTCACGGCCGCGTCACCAAAAAAATTGCACTTGTGTCGTGTCTGTTTAGTAAGAGCAACTAAATGTACTGATCGTTGCATTTTGTGGATTTGTACAGTGAAAAAACCATGGAAATTATTCGAGAGCTTTCAAATCAGTATGTGCTTTACATACCAACGGCTTTGGTAATTTTTGGGGCGATTTTAGTTTTTACTTTTGGATTTAAATCACCAGAACAACCACCTTTCAATAAACTCTCAAGCGACGACAGGAAGTCGACTGGAAAAAAACGGAAAATAAAAGAAAAGGTAAATTAAATTCTTGTTTATAAATAGCCAAGTAATTTTGATCTGAAAACATTTCATTTTACCTAATTATATTTCTTTTGTTTTGTACAACATATGTTTACTACGGCTTTCTCTTTTTAGTCTTGAATTATTTTGAACGAAATTTTTGGGATTGTGGATAAATGCACACTGACGTCGAGCTCACTTAATAATTACACTTATAAATATAAAAAAGACAGCTATTTGTATATTGTTTGTTTATGTTGTAGTAGTGCCTATGTGGCAAACACTTAGCAGAGTTTTTTCTGAATGAGAAATAACCAATTCCACCTTATATCGCAAAGATAAGGTTAAAACAAAAATTATATTTAACATGGATTAAGTATACAAAATTGTGTGAAATTATATTATTTGCACTACAAGTTTTCATCTAACTTATCTAATTATTGGCTTCTTTGTAATCGTGAAAATTTAAGTATAATGACACATCTTATTTTAATTAGGTATGTGGAAGGATATCATTATGAAAGTACTTAATAAAATACATAGATAAATTAAGTAAGGTACTAGGTACCTACTTTATGTTTTATTATCATTGCTGCTGTTTTTATATATTTAAATATGAATAAACAATGTATGGTTTTTATATTTGGTATTATATAGTTTTTATATTTCTAATGTATATTTTCTCTAATTAAACATAAAGAGCTTTACAATCAGCCAAACTTCAAAGAGCATTTGCCAAGTCTCATTAACTTCCTGCTGCTGAAAATAAATGGCCATAGCAGCTGCAGAAATCTGAAATTATTTTATACTATGTAGTTATTTATAATACAAGCTCGTCTAAAAATTGTTTTGTAATTAATTGTATAATTCAAATTTAAATTACATGATATATGCCATCATACGGTTTGCTTTAAGCAACTTATTGTACATAATTAGCTGACATAATTATATTTGTAATGAATAATAATCCAGAAAAATTCACTATTCAGACAGTTACAAAATTAGTTATAAAATTAACGCACATTGGTATTACTATCTATGCAATGTCCATATTGAACAGTGATAAGTAGGTATTTGTTTTGAATATGTCTGAAAACATATTGATAATGTTTAATGATAAGATTGTTTATTATAAATGTGTTACATTATTATGAATTGAAGTACAAAATTTTGAAACTGAATCACTAAACTTTAATGAAACATACATAATAAATTTCTATATAGGCTATTTATGGTCCAGATAAGAGAAAGTAAATTTCATTTCACGCTTAATTAAAACACCTAGAAATTTTATTTATTGCTGCTGTAACCTACTCTTATAAATTTTACTCCATAATTTGTTTTTATGCAGAAATCTTCTGCAAACGGTCATGTTTCTACTGGAGAAGCGAGACATGATAAGTCCCCAGCAAAGGAGCCTAAGAGGTCGCCAAACAAAGAGGCACCAGAACCAAAACAAGAGAAAAAAGAGAAAAAATTAGATAACAAGCAAGTGGAAAAGACCAAGAAAAATGAAGTCATAAAGAGCAATATCATTGAAGAAGCTAAAAGTAAGAAAAACAATAAGAAGGCGACGGTAAAACCAGTCGATTTTGATGAAGGCGACTGGGAAACAGTGCCACTGAAATCTGACAAAAAGAAGAAAGAACAGTCACCAGCTAAAAAAGAAAAGAAACCAAAGAAAGCTTCCGACAAAGTAGACAAGGTAGAGATCGAAAAACTTGTTAAAGAAGTCGTCAACAAAGAGCTACGTGAGTTAGATAGAGACATTAAAGAGGAAATAACCATCGAAAAAGTGACTAAAAAAGAGGAAAATCTTGTAATTGAAGAACCGGTAGTTGTTGTGGAAGAAAAGAAGGACAAGAAGAAGGAAAAGAAGGCTAAAAAGGAAGTAGTTGAAGAACCTGTGGCTCCTCCTGCAGAGTCACAGGAGAAAGAAACAGTTAAAGAAACTGTTAAAAGCGAAAAGAAGATTGAAAAAACTGAGAGTGCACCTGCACGTAAGGCTCAGTCTAAGGAAGCTGCCCCGGTGTTTGATGAACTTGGTGGTAAGTTTTTTGTACTTAATTTCTGCATGTTGCTATTATTTTGAGTGTACGGCCAATTTCAACACTTTTTGGGGTTTCTCCTATTTCTGATGCGGAAAAAATGATTGAAGCATTTCTGTTCTATTTTGAGAACCACATCTCGATATCTTGACTCCCTTGTTTTGTTTTTATGCTTCCGTTTTAAGCTTGACTCCTTTATTATTTATCATTTTCAATTATCGTTATTACAGATAAAGTAAATAAATAAAATTAATGTATGACAATATTTTAGATTTTTTTAAATAACATTTTCGATCATTCATTAATATTTATTCGCAGATGTATGGACAGAAGCCAAGGCGGCGAAGAAGAGCAAAAAGAAAGCACGTAGGGACAACTAGAAACGTCAGTAATTTAGCTTATTTATTCCTGCACGGTACAGGCTAAGACTGTCGTGTCAGGTACATGTGATTACAACCCCAGACATGTGCTAAGAGACAAGATCTCATAATCTATAAAAAAAAAGACTTAAATAGTTGACTATCGTATTATGATGGGTGCAAAGCACCTGCGGGATATCATACATACTCAAATCCATAATCGAAGACGTAATGTCACAGGCAGCCTTTGCGGGGGAATTTTCATTGCCTGACTGCTGCAATTTAACATGCATTCCATCACAAGGAAAGTAAAACATTTAACTTAGATCCGTAACGATTAGCAATCTTTAAAATGTGTGCCAAAAATGAAAAATCCGAAAAAAATTGTGTAAAAAAACTTTAATCAAATTGTTTAACCTATCCAATGAAAATTTATGGCCTTATAGTGTCTCATATTCGCAAATAATTCATATTTTTAATAATATATTTTTGCGATAAGGTTAAATGGTAACAATCGTAGGTTAAAGTCTTCCAATTGTTTTTCATCGTGTATTCCTAACATTTTTTTGCATTTTGTTTCATTGTATTTTTTTTATTGTTGTTTTAACACCGGGGTTTTAATTTTTTTCAAAGATTTGATATAAGAAATGTGGAATTCTAATATGGTTTATGAGTCGAAAGTGCGGGGGAGGGGACGCCATATTATTAGCAAGTTGATCGTTTAATACAGGACAGAGGAAAACCTGAAATACCTCAATTTACACGAAGTAAAATATTTTTTCTTGGATAACTTCTTTCAGTTCGGATAACGGTTCTTCCATATTCAGTCGTGGACAATTAACGACGTTATTTTACACGAAAATTGTTATAATATTTTTACTTATAAATTAAAAAATGTAGTAACGATTCATATTGTGCCGCATTTATAAGTAAAAAGGTGAAAGAAAATAATTTTAATTAAATATTTTTTTTAAAAAAGGCGTACCTGCCGCAAAATATTTGTTTATGCCGAAAAATGGACAAAAAAACTCCAAAATATAAAAGAAAAGAAAATTTTGTTAGGTTTGAGTTTATATGTATATTTTTTTTTTTAATTTTATTATGGTTTTAAGTTGTGATAATTTAAATTTTTTTAGTCTTAGTCTCCCCGAAATCCTTTACAAAGCGGTGGATGCTGGGTGTTACGGTATTTTACATTATTTTGTTAAAATGCTTCACCGAAAAATAGACATAAATCGAAAATGCAATGCAATTCAACGTAACTAGTTTTGTTTTGTTAATTTATTTTAAAAAGTTTGTTTTTTGCATTTAAAATGTTCTTTAAAAATTATTTAACGGGTACTCATTTTTTGTAGGTATAGTTTTAACGTGGTAATTTTAGGGTAAATCTATTTTTAGGGCATTGGCAGGGTATATACCAACTTGAAAGTAACGGAATATATCTAATTTTTTAATTCCAATTGCAATTAATCTGCGTTTCTTAAGACGGTGATATATTTTTATAGATTTTATTATGCAGTTTGTCTAAATATGAATCTTTGTACAAATAACAGACTTTCCTCCATTGTAACGCAGATTTTCTATAAAATGGACTTGGTTTGAAACTCAAATTACTTTTTGTGGTAAAGAAATTTGTAATTTACGATGTTCAAAACTGGCAAATTACAAATTTCTTTACAACAAAAAGTAATTTGAGTTTCAAACTAACCCCATTTTATAGAAAATCTGCGTTAAAATGGAGGAAAGTCTGTTATTTGGGCATTGATTCATATTTAGACAAACTGTGTAATAAAATCTATAAAAATGTGTGTTGCTGTAGACCCCTCTTAACTGATATACTCAGGGTTGTATTTCTAAATTATGCGCCCTGGACGAATATAATCGGCCACCCCAGTACCTGTTAATAAATGTAAAATGTCAGCAAGAAACCCATTCTCAGAAAAAAAATTTAATCTGCCAAAATTAAAAATAATTCCTACATTTTTCAACAAATATGAGAATTATTGGCTAGGATCTACTCGTCATATGATCTGTTTATTTTGATTTTTTGAAAAATATATTTTTTTAAATTTCGGCTTATTAAAATTTCCTTCAAGCAAACATCTCCCAAGTTTCTAAAATCATGTGTCCCCGATTGCGTTGCGTCAACAATCAAGATAATGCAATCGCTGATTTGCTGAATAAAATCTCGTAAAAAATTATGCCAATCTTGATCATTTTTAATTTTACCGAAATTTAGTTGCCAATGTGAAGAAAATAAAATTACTGGTGACGTGGCTTGTAATCATTTATGAAGGCTGTACAATCTTTATGGCGGCAACTGTATAATTTTCGAAACAGTCGTGAGACACAATTGAGAACTGAACTGGTGGCTATTGACAAGTGGGAACCGATAAAGAACTCACTTTTTTTGTGCAAAGTGGTAAATTTACCAAATTCAAATCTGTTTGAAAATATCAAGGAATTTTTTTGTGAAAATTTGGTATACGCCCTGCATTAGGTAAAATATGCGCAGCCTTTTCTACTGTGCGTTCCTTTAGTGGTGCAAAAATCGTTGTCGAAATTTCTTAAAATAGGCGTCTTTATGTTTATTAATTTATTCTAGTCTGTTGGCATCTAAAAATAATGATAATTTTTAAAATTAACTAATTTTAGAATGTCATAATATTTTCATTTGAAATACAATTCTTGTTACAATCGGACATTACTAATGACAAAAATTTTTTTTTATAGGTAAGTATACAGTTATTTTTCTCAGTGCGAATTTTCTAACCTCAAAAAACAGAATTGCGAAATTCATTCTGTAATATTTTTGGTTACAGTCATCTTGGATCCGCCATCTTCAATTTTGCAAAATTGATCTCGGATCCGTGATCACTGACCCCGAAAACCCTCTTATACCAAATTTGGCGCGAATCGGTTATTTTTTGAAAATTCGTGATATCTGACCTTAATTGATCTAGGTGTTGAATCATTGATCTGCGAGGCAAAATTTCCAGTTTAATTTTTTTTACAGATATCACTAAGTATTCATATTAATATGAACCAGTTATATTTAATTAATTAAAAGGGATCTTAAATTTGGAAAGAAATACATTCCTCATTTTTGATATTTTATTATACAGCATCAAAATTAATGTACTACTAAAAATATATCACAATGTCAGTTATGTTTTTATTTCAGCAATAAATTGCTGCTTCCTCGATTCACAACTGTAGAAAAATGTGTATTTTTAAAGTCATTGCTGAGAAATAAACCAATAATCGAAAAATTAATAATTTTTTTTTTTTGTAAATAGGAAATTATGTGAATTTAATACAGTTTAGTCGATTAAAGTTTATCCTTCACATACCACATTTCCATACATATTTTGAACTTTACTAAAATTGCGCCTCCTTTTTTTTAAATATTTTCATGCAGATTCTGATTTGTCAACAATGATTTTTGCACCTATAAAATCTTACATTTAGTATTTTGTTATTAGTTACTATTTGTGTTATTTTCTCTTTTTGAGTTTCTTTTTTTTTCGTATTCCCTAGGTGATCAATCATATATTCCTTAATAAGGTACATTGTAAATAAGCAATTATGCTTAAATTTGATATTTCAATGTTTAGGTATGTACAAACCTAATCCGTTTTAAATCGTATTGTGTTTTATATCGTAAACACATACAGGGTGTATATTTTTTCTTAGTAAGATTCATGTGGTGTAGTTATTTATATTTTTTATAAAATAAAAAATACATAAATTCTTTATCTAGTTATGTATACTTTGACAGTTTATTAATTTTTCTTACCTAATTTACTTTTATGTTGACCATATTGTATTTTTAAAATGTACATAGCTGTGTTATTCCATAAATATATTAATTGTTGTAAATGGTTTTGTATTAGGTCAGTGGAATGTTATCTTGTGGGGACCATTTTTAAAATATATTTTAAAAGCTACTTTGGCTCTCATTTAAACCCACTTGCCATCGTTACCATGTAACATCTTTATGGGTTAATGACGGATATTGCATCAAATATAAGTCTAGACTGCCAAAAATAAAGTTCTTGGTTAACCATTTTTGGTAAATGTTGGGGAAACAATGAATGGTAAGTATAATAATTAAATAAAATATCTCAAAAGGTTGTAGTTGTAATATTTACATTAGGGTGGCCCCAAAAAAACGACCATTTTTTTTTTGTGTCTTGTGAAAATATGTTTATCATATTTTAAGAGGTCGCTCAAGATTTTTAAAAATTTCCAAATTCGTGGAATATTGATTTTTTTATTTTTTTTTTTCTCATTTTATTATTTTCTAGGTTGGAAAAATTCTCGATTTTGAAAATTTCAAATCGATATTTTAATTTCTAAAGGTCACTCATAATTATTTTAACTTTAAAAGTAGTGTACCTAAAATGTTTTCGAGCGATTCCTAAAAATAAATATGAATGAATCAATAATTTTTTTTATTGAATTTGATTAACAAAACAATAGAAATAAATCACGAGACACTTAAAAAATTTCTCGAGGCAAAATTTACTTGCTACTTGTAATTTTTTAAAATTTAAATGTCTCGTGATTTATTTCTATTCTTTTGTTCATCAAACTAAAAAAAAAAAAATTTGTTCGTTGGTATTTATTTTTAGAGGTCGCTCGAAAACGTAGGTACACTACTTTGAAAGTTAAAATAATTATGAGTGAGCTTTAAAAAAATTTTTTTGAGCTGGTTTTTTTGAGGGGGCTCTTGAAACATGATAAACTAACATATTTTCACAAGAGACATCTACTAGAAAGAAAAGAACCCATTTTAATAAAATTAACCACCTTTTGAAACCGCCAAATCTATATTTAGTAAATAATAGAGCGGGTTCAACGACTAACAGCACGTTTACCAAATGAACTTTGTCTAAATAGAGTTAATTGAACCATAAACAACAAAACTTGCACAAAATGTTGAAGATTCCGAACAGGATTTAGTCGCCCCTAGTGCATTTGCAACCATGGAATCAAAGGTGCAAGACTTTAGAGACAAAACGCAAATTATTAAGAGGGCTCTATAGCAAATAGGCAACCAACAATACATTTTTATAGATTTTACACACAATTTGTCGAAATATGAATCAGTGTCCAAATAACAGACTTTCCTCCATTCTAACGCAGATTTTCTATGAAATGGACTTGGTTTGAAACTCAAATAACTTTTTGGTGTAAAGAAATTTGTAATTTACGACGCCACCGCCAACAAATTACAAATTTCTTGGCAACAAAAAGTAAATTGAGTTTCAAACAAAGTCCATTTTATAGAAAATCTGCGTTAGAATGGAGGAAAGTCTGTTATTTGTGCCTTAATTCATATTTAGACAAACTGTGTAATAAAATTTATAAAAATGTATTGCTGGTTGCCTATAGAGACCTCTTAAAGTAGAAGATAATTATTAACTCTATGCTTAACTATAATAACAAATTATATCTTCTACATACACGTATTGGCTAATTGCAATTAATACACCACACGATTTTTGAACTGTAAAGACATCACTTCAGAGAAAAACTTATTTCTAGTTTGTACTGCAGTTGTGTTACGAAAAAACCGAGTATTTAAGAGTATCTGGTTATAAACTTCACCATTTTTGATAAACGTGTACCTTTGATAAACTTTTTTATGCCTGGTTCGAAAGTCAACACCTAATAAAATTAGTTAGCTTTCTGAATGTAGATAGTTTTGTGGAACAAGATTAATAGTTCATTCCATTTTCAGCTTTTACTGTCTCCTTCCTCTTCCAAATTTCATTAAAATATTTAACAAAATACATTCATCAAAAACAATTAACCAGTAAAAGTTTTTTGAGTCTGTAATTATTTAAGAAAAAAATTATATCAAAGTAAATTGATCTAAGCTGATTTATTCTTCCTTGTTTATCAATTATCATTTTATTAAACCATACAATGAGCATTTCAACACAGCTGTTGAAACTACTTTTATGATCTGATTCTTTCTCTTCATGTTAAATAGGTACCTACCTACCTTTACATATTTTGGTTATTTTTTCATCGCAAAAAAAGTTTACATTTCGACTACCGACTATTAAAAACAAACAGACCTACGATTTCTACAGAAGAGCATTGAACACCGTGTACAGTCGGCAACGCTAATTACGCACTCTGTCGAATCTGATGACCCAAATTTTGAAAGTATGGAGGTATGCTCGTAGATTAGATAATGCCGAGAGATGTACAAATTCCTTAACAAATCAAAGCACCACCCTGAATACAAATCATTTCGAGTGTCCTTTAATTTATATACATGGAATTGCAAGAGCAATTTGACAATATTTTTCAAAGTGGGGGTGTAAAATATAAAAAGATGGTAAAGACTTCTACTGATAGGTACAACGGCAGTTTTGAACAAGCAACCACCTTGAGAAAACTCCAAAATGTTTAAATTTGTAAGTAGAGATAAAAATGTTTATATGTAGTTATAACAAGTCAAATTTCGTTTCTTTTTATTACAGTAGTATTAATTATTTATTAAACTAACCATTATAAATAACAAACACAAAATAGAAAACAATTGTCTCACTTTAAATAAATTTTTTGAAAAAAAAAAGGTAAGTCGGGGTTTATTAACTACTATTACCCAACTGGGACTTATTTTTTAAAGAAGAATTACATAATTAATTAATCACTTGTGTGATTATTTTTCAAAACTGAGTGTACTTATCCTTTAAAGGAAGTAAATGTTTTAGTTGAACGAAAAAAGTTTAAGGTACAATGTATTGCAAAAAAACAAAGGCCATGATTGGCTTTTATGAGAAACTAGAGTGGAACAAATTTAAGGAAAGATTTCTCTCGTTAAAATAGTTAAGAGGTTAATTATTAGCAAACATTCTTCCACAGATTTTGATCCTCTCTGCATCAGCCATCATCGCTGTCTCCGGTGAAGCTAAACCAGGCATTTTGGCCGCTGCTCCTCTCGCCGTAGCTCCTGCTGTGGTTACTGCTACAAGTTCGCAGGTGATCGCCCGTAACTATAACGCGTTAGCTGCCCCACTCGTCGCCGCCCCCGCTGTTGCTGCTCCAGCCATCGCCAATCCGTATATTGCCTCGCCATATCTGGCTTCCCCATATCTTGCCTCACCCTATCTATCAGCCCCGTTGGTAGTGGGTTGAAGTTTCTTGAAATTGTACACGTAGTGTTTAAGGAATAAAAATTCGTTTTGATTGGTACCTTTGTTTTTCATTTACATTATGAATTATACAATCCAATTTAAATTTTGTCATGTGATCTAGAACGCATTGTGATGTCACATAGTTTGCCCAAGAACACAACCTGCTGTCTAGTCTACCGATCAGACGGAACCTATTCTAAAGAAACACGCATCTAGGGAGCTTCGAAGATTAGTAAATTTGTATAGTCTGGTTGTACAAATACAAAAAATCATACATGTTTTTCTTAAACAAATTAACATTGAATAGCAAATTGTCAAGAAAAATTGTAATGATAACGCAAAATTAGGCAAAAATTAACTAGCGCATTAAAAAAGTCTCTTTGTACAGGAATTTTAGAGAAAATAGAGAATATGAATAATAGTAATACATATTACATCATAAGTTCTTGGCTATGGTTTGTTAAATTAAAATTTGTTAGTTAATGAAAAAATTACATTCCTCTCAAAAGATCAGTATTTAGGCCAGGAAAAAGAGCTGGGAAATTACAATTTCGCGACTTTTTGTTTCGGCAAGCTGAATTTCATGGTAGATTTCATAATAATACATTGAAATCTATAATTTTTTTTTTAATTTCAAATTTGCAACCTGGAAAGTTTTTTTATTTTTTAGCCTTAGTTGCAAAATGAAATATACGACGCATGCGCGTGATATAGTTATATATTATTACATATTTGGAAAGCTTATGAAAAAAGCTTTAAGTAAAAAAGAAAAATCGTCAAGATTCGTTGAAAAATAACGGAGCTACAGACTGTCAAAGTTGACGGCCTATTGTTAAACAAATTAGGTTGGTAGCGGCAAAAATAACACTGTCATAACCGGCAACCCGAGTACTTTCCCAGATAAAAATATTTTGTTTGTAGAAGTATGTTAAGTGCATAAGAAATATTGTCAAAAGTCAGTGGGTCGCTTGATTTTTCGGCGAGTTGTGGCGCGGCGGAAGGGTGGGGAAAGCGAACGACAGCGAGTCCGAAAAAAAGGACAATAATATTCATAGTCCTGCCGTTAAAAAAGCGAAATTCGCTTGAAAATAAAATATTTGACAGTCTGTAACATTGTTTTTCAACGAATCTTGACGATTTTTTTTAACTTAAAGCTCTTTTTATAAGCTTTCCGAATATGCAATAATATATAACTATATATTAAAAAGTCTAAAAAATAAAAAATTTTCCAGGTTGCTTTGAAATTTAAAAAAAATATATAGATTTCAATGTATTATTATGAAATCTACAATGAAAAAAATCAGTGCGATTGTGGAAGATGCTCAGGATCGTCCAGACTAATAATTAGTTAATTTGTTTATAAGGTCATAACTTGTAAACTATTCAACTTACCGATTCCAGATTTCGTGTGAGTGACAGTGATAAAGAATGAGAGGATGCGATGCCAAAATGTTCTGGTAATAAATAATAACGCAGTTTATATATGTTTAATTCAAAAGTCATAAATAAAGTTCTTCTATGTAGCCGATATAATTCTATTTTAGTAGATATTTTTATCAATATACAGAGTGTATATTTAACTGACACACTTCCTGTAACTTCTATACGGATTGTCTAACCGATGTCAAACTCGCCATCGTAGAATAAAAGGTTAAGATCCCTCTGACGACGATGAACTGTATTGTTGTAGATTGCTATTTCTCAGATATAACAGGAAACTTTAAATGGAATACAATAATTCATATTTTTACTTATTTGGATAGAACACTCCCCAAGATTACAATAATATATATATTTTAAATATTTTATAATATACAGACAACCCGTATAAGAGTTATAAGGGGTATGTCACTAAAAAACACCCTGTAGAGGTAATCTAAAATGTTGTATTAATAATTGTATCGGTTTTACTTCTGTTACCAATTTCTTTAACATTTAACCTGGTTACAAATGTTACCATTATTTTAAAGCTTTTAATTATGAACAGGGGCGGCCTTAAGCATTGCGAGGCGCCGGGCGGCAGATCTTTGCGAGGCCCTTCATTTTTGTGAAATGTTCGTAAATCGAATGTGCGAGTAGATATTTCTGATGATTTAAGAGAAATGCAAAAGCTATAAATTTTGAGTTTTAAGAGATTTTTAAAAGTTAACAAATACAAAGACGACAAATTTTTACTACTTATTAAATATTAATATATTTACTATAAATTAACAAACTTTATTTTATTGTCATATACTTATATAACTAATAGCCAAGGATAAAATAAAGTTTTAAATATAAACTTTTTTTTACTTGGGTTGTTGGCACCCCCTAAGGCCGCCTCTGATTATGAAAAAATATGAGTAGGTACATTTATGGTCAAGATGTAGGATGAATATTTTTAATGTACTTCCCACTTCTATTCAAAGTGTAATATCTCTGTACACGGGTGATGAAATACTCAAACTGAGAAAAAAATAGGTTTTAAGATATACACAAGGTGGAAACATAGTTTGATCAATTACCCAACAGCAATTGAAGACATAAACTTGAAACTTGTCATTTCTCTCATACTACTTACCGATATGTAAAAAAATGATAAAAACTAACCAGTAGCGTGCGAATCAAAAGGGATCTGAAAAGTTTTTGTACTTTTAACCGTAACCAGTGCATTCATTGTGCGAAATAAATTCTGGAGACAAAACTTTTTTTCGATAATAGACTAAGTCTTCAGGGTTTGACCCTGAAAGTGTTTTGCAACGTCACTATTACACTGTGGTATAAAATAAAATTTTATCGTTCTTTCTTATTTTTGCCCAAGACTTAGAAACAGATCAGTGGTGAGTCATGTGTAAGTTTCTAAAGTCAAGTCCTATCAACAGTGGAAAGTAAGTAACGGGCATACATTTAAAAAACAACTAATTCACGAATTTTTAAAATTTCGGATTTCAAAATATCTGCACCTATTTAGTAAACATACGTTTAAGCAGATATTTCGCAAAAATGTCAAGTACGAGTTATGTAACATCTCCTATCAACTCATAAACGTCCAAATTGTAATCGAACTGATGAAAACGCGCAGCATACAAATTATACTCAACCTTATACATATCTGCATCTGGCCACCCTGTGATTTGAATGATAATACTAAATCAAACTCATTATATATAAAGAAAAAATACAGTACTTCTTTATCAGTTCAATTCGTCGACCCACAGAGGTTCAAACAAATTACAACCATGTACAAATTCGTAAGTAGAAACAAATGTAACAGCAATCAACTGAAATATTAAGACTATATTTAAAAAAATAGTACGAAATACGAATCGAATTTTTATGATATTGTCAAATTACAAACCCAGTGACATACCCAGAAGGTGGAACCGTAGGTATATTAGAAAATATATCCACAGTTTAATATGATTTTCTTTTATTACTTCAATGAAGCTTTTATCATTCCTTCTGGTGTGTCACTGAGGCAATCTGTCCATAGGAAACTATTAAACAAATGTCTCATTCGCTTTCAGAAATGTATACTTAAAAGTATACGTGTGTACTGCGGCTGTAGTCCGCAGGGTAGTTGCTTCCACAAAATCATTGCCTCAAGAGCATGGTATTACATTTTTTATTTACACAATTATCTATTTACAGGTAGCCATCTTCGCTCTTGCCATTGCCTGCGCCTCTGCTGCAGCTGACCCAAAGCCAGGCATACTAGCCGCTGCACCCCTAGCGGTTGCCCCCGGTGTCGCGCCAGCCGTCGTAACCGCTACCAGCTCGCAATCCTTCATTCGTAACGCAGTAGCCGCTCCCCTCGTAGCTGCTCCTGGCTTAGCCGCCCCTTACTTAGCTTCACCCTATGTAGCATCGCCCTACTTGGCTTCACCTTATCTGGCTTCCCCATACGCCTCCCCAATCGTCGCCCTTTAAATGTATTTGTACGATTTCAATGAAATGTTCGTAAATAAATAATAAAACTATAAACTGAATATATTATTTTGTTGTTTACAAATTTCGAACTGAATACCAACCGTATTTAAGAAGGTTTATCAAAATTACTAATTAAAGTTAAATTGCCAAATTATTTTAAAAAGATGGTAGACATGTTCATCTAACTAACGAAATAAAATGATCAAGTGTATAAAATTAACGGTATATTTATTCTTAGTTGTCCATAAATTGCATTATAAAGTCATACACAGGTTCATAGATCAAGTCTTTAGCATTGTGGGCAAATAAGTAGTCAATATGATTAAAATTTTCGTGCGGTACTTCATAGATCATCGCAACATTTGGAAGAAGCTTCGACAGTTCATATATAGACTAAAATAAAGTTTTCATAATATTTCTTATGATATTAATAGTCAAATGGGATGGGATATTTTATATAATATATAAAATAAGCTTGTTGCTGAAGTTTTCCAAGATTAGAGACGATTGTGCCAAAAATAACCAACTCCAAGATCTTAGCTATAATCTAAGGCCTCTACTTAAAGTTTCTAACTAAAGCAGGCCTTTCTAGTGACATTATGTGTAAGCACTGGAATGTTGAATTGTTGAAGTGCATATTAGTGTGTTATTAGTAATTTAGTTAAAGTAATACATTTTGCCAAAAAACGTATTACCTTCATGGATATGAGATTATCGCCATTGGCCATGAAGAGGGCCACTGGCACCACAGAATTGTTTATGTTGTATTCTGGTGGGAATGTGTTGTTATATTTTATTAAATTTGTGCTCTTTTCATAGTCGTATCTCCTAAAATAACCTGTAAATTGAAGAGTTATGCCGTATTGCAACCAAGAATGTGGCAAAATCAAGCAATTTTTTGTCGAGAGTTTAAGAAAATTCAAGGAAGCTAGAAATAATATCTCTTCACTGTATCAGTTATGCAAGTTTTTTTCAGGGTATAAGGAATGTATTTCAATAGTTCTATAATACGGATACTGTCGGAAAGATGGCGATAGTTACAATAGTTATCCTAGGATTTTTTCGTCTCTTACAAAACTTACCACTTTTTATAATTTGCCCAAAATGAAGGACTTGGTAAACTGAAAACCCTGAAGGTGAACAATCCACAATAGTAGGTATTAACGACTAAAATCAAAATTACATGTTTTAACCTCTAAACCGAAGAATCCGAACAATAATTTCCACATTTATATTTATTTTACTTACAATATTAATGAGACCTGACTCCCGTCCTCCAATGAAAGATAATATATCACTGCAAGCATCCATAAAGTCACTTGAAGACGTACAGAACCATTTGAGAACTCTGTTGAATATCGAATTGTTTGGGACAATTAACTCGTAGTAACTAAACATACTAACAAGCCTCTAAAAATATAACTGTGAATGAATGTGAGCAAATATTAATATAAGAACCATTTACTTCCCAGAGTTTATAGAATCTAAACAAAAATTTGGATAAATTACTTTCTGTGTACTGCATCAACACAGCGGGGGCAAGCAATGCTGCAGCTCTGATTTTCTGGTTGTATTCTGGTTTTTCCGATGTCAAAATGACATATGAGGCTCCCGCTTGTGAGTGTCCTACATAAAATATGAAAGTATTATTGGTACTTTCTAAAATGTAATCGATATTAGCTGGAAGATCGTATACACCAATCTCGTGTAGACTGAAATAAAATTATTGTATGTATTTGAAAAAACATTTAGAACTGCCTTTAATACTTGAAATTCCAAAAGCCAGATGCTTGAAAATAGTTCGGACTTCTAGTTTCGTGTCTTCTAGAGTGAACAGTTCCCCTGGCATTGAACAACCAGACGTCAAATCCTCTATCGGCCAGAAGAAATGCTAGCGCGTCATTTGGTCCCAGTATAATGAAATTTTCAGCGCTCCCTGCGATTCCGTGGACTAATAAAACTACTTTGTTATTTGTTTTACTAGAAGCTTTTCCGTGTGGTATTCTATGGGTTTTCAAAATGTATCCGTCTTCAGTTACTATTTTGTGCGTTTCAGCTGGATATCCATATTTTGCTATATACTTGGCCTAAATAATTGTATATGATAATTTTAAAAGTCGAAGGAAACCAACAATAACACCTGTTTCTTTGTGTATCAACTCAACAAGTTTTTTTCCATAATTAGTTGTCATTATTACAATTTTAATGAATCTAGGTCAGATATTTAAATAAATGCGATTTTTTTTTTTAATTTTAACATGTATCGAAAACGAACTACAATATCTTTATTTCCGTGAATATTTTTTTTATTTTAAAATGTTTTGTCATCAAGCAAAGTTTGAGATACTTGTATTTTACGATTTTTAGTTCTAATATTATTTATTGTAAATAAGTGTACTTACTAATTTGTCTTGATGAACAAGTCCAATATGACAGAATAAAATTGAAACAATGAAAATCTCTGACAACATATTTTAAAACTGTTGTCCGTTAGTACGACTTTGAATAAATTAGTGTACATTTCCGTTATATACAAGTCAAATAATGAATTATTTGCACCACATATGGAATTATTTTCGCATTATACCACATACAAGAATCCTAATACATTTTAAATTATGGTATTTTGAGTTCAAATACTTCATGATAAATATTGCGTTGACTAAATGCGGGTTAGCAACTGAATTTTAAATAGATATTCTGTTTTACGACAAAAATAGAATAAGAAAACTCAGAAAAAAGTTTCAGCTCATTTTATTAAAAAACAGGTAAATGTTGTTCTTCTTCCTTTTCATTTTAGGAACCTTTTTGAACAATATTAGCGTTAGCACTAACAATATAGGCACTAGTGCACGATTTAATTCTAGATTATTATAAAAAGGCGTAGGTAAATCAAGTTACTAATATTGTTCTAAATTTAAGCTTTAAAATAGAATGGCCTCGTAGATGGATTATTTAGAAAATAAAACAGATTCCAACCAGTGCAAGATCTTAACACATCCCATTAATATTGCATAAGGGTACGTGATATCAAATCGTGATACCAAGCCATCAGGTATTTGTGTACAAATTAAATGTACAAATTTGTCGGGGCTTACACTGCATACAAATATGTAACCTTAAAATACTATTTACAGAATAACTCAATAAATTAAGTGGGGGAAATCTTATATAAAAATAAAGTTAAATCAAAAAATATCAATCAGTCTGCTGCATCCACCAAAATGTTCAAATTTGTAAGTATCATTTCTTGTACCTATTTTTTAGTGAATTTTAGAGATTTTTGATAAAAAAAAATATTTTTCAAAATTGACTAGTCTCAAAAATTGTTATTTTATTGGAGAACTATAAAAGTGAGATTTTTATATATAAATTTCACAATATCGTAAAGTATTTGAAGTTAACAAAATATGTTTTAAAAACATTTAAATATTCTCCATTATAGTTACTGTTTTCTCAATTATTCTTAATACAATATGGTTCCTCTAATAACGAAAAATATGTTGCAAGGACATTTGTTACTTAATTTTTTGAAGATAACTCCGTATAGATATTTCAACGAAACTTGATAAGCAAGAACTTTTGTGATAGCTAAATATGAACATGTGCTTATTTTTTTACGTAAAACATATAGGTCACTGGAAATATCTAGACAGTCTTTTGTTTTTATTTTCTTTAATACACTCAATCACTTCTTCAATCATTTAATATAAAAAATGTATACTTATTGCATGTCGGTAAAATGCACCATTCCAGGTAAAGTAAAGTATACTTACCGATATCTACGTTTGAGATAAAAAAAATAAGCTCATATCCATGTTTGGCTCAAGAGAAAGGAAAAGGAATCACCTTTACAGTATGATACATTCGCTTCCGGACACCCTGTACATGCAAAATATTGAAATATATCTCATTACATTATTAACGATATTTGTAACATTATGGTTTCATAAAAATAATTGTTTTTGGTTTATACTGTGAATATACTGAAACATGTTAAATGTATTTTTCAGATTGCAATTTTCGCCATCTTCGCAGTCTTCTCTGCATCCGCTGCTCCAAAGGCAAAACCCTTGTTGGTGGCGCAATCTCTAGCTGCACCCTATGTGGCTTCCCCATACCTCGCATCTCCATATCTCGCTTCCCCCTACCTGGCGTCGCCCTACGCGTCGCCCTATGTAGCGTCGCCCTACGTAGCTTCACCGTTGTTGTCTGCTCCATATGTTGCTGCTCTTTAAGGATTTAAGTACTGGAATTTGAACTATGCACTATCGACTTTGCGATTCTATGAATGCTGGATGAAAATTTTGTACAATAAAGATGTTTTGATTTACGTTTTGTGTTTCTGTCATTCCTTATATAGCAATATTAGTTTCAGCGTACTTCAAGGCACTATAAAATACGTGTGAAATGTAGTATATAGAAATATATCTCAAAACCATCAATTTAAAGATTTCTTTGTTTATATAAGTTGTAAGTGCTTCTAGCAAATTGAGAAATAAAAAACAGGATATAATTGACATCTTTTATTTATTTTGGTTGACTAAACTGAACTGTGAGATAATTTGTAAGTGTAAAAGTCTACGACTGATCAACAAAACAATAAGATTCTGATTGGAAGGGATCAACTTTTACCATTTTCATATCTTTATTTCTTCTAAGTATAACAAAGACTTTTTATGTCATTTATGAAATCATACACTAATACAATAATAATATTAACTTCCTGCTTCATAACTCTGTTTTTTTTTTAACAGACAAGTGAGTAACTTGGGTTTTTTCCGAGAATATGGTTAAGGAATGTGGATTATATGAAATAATTATTTGAGTACTATAAAATATGTATTGAATACTCAAGGATGAACATTCTTATGTATATTAGTAGTAAGGAGTAATACTAATAAGTCTGATTTTTTATTTATAGATGTCTTGGATTGGGGCTAATACTGTATTCAATTATGTCTTAATAAAGTTCCATTTACACATAATATTGGGACACCTTGTATATCTTTAATATCTTTCCAAAATAATTTAGTTTTATTTTTATTTTATCACATTGTTAATTAAAACAAAACTAGAAAATATATATCTGCGCCATAAAAATGAATCAGAGCTTGTTTTTTAACAAACATATTACTAGAATATCATTAGTCACAATACATATTGTTGATATTTCACAGATTTTCTAGGCAAAAATGTCTTCTTTGGTTTTCAAAACTATATCAATTTTCTACGTAATATACCAGCTGACTTGAGTATGGCCTGTTGTCAGTCCATGTAAAATACCAACGTTTGTCAAAATAATTGTCATTCATTTTGCCATTGAATATATTCACGAATTCATCATTTGAATAGTTGACAGCTTACTTAGGTATACTGACAAGCTGATAAAAAATGACTTATACAGGGTGTTTTGTGAAAAGTTACCATATATTCAGTAGTTGGAACATGAAAAATTGAGACCATTTTTTCTTATGAACCATGTACCCAACGTCTTGTGATTTTAAGATACAGAGCGTCAAAGATGATTTTTTCAAATTAAATTCCTGTATATTAAGGATTAGAAGTTGACTAACTTTGAGATAATCAGTTGTTTTTTTTTTCAGATGCAGTGAGATCACAGTGACTTTAACAAAACTACTTTTTTTGTAATACGAAATTTTCTGTTATAATATACGACATACGCAGTAAAAATATCTATTCTCAAAATATTCATGTTAAAAAATGTCACTGGAAAAGATCACAGCTAGCGACATCTAGCGGATGGTTAAAACACTGACCTATTTAGTCTACACAGAAACTTATTTGTACCAAATTTCAGTGCAATTATTTTTTGGAAAACAAAAGATGACGGTTCTCAGGAAAAAGCGTCTTACCTTTTTTCATGTTCTATCTATTATATTTTTAGTAGATTTATTTTTCCAAAACACCCTGTACAATTTATATTTTATTTACGTAAAAAATATTACTACAAAAATCCACAGATAATTATTTTCAGACAATATATTTAATTTATTTCGAAGCAGTATATGTGTTAACAACTAATGAAATATGTATTCATAGATTAAACATAAATAATTGTATCTATTGTAACTTCTATATATTCTGATGAATTTTTGTAGGAAAATATGCACATTCAAAATTCGGATTCAGATTTTATTATGATTGCCTCGACATGGTTGATGTGATGCGTTATCTATTGCATTCCAAATACCTGCCTACATATTTTTGAAGACGATACCCATTCTTACAAATTTGGCAAAGCAGACACTGTTATATAATAACAATGCACACAGAATAATAGATAACCAATGTAATAATCGATATACATACTACATTTTACGATGAAGATGTGCTTGGAATACAAAAAGCATCCTAAATTAAGGATTCGTTATTTAATACCATCGAACTGACCTACAATTAACGATTCGACCTGCTGGAAGGGGTAACAAATATAAATAAGCTTTATCACGGGACAATAGATATCAATCAGTCAAAGACATCACCAAAGAAAGTCAAAATGTTCAAGTTTGTGAGTATATTATCTTTGCAATCATTAAATTTTTATTTTAATATAATTCTCAATCTTTTGATAGTGTTTATATTAGTCTCTTACATAAAATTAAAATGAAAGTTTAATAATATTTGTTATTCTTTTTCTTCGTATATTTAGATTTCAAATTTTTGTATTGTTTTTATCACATTTAACACAAAAATCTTTATTATAATATTTCCTAAATATATGTTTGTTACTTTTTCAGATCATTCTTTCCGTCCTCGCGGTAACCGGTGCTTTGGCAGCACCTAAACCCAGCGTTTTCGCAGCCGCTCCTCTAGCAGTTGCTCCTGCAGTAGCTCCCGCAGTGGTTACAGCTCAAAGTTCCCAGGTGGTAGCTCGCAACTACAACGCTCTAGTGGCTCCAGTAGCTCCAGTTGTTGCTCCAGCCCCATACCTGGCTCCCGCCCCATATCCTGCTCCATTTGTAGCTCCTTCTCCATACCTTGCCGCAAGTTACAGGGTTGCAGCCCCAGCTTTGGCGGCGCCTTACTTTGCTGCTCCAGGAATTGTAGCACCTCTACTTTAATTAATTTGTTACAGACTTGTAGTTAATTTGTAAATATGTGATAAATAAAACACTGTTATATGAATCTAAGAACTCTTTTGACATGGTTTTTCAGCCAACAAATCACCTAAGCGCGTTTTTATACGGATAAGGAGTGAAAAAATGCGATAAAGTTCATATCCAACACGATTTTTATTTGTTTTCATTCGTCTACGAAGAAGGCTCGGTACTCTGCTGAGTTATTGGTGCCTTTCTTTTATATCGAATGTAGTATTTCGGTCGAATTAGCCGATTTCCTCCGTCTGATCTGTTTAATAGTATGAGGTCTGGAAGATCTGGTGGTCCAAAATCGAATCATCTGGCGTTCGGGAAATGTATCCTTCGAATATTGCCTTAAGCGAATTCATTTTCTAAAAAATTCAGGTACTGATACTCCATTTAAGTGATTTTCCAAAATGAAAAGGCCAATTAATCTGAACTAAATGTAAAGAGCTTGGAATAAAAATGCATTACAAATGAAATACTTACACAATTTTCCGGAAACATACGTATTAGAAATGGAGCAGTATGTTTATAAACAAAAAGAATATGTAAAGGGATGGTATTATATTATTGCAATAGTGAATGTATTGAAAATAGTACTTAAATTACGTGTCGAAATTTTACTAAATTTGGAACATATAACATTTATTGGAGCAAATTGGGTTTTCAAATACAATAAAAAATTATAGCGAGTTCTAAACCCCAAAATATTAATACTTGAATATTGTAGTAATTCCGTACAATCACTTACCACAAGTTTAGACAGAAACAAAATAGAAAAATAAAGCCTTGTTTGAGCTAAATCATTAAGTTGAAATCTGGCCAATAGTAATAATTCTGCGAGGGGGAGAGATATTGTCAGATTTGAAACTTAGGTATCTAAGAAATTGCCTTTGAACCTTTTCTAAGCTGTTTTGTGATTTCCATAGCCTGGATTCCATATTACATTAGCATATCTAACATATTTGTTAGTAATTATAAATAACAGAAACAGTTATGTAAAAAAAAACGTTAAAATGATTTATAAAGAAAAAAATAACGAAATATTAGATATAGCATTCAATAAAAGGTATATTTAAACTATCTATTTTTTTAACGTAATTATCTCTACATATGTATTTTGATGAATGCAAAGATAAATTGAATGTTATAGTTATCTATTGAGAATTTCTTAAACACATCACTTTTAAAGTTTTATTTGAATACATTTATAAAGTAGGTAGAGCATTATTTGAATTGTTAATAAAAAGTGTATGTATGTAGATCTATTGAAAGAGCTTCTTTTCCATTATGTTTTCTTTTTATATTATTGAAATATTGCAATTAGAAATATTTTTTATGCAAAAGGCCCTAACCAAATAGTTTTTATATAATTTGATTCAGAGTTAAGGAAAAATATATTGTTTTATGGAAAATTTGACATAAAATCAAGAAATGGTGTAGAGTTTCAGGACTTTGCATTATGAAAAAGTGTTTTATTGCCATTGAAAAACTAATATATCAAATCAAGTCCAAATTTTTTGTAGAAGATATAGCAGAAAAAGTGTTTTCGGATTTTGTTCATAAGAAAGGAGGACTGTTTTGTTTTATTCTATCAGAATGTAGATTGTAGATGCTTGCTACCTAACTCTAATTCTTTTCTAAGTGTAATGTAGTAAAATAAATGATTTATCTTTGGATCTAGCTCGGAGTAAATATTTTAAAAAATTGTACTTTCTATATAGTTAATTTCTAAAGAAATCCAGCTAAAAAAACTGATGATACTCATATCCTCAAAAGTAGGTCAAGGGCTTAGGTACATCTTATTAAGCAATAAAACTTTTTTGCTACTGTTATATAAATCTATGAATCAATCAATACATCACAACACCATAAGCGGAAGTACTTACGCTACGAAAAACAGTCACGTTTACGCTGGACACAAGGAATACGTGCAGACGCATCAATTTCACATTTCTTTTCAGTGTCGAAATACACTGGAGAAGAATACCGATAGCTGTGTATAAATACATTTTCTATAATTCTCCACTACCAGTTGTCTCGTCTCATTCGTCAGGACACTTAATAAACATACATTACAATGGTGCCCCTTAAAGTAAGTACAAAAAAATGAATCAAATAATAATCGAACTGATTTAACAATTACTTTTCCAGGTCTATGCTGTTTTTCTTTTGGTTAATATACTAGAGATTCACGGCAGCGTCCTAGGTCCTGCTGTAGCTGCTCCCTTAGCCGTTCCTGCAGTGAGATATAGCCTAGTGGCTCCGCAAAATGTCCGCCCTTTCGCAGCACAAGTTAGCACATTTACAAGAGGACTTAATGTTTACGCAGCACCTTATGCAGCGGGAGTTCTGAGTGGTCCAGCGATCGTACCTGCTCCTGCTCCAGTATACCCTGCAGCGTATCCAGGTGCTCCGTTTTATTCCGCTGCAGCTCCAGCTGTAGCTCCTGCTGTTGCTCCGGTAGCGGCTCCTGCGCCCTTACTGCCAGCTCCGTTTGCTAGATCTGTCCATGCTGTCGCGCCAGGGTTAGTGCCAGCGCTGGGTTCTCCATATGCAGCAGGCCCATGGTTAGGATAAATTTTAGAATTAGGATTATTTAATTTACCTTTTCTTAAAACATTTATTTTTTTTGTAAGCATTGACTGAACATATTAAACGAATTAATTTTTAATGATTATTTTAATTTCGACAAAATATACAGGGTGTCCCGCATAAGAACCGACACAGGGCAGGATGTAGGGGTGTCCAAAATATTGTAATTTAACCAAACTTACCTATATACAAAGTTGCACTGAGGAGTTACTAGCCCCCAAAGTGGGGCCCAAAATATCGAAAAAAATTAATATCTCTGCAACACTTTACTGCAGAAGAACCAAATTTGGTAAATGATATAGGTTTATTACTGGTCTTCTTTGGTTCTTCTGCGGTAAAGTGTTGCAGAGATAATAATTTTTTTCGAAATTTAGGGCCTCATTTTGGGGGCTAATAACTCCTCAGGGGTTTGTATATCGGTAAGTTTGGTTAAATTACAATTTATTTACTCTCTTTGTCGCTTTAATTTACATAATAGCGATTTAATCTAAAAAAATTAGAATAATGTTGGACAAAATATGATCAAAAATATAAGTAACTTTAAAGAAAGAACCTGAGTGGCGATAGAGTTTAGAAAATAAAAATAATGTCCCAAACAGTTTTTGAAATAACGAATACTAGACGGGCTTTTTGACAAATACGCGCCCAAAAAATTATGTTCAAAATTCAACAAAATGCATTTTTAGCATATCTTGTGAATGCAATAAACCTTATTTTGTATGATAATACCGTTAACAGGTAATTTAAAAGGGCTACGATTATTTTGTAGAATTATTCTATGAACTTGGATTTCTCCACAATATGTAGTAAATAACAATAAAATAAACGTCATAATGGAACTAAGCAAAAACGAACCAATTTAAACTGTCAAAAATATTTAAAAACGAAAAGTTATTGTCAGTTTAGAAGACGAAACAGATTGATTTTCGAAACATAAACAATTTTTTGACGTGCAGGACATATAGGCTGTTACAAAGATATAAGATATGAACTGGATTAAATTGGGGCAAAGTTGCGTAATCAGGGTACCAACATTATGCCTCTATAAAATTAAGACTACTACAGTACAATCAAACATTATTAGAGTTTTAATCCCGTGCCCATAGTTATTTCTAGGCTTCTCGAGTGCTCAAAATTCAAACAAATTCCGATTTAATTTTTTTCAGGATATTCATACAAATACATCTGACATGCTCTTTCACAGTTGTGGTTAGAGGTATAATAAATTCCGATAATATTACGTCGATCATCATGTTCAACTTTTGCCAAAACGAAAATGATTTCGAACATTTACTGAAATTTTTAAAGTATAATACTCATTTGGCGTTTTGATTGTTCATATACATTTTCAAGAATTAATTTGTCATAATAAAATTAAAATATAATGTTTTAATTTTGAAGCAACAACTTATCGAATTATATACGACCAGGTGATGGAGATTAAAACTAATAATATTGTATGTAACATGTGATGGTAATAGTTTAAATAACTAGGTGGATTTCACAGGGTCTAACGACACCTAGGAACATAAAAATCTAAATAAAACATTTTAGATAGGAACGAATACATTGAAGATGAATTTTTCGAGACAAAACGTCTGAATCTGGAAGGTTTGCAATAAATATGATAAAATTTCCAGGGTCGTATTTAAAAAATTGAAGCTGATGGTGGTTACATATAAAAATTGATTATGCTATTCGATAGAAGGCAAAATGTTGCCATTAGAAAGTTTTCTTCTTTTTTCAGTATCACCTTAAACAAGACTGAAATTAAACAAAAAATTTCCAAAATTTCGTTTTTTTTCAAATATTTCGAAAACTAATTATGTTAACCTTGATTTTTTTTAGAGGCATAATGTTGGTCCCCTGATTATGCAACTTTGCCCCCATTTAAGCTACTTCGTATCTCTTACCGTTTCCGAGATCTCTGTAGTGAGTAGCGAATTTGTAATAGCCTGTATAGTCATGTGGATTTTGTATTTTCTATTTGTCTGTTTTTTTTTTCAATATGAGATTTTTGATTAGGTAAAACTATTTTCATAAAAATAACCTATGATTGATACCTTTTGTCGCAAACATTAATTTTTTAAATTTTTTTAACAGTTGTGAAAGTGAACAGTAAATAAATGAAAAAATAATTAACAAAGTAACATTTTTTATTTTTAAAAATTATTTTCAAGTCATTATTTTTGCCATATAATATGATCAAAACATAAAAAAATTAAAAAAACCAATATAAATATTAATAATTCAGTTGTTCGAATAGAATTCAATTTAATCAAGCGTATAAGAAAATAATAAAATTGATGTAGAATGTTGTTTCCTTTTTAATGCAATTATGAGATTAAAAATGTTAAAATGTTTTGATATATGTTAGAAGTAATAACCAGCTTAAAAAAATAAAATCCATTTATGAAAATTTATTTATAACGTTCCAAATTCAGAAATAATTTATGTCTTCTAATATTTTTTAGAGATAAAAGGAATACAATCTTTTCTTCTACAATTTTCTGCTCAAAGTCATTATTATATAAAAATGCCAAAAAGGCTTTGTATAAATAACTCTGTATGTACCTTTAACACAAGTTTGAAACTTTTCCTAAAATATATCGCAGTATTGTAATAAACTTTCTTTTAGCTTTCTTTCTCTTTACATTCACTTGGTAATACTAACGTATTCAACTCATACAGGCCAATGAATTATTTGGAGGAATACAAAGGCATAAATAAAAACTACAACATTTTCTAAAACATTCGGGGACAGCTTCTAACAACTATAAAACCCAGTTTTTGGTCATTGTTAGTCAATCGTTGGTTGAAATTCGCACCAAAAACATGACGTTTCAGGTAAGATACATTATAATAGAAAAAATAGTATTTCGAACTATCGTTGTCGTTTGCTAATTACTGCACTTATTTTACAGATATCTTCTTTGATCCTACTAACATTTTCCATCATGGACACCAGTAACTGTCAGTACTTAGACCCAAACTTAGCAGCAACTACATTTCCTTCACTAAGTCCTGCAGGACCTTACACGCTAGGCTATCAACAGCAGCCTGTCCTTCTTCCTTCAACATACGCGTCAGGCTTTGTAACACCACCAAATTCTTTCTACCCAGTTCGTTACACTGGGGAAGCTTTAGCACCTGCTATTTCGGGAGTGCCCGCTAGTGTTTCGTTGTCTTCTTTGCCTTCTTACTCGGCTCAATCTGGAGACTACGGCGCTGTAGGTTATCAAGTAGCTGGTGATCTTGACACATCTCCTTCTGACAGTACGCCTGCTGATGTTTCTGTTGGGCAAGCAAGAGCTTTGTATAAACGTAAAAGTTCGGTGCGTACTTTTAGTCGTCCCGGACGTACTGTTACACGACTGATAAACATAGTGAAGTACTGAAAAAATTTGAACAGTTATTGTTTTATTTTTATATGTATTTATGTTACTGTTTAATTTATTTTGTTAATAAATTCTTATTTATAGTTACATATCTGGTTTTATTTTGTAACGTGATTCGTACTAAGTGATTTAAAAAATTAACGCATGTGGTACCTAACACACACAAAAAAATGGACATTATTATTGTATTGAGATGATGTCCATTAAATTTAGTTCAATTTAAAATTATACTGAGAAAATAAGTTAATATTAATGAGTATCAATTACGAGTATTTTAATTTTATTTTTCCATTTAAGTTTTCTTCTGTTTATTCAAAGAAAATATTTTTATGGCTCTTTAAATACGGTCTGATAATAAAGGGAATGATTTTCTAGATCAGTTCAAGGAAAAAAAAGTTGCTGTAGACATAAGTCCTCAACTCCTTAATTTTAGGTTAGGGAATGATTTTCTAGATCAGTTCAAGGAAAAGAAGTTGCTGTAGACATAAGTCCTCGACTCCTTAATTTTAGGTGTACAGGGTGTTGGAATTTTTCAAGGATATCAAACTTTCGCAGTTAGCTGGCAAGATGTAAAAAAGTTGAACTAAACCGACTCAGTTTCTAGTTACACTTTTCTTAAATCTAGAATAATTGTTGCAGTTAAATGAAACAAAAATAATTCCAAAATTGTTCATTTGATAAAGAAATCTATATAATTCTTTTTTTACTGTAAATGCAGTTTAAAACTGATTTTGAAGAAAAAAAATTTCTAAAGTTTTTATGAATATATTCAACTGTATAGAAGTAAGCTACTTAGGACTAGATTTTTTGTTTTAATTATTGACCAATTGATTTGAAAAATTCAAAATATCTACGTCACCGATTGGAAAATAGACCACTTTTCTTTCAGATATAATTAGCAAGCAATCAATTATCTAAGATACTCAGTGGTGTCGAAATTCTAGGGTTCTTAATGACGATATCTTCCATTATTACCGCCACTGATTGATATATTTGTATGTAAATTCATTGAATTTGTATCTTTATTTCGTTTAGACACCTGCCTAAGTTTTAGTATTCTACATTAAACTTTTTTCGAGACAGTTACGTAGATGTGATATTTTGCAAAAAAATATCATTGTTTAATAATGGATTAATAAGGTGGGTTTTTATTTTCTATCCAGATATATGGTAATTTAAATTTTTATTTGATATTCAACGATTCGGAAAGCTGTTTTTCCGAAGCAAAAGTTTAAAAAACAGAAAAATTGGAGAAGCCCAAAATAAAAACACTAGAAAAACACTTACTTATTAAAAAGCTTCTTCAAAAAGCGAAAATGCTCCAATTTTTTCTAGAAAAAAGATGCTTCCTCCGACTTCCAACGTTTATGGAAAGTTTAAAACCTTGATTTTGGTAAATAACTCTCAGTAAAAGGTATTTTTCAAGTCAAACAGACTTACTTTAATTGTTTTTAAAGCTACATTTTCAATTAGGTTTAGTAAAATGTTGTCTTTTTCTTAAAAAAAAATTATGTTTAAACCTTTTTATACTGCTAATTTTGGTAAACGAGAATGAAGCATATTTTGAAAAATATAAGCAACGGTTCTAATATAATTTAATAAATTAAATGTCAAATGAACTAAAAATAATTTATTATTGTAATTAAAGTAATGTTTACAAGCCTTCTAGATGCTACTAAATATTTATGCTTTTATTTGGTCATAATTTAGTCAATAACTGTTATTGAAGAGGAGATGACTTAAAGTACAGGCGAAAATCCCCTAAATTAATTTCTATAGGTACCTAATGAAATTTCATGTCACTACCATGTATGCAAACTAGAAACTTTTACTTTCGGTATCTAGACTAAGAACCTCAACAGCCTACTAATCAAACTCATCGTTATTCTAGTCAACAAGGTAAGAGTAATAAAAATCGTGCAATCTTCATTATTAATCAAGATCGATACAGCCACGAATTATTCGTAAAATTCGACCCCCACCGCCGAAAATTGTCCAATTTCACTATATATACGGCCCTTGTTATGATAAACGCATAGTCAGTTAAACAATTGATCAAGCAAAATGGCTTCAAAAATTTTGGTAAGTAAAAACACAGTTTGTCAAATTTATTGAAACCTTACTGTTTTAATACATATAAGCGCTCGACATTATTAATCTTGTACTTATTCTTTGTTTTTTTACAAAATTTAAATGTATTGTATGTGCCGAATGTTTAGTTTTGTTGGAAAATTAGTAGTTTGATGCAGGTAGTTTTAGTTATAAAAAAAATACATTTTATATAAAAGTATTCCCTTTTTTCTTTCGTTGACCTCCTTAACTGTCTTGCACTTATTTATTTACACCCTGTATATTGAGGAACGTTACTAATAGGGTTTCTGATTTCTCGGCCTATTTTTTTTCTCGGGTCTCGAGAATTCTCGACTAGGAATTCCCGGAAATTCTCGAATTCTCGAGAAATTTCTAAAACTTAAAAAACTCATAATTTTAGTATTGCAATGCGAAATATAAACATGCTATTATACTTAACAATCATCATTAACATTTATTATTTATTCAGTATTTTTATTAATTACTTATGTTTCTACTTCTACTAACAAAACTAAATTAAACTTTGAGTTTCTTCTTAAAAACCTTTAACTTGTTTTTTTATTAAACACTTTCAATATACTTATGTTTATTTCAATGTTTTTGAATCGTAGTTTTCTTCCAATAATAATTATTAATAATCATTAATCATGCAGTCTTTTAATTAAATAAATAGTAAATAAGGAATTTAACCGAAGAAATCTTAAAAAAAAACAAGCTTTAATTTAAAGATACAGAAGCGTTCTTCCTATTAATTTATCACTTCAACATTAGGTATCTGCTTATAATAAAATTTCTACACAGACTTATAACTAGGTACAGGGTGATTCACTATATTTTGACCCCCCTTTAACTTTTTTGTTTTAAGAGTTATAAAAAAATGTGAAATACAAAAGTTGCACGATTTTTTATGAAATTTTCGAATATGATAGTAGAAAAACAAATGAAGTTCAAACAAAATGGCCGCGGATGTTAACTTTGTTAATTTAAATGGAACACCCTGTATATTTTTACACATTTGGATAGAACGTTCCCTGTCGAGCACAGTCATATATGGTTTGTTGGGTCCATCTCTAACAATAAGCGAGATAATATTAAAAAACGAAAAGAACGTTTTTTATTAAGAAAATAAAATATTTTGTAATTGTTGGACGTTTTTCGGGCATTTCTGCCTTTTTTCCAATTACGTAAGGATTTAGATTTATTTGCAATATATTTTGACATATCGAACATTGATATAGTCCAAAATGGGTATAAGTATTTTAACTAAATCGCACTAATTAGTCCGTGAGGGGCTTATTTACTCATGGACAATGTTATATGGTAGGCCGTGACAGTGACAGGTAATATTATGACAATATTGTTATTGTTTGACAGTTTGTATTATTATTTATTTAAAATGGGTTACACAGAAGTAGAAAATTTAAATATTATAGGAATTAAGATAGAGTAGTTAAGATAATCTCCATAGTTTATTTTAATTTTAATTAAATACTAATACAAACTGTCAAACAATAACAATGTTATCATGACATTACTACCTGTCACTGTCACGACCTACCATATATAAGATTGTCCTTGAGTAATTGGCCTCACACGGTCTAATTAGTGAGATTTACTTAAAATACTTACACGCATTTTGGACAATGTCCGATATGTCAAAATATATTATAACTAAATCTAAATCCTTCCGTAATTGGAAAAAACGCAGAAATGCCTGAAAGAGGTCTAACAATTATGTCTTATTTTCTTAATAAAAAAACATCATTTCATTTTTTAATATTATCTCGCCTATTATTAAAATATAAAATATAGTGAATCACCCTGTACATTAAAAAAAGAATCATCAAAGTGAACTAAAGCCTTAAAAACTTAAAATAAATAAATCATGAGTTGGTACAGAAACCACTTTAACCGTTCAGTTATTTGTCAAGAAACGAATTGAACGCATGAACGAAACGAACTCGTCAAGAACTTAAGAAGCGCGTGATTTTTAAATTTCTCGATTTCTCGACACTTTTTTCTCGTCTCGAGTAGGGCCAGATTTCCCGGGAATTCTCGCTTCGAGAAGTCTCGACCAGAAACCCTAGTTACTAACTACCGCATTATTTTACAGATGATTGCTTTCTTCACCGTCATGGCCGTATCCTGCTGCTTGGGAGGCCTCATTCCTGCAGTCCCAGCAGCAATCCCTGCCGCCTACTCTGTTCCCTACGCCTCGTCCTATAACGCGCACGTCATCAACCACGCTATCGCCGCCCCTTACGCCGCAGCCCCCCTAGTAGCCGCCGCCCCTGGATTCGCTCCCGTCGCTGCTGCGTACAGTGCCCTTCCATACGCTCCTGCTCTCCCTTACAGCGCCCTACCAGCACCGCTCATAGGGTAGAAGAATAAGAGTAGGTGGGAGGCAGCATAATGATAATGTTTGAAAAATTATAAAAGCTAGCAAAATTTGTAAAATAGGTACCAACTCCATATTTTTAGCTGATAAATTTTCAAACATTTTTCTTATGGTCAGGCCTTTGTTCAGAAGCCATCGACATGTGATCAATTTAAAATAGCTTTAATGTTGTAAATAGTGACGGCGTGTAGTATTTTGTTACGTACATATTGCGCTATTTGCGAAAGAAAGAAGGTAGCAATATGCATGTAAATGAAATACTGTTATAATAAAAGTTTCATGACGTTTAAGTGTGTTTTATTAGGCCATTTCTATGTATTGTAGCTTGCGGTCGTGCTCTTCACGGTGTACAATGAAACATTGAGGAAAATTTTCATTGCCTATTCCTTCAAAAATCGGTGGAGTGAAAGAATGCTATTTTTTTAATTTGAAGAAAATTGCCACCCCTGAAAATTTATCTCTACATCGCAGTTACATCCTGTACAAAATGAAAACTTTGTTAAGTAAAAGGCATATATTTTCTAAAAAAATAGTAATGCGTTTTTAGTATTACTGCTACCCATAGTTTGAAATTGGACGATCAAAAAATACAACAAAAAACACTCGAAGTTATTGTAAAATGCTAACAAATTAAAGGATTTCAGAAGAACCATTTATAATTTTTGGCTGCATCAATGGTAGAATCTCACTCAAAAGTGCTGAGTGAGATTTAAATTCGGGGATAGAGCTGGTCCTGTTGATCATATTGGATTCAAAAATTCTATGGCCGTATTATTAAATCTGTCAATTTTTAATAATTTTGCAGTAATTGGCCAATTTTTCCTGGGTGTCCCAAATAATTTTGAGCAGTTTTTCTATCCTTTGGTAATTTCAGTTATTTTACCCTCAAATAACAACGAATTAATTATATTTATTGTTAAAAAATAATACTTAACTCCAAAAATATGTTATCTCCCACATAGCTTATATATCTATGCCAACAAAGAGTAGTTCCGAATTTGCATAATGAAGGCAAAAACCTACATACAAACGTTAAGACTTTAAAACCATGATTTAATTGGGTTTCTAGACACAAAAATGAGCAGTTGTGCAACTAGAACCTGAAATACTTTCATTGCGGTTGTTATTTGTGTAAATGTATAGTTGTATACATGATTTAAACTTGTTTTATTATCGCTTTTAAAATAATTACCTTGAAGGGTATCTATTTGGACAGATTTTTCCACTTTTATGGAAGTGAACAGCGTTAATCAAATAATAGAAACCCTTTAAATTTTGTCTAGTATAAAGTTTTAGTTAGACGGGAAATACTTAAGCAAAAAGTACAAAAATGTATTAGTGTAATTAAACAAAAAAGTAATAGCAAGTTCTAATCGAAAAAGAAAGAAGAAAAATTACAATAATTTCACTATGAAATCGATTGTCCCAAAATTCACGTAAGATTTGAATTTTGCACTATTTGTGCAGTACAGCGTTGCCAACAAAAAAAAAGATATTTATTGTTGAGCAATATTTTAAAAATAATGAAGGTTTGGCAGTAGGTACAGCAAATTTCGTACAAAATATAATAGTGATTTAACTTTTCTGAACAAAATCATTTTCAGCAATGAGGTTCTTTTTCATCTTGATGGCTTCATTAATCGCCCAGTCACGCGATTTAACGCCATTTTTTCTTTGACATTTTTTGAAATCTCATATTTATACCTACAGGCCCACGACCCTAATTTTTAATTAAAACGACACCCTGTACCTATGATTTCTTAATAGTTCACGATTGAAATAGTGAAACTTAGTGACTGTGACATGTAGAAAAAGTTTACCGATGTAAGAAAATTATTTAAGTCAAGAAATTTAGTTCCAAAATGGCTTCGACGATAAATTCTAAAAAGTGAATAGTATATCTGGTTGAAAATAAATTAATTCCCAGAATTTTTACAAAGTACAATCAATAGCAGTATTTATCCTTAAACTACAACCAAAACATTTGCATTAGATAAATAATATTACTACCTTTTTAACAATGTATTAGGCATGTTTCTCAAGTCACATATTGTTTCATTACGAATCAATAACAATAACCATCATTTGCCAGGTGGTTATTAGAGATTTATTAAACCATTACACGACTATTATCACAGCCCACTCGTTTGTAATTACTGGCAACCTTCGTCTCGTACGAACAATTTCACAATGGTAATTTTTTATGAATGATCATTTCGGAAATAAATATTTTTATTACATCCACGTCCTCCAATTATAGTGATATCTACGTAGGTGAGTTGCATAAAAATATTGAGACAATTAATGAATTATCAGTTAAATGAAGATATTTTGCATAATCTCATAATTCCTTTACAAAGAATCTTCGCACATAAACATTCGGCTGTCAAGAGAGTGTCCTATTCACTCATTTTGTACATTTAGCTTTAGGTTAAACCCTAGTAGACCAGCTGTTGTCCTTGCTACAGTTTCAGATATCGGTAGAAAATCCAGCCAGTCATTTTTAGTACCTATTCTGATACGAGTTGCCATGACTCAGAACTACAAACGTTTGCTCAATGGCACTTGGCAATTACGGTTATTACATTTTGCAAAAAATATGTTTCTAAACGGGTGGTAACGATGTAAATGGCTAATTTATGTCACAGCAAATACGCTTAATGTAGAGATCTAGGCCAGAAACGAACCGAGATTTCTGCAATGTCTTTAAATGACTTGTCTCGAGACGTAGATACATTTCAATGATTAGTTCCTCCTTTGATACTAATTGAAGTAAAGGATAATGTAAAATATGCAGTGGAGGATATTTACTAAGGCTGTTTAATTTTTAAGTGTCATTGCAAAAACGTGTATATTAAATTTTACACAGGGTGTCAAAAATGCTGAGGAAGAACTTAATCGAAAGCTAGTCACATAAGATAAGAATGAGAATTTAGTATTAGACTAGCCTTCAGAAGGACACCTGAGGAAAGGAGAAAAAGAATATCTGGCAGCGATCTATCTGCCCTATGTGGATGTACCTGACAAGATAGATCATATCTTAAGGAAACACGATAGTAATACCATCTGCAATACCACAGGGACATAGGAACAACCTTTCCCAAAATTAGCTCCAAGAGCTATCTGCTCCAAGACCCTACTATTACAGCATCTCGAGAAAATGTATACATTGGACAAACGTCTAGATACGTCATGTGAGATTAAAAAAGCACAAGTGATATTTGAAGAACAGCAGAGTAGAGAAATGAACAAATCAGCACTTTGGGGCACAGTCCAGATATCCCAACCCAAATGTGTAAAAAACACGGTGTAATTTTCCCCACAAAACTCCTTATGGAATTTGAAATTACTACTCTTTCCTGGATGTCTTCCTAGTTTGTTGATATATTCGTTGATATTCGGAAATTGAGCAGCATTAGGTGAAGACACCAAACAAACAAACAAACAAACAAACAAACAAACAAACAAACAAACAAACAAACAAACAAACAAACAAATAAACAAACAAACAAACAAACGAATAAATAAGTAATTAAAATGGAATAAAGGCACCGCAACAGCCGTATCGTTCAACAGTTCGGTGCTTGTCCTGTTATGTCACTTCATTACATAGCCAAGTGACCGAAAGGCGTGTTCGTCACGGTCAGCTGCTGCACTTGGTGAAAGTAGAACAAGTGCACTTAAAATTTACAACCAACTCCGTCCGCCTTCCATACATCACGCCAGCGCAATTGCTAACGGTAGAGGCCTGCTGTAGCGGCGTAAATTTGAGGAAAAGTGGACTTGTTGGGTGTTTGCCAACAAATTCGATTATTATAAAATGTACCGCTGGATAAAATTCTCGCAGTATTTAATCAGTAACATAGAATCATTTAATAAACGTAATTTAATGAAAGGAACTTAAATATGAAATTATTAGAATTTGATTAGAATGAATTGACATTTGAATTTAAATTTTTAAGCGATACTAAAATTCAGTCATTTTGTCCAGGGATAGTTACAAAAACGCAAGTAAAGCACAATTTTTTTGGTGAAAATAATGGGGCTTTGCTTGTGCCACAATTAAATTAGGGGCATTTTTGTTGACAATCCCGTTGATTTCCTTGGATGGTATCAGTTCTCGTAAGTTTCTGTACAACATCTGACAGTCAAATTAGCATTGGGATAAGAACTTCTTAAAGTTTTTTGTTACTTTAAACAAATGTTCTACAATGAGAGTATACATACAGATATGGCTATGAAAGGACAAGCTTAAAAAATTATAAAGTTTATGCAGAGTTTATTATTAAAACATTTAAGTCTTTTTACCGTCTACTAATCATTCATACTAAGAATTTAAAGAGTAAATCTTAATTCATATAATTTAGTAAATATTTAAAACAGTTTTAATATGGGCTTTCTAAGAAATGGTGAATGCGCAGGTTATCGAAAAAAATACCTCCATCAATTAGAATTAGAAATCAAATTGGCCAAAAGAATGTTTCATACGTAAACTTTATCTTTATTATTTAACAGCTTGTTCTAGTGGTCTATTATTTTTTGTGTTAACTATACAAATGAAGATAAATTGTAGCGTTAACTGTGCAATTATCAATAATTGCCGAAATTTATTTTATCCACCCAACAAAATTTTCTGTGCAAACCAAACGATTTCCTGTCCACATGTCGAATAATCATGTACAGTTTGATCCGTACAAATATATTGTTACAAGTGTAACTGGCAGTATAAAATGTAATGCTTTAACTGTGTAGTTAAAAATCGCTACGATTTATCTTATCTAGGTGACACAATTATCTACGCAAATGAGACAGTTTCCCATCCATAAATCAGATAAATTTCAAGGTGTTTTAATTATTATCGATTAGGATTAGTTATTACACCGACAGTAACTGTTCAATGTTCCTTACATCTTATTTTATTTGAAGGTTAATACATTAATAAATAAGATCAATAATTTTTCCAAACAGTAAACCTATAAATTCAAAAAATAATACAAACAAAATTGACGTAAAACGAATTAATTTTGGTTCCGTGCACTAAATACCTACTACTTAATTAAACAAAATCTAATGCAACTCGGCATAAGCTTGCAGCACTTGGTAATTACAGTACAATTTGGAACTCATTTCCAACATCTCGTAAAAATTGTTCCTAACACTTTCTATAGTGTGTTGGGACAGTTGCTAGTTTATTTGTGTGCTATATTACTACAGAGAACATAATACTCTCATTGTAACGCTTCAGTGATCTCCGTTGCGGAATTTGTAAACTAAATTGCAAACCGGCTAGACACTGTTAGGAACAACTTTACATGTATGTACGATGACAAGAGAATACGGATAGTTGACCGTTAATATACCGGGTGCTTCTTAAGTCATTAGGCACCTTCTTAGAGTTTAAAACTCGCTAAAATGAATAATTTTTTTTCAAATATAATTTTTTATATCTTACTATATTTATTTCGGAAACAACATTTATCCTGGTTCTGCCTTGAACTTGACTTCATCCCATATTGCTGTGTGATATATTTCTGCCCCTTTGCACAACCTGAATAAGTCGTGGTTACTGGCAAACCTGTAAGAAAAACATTCAGCGTATAGCTGGGATGCAGCATTCGCACTTTGGCGACACTCGTCATAAATCAATAACATTTCAGCTAATTATTACCGTGAACCTGGGAAATTACAAGAGCATACAAGATGAGGAAGTAAAATTATTGACAGAAAAAGACATAAACATCGCTATACTTGCTTAAATAAAAATTAAATAAAAAATATAATTTGAAAAAGAAATCTTGTTCTGATGTGTTCCACATGCTGTTACAAAGTAAGACCCAACTTAGAAATCACCCTGTATGCTGCTTAATCATAAATTATTCTCTGCTCGTCTTACTTCAAACAATTATTGCCATCATTAATTTGACGGAAAAAAAAACAAAAGCTAATTAACTATTCAGACTGTAAAAGCTAAGTAAAAAAATGTAGCAAAATCCTATCCTAACTAGCATTAAACAAAACATCAAAATCATCAAGTAAAGACAAGTTGGGGCATAGATATTTAAATAAATAGACAAACACGAAGTATTTGTTTGAAAAATTTTCGTCTCAACAATTCGTTCAACGTTCATGACTTGCCGCCAGGATAAAAAGAACCGCAATAGTTGGCCGTGATTCCGCAGCCTTTCCACATTAAATCAATAAGTATCTAATTAGCATTAATCTTACCGAATTATGAATAAACTAGATTCAAACGACATACAGAAAATTCATTAACAACCCGTATTTTCATGAATTCCACTACTGACTGCATTTACGTGCACTGCCTCTTATTCACTCTTATGTAACGCTCAGGGTATCGTTTAACAATGCCGTGAAGTATACACATATCAAATAGATAATATCTTTTGCATTTTAGCGGTTTGGAGTATTGAAAGGGGCCCTTGTACCACATTAGGGTGGGGCAAACCCCTATAAAATAGTATCGGTTTATCCAAATTGTCATTCGATCTATTACACTGATACTTGCTTGCATCACGAACTGTAAACCAACGCCAAAATGTTCAAAATTGTAAGTATTTTATCCTTTATAATATCTACAGAGTGTCCTTATTTATAAGTCATTAAATAATAAGCAAAAGCAAAAGTTCAAATATACATATGATTTTTTTGCCCTTCATCTTAATGACTTATTGGTACACGTATAAATCAGGACATGCTATATGGCTAGTATTAAGGAAAAATGAAAATATGAGCACCTTTCCCAAGTTTTGTATGTTCGCAAATAACAAAAGAATGGTGTAGTGACATATAGTTAGATGTAGGAGCTTTCTATTTTGATTTAACAGGGATTGCTTTGACCATACTTTCATGAATTAAAAGTTCTATTTAACTTTTCAGAGGTACAAAAAAGTGTACGTACTTATTTTTATTTTTTTATCTCAGTTAGTTCTCGCTACGATCGTCTGCGTTGCCAATGCCGGACTCATCGGTTTGGGCGGTCATGGTGTTGCCGTGGCAGTAGCCCCAGGTGCCACATCTTACCAAAACAACAACCAAATCTCACTCCACCCCGTCCCGGTGGTAGCAACTCACGCCGTCGCCGCCGCTCCCATCGCTGTCGCCCACGCCGCTCCCGTCGCCATTGGAATCGGACATGGAGGAATCGGTCTAGGACTTCATTAGGCTTTTAACTAGGGATGAGCAGCCGTTTAGAGTTAGGGATGAAATTGTTGTTTTCGTTTTTGTTTGGTGTTCGACATTTGGCCGTTAAAATTAATAAAAAGCTGGAAAATAATTATGTTTTTTATTTGAATTTCTTCTAGCAAAAACAAAAAGCTTCGTTCTCTTGTAATACTAATAAATTGGGCAATGAAATTTCCCTTGAACAACCGACAATTTTTAGCAGCAGGTTCAAAATTGGCCCAGTCCAAAAAAACATTATTTGATGGGTACATTGTATAGAATAAAACTGGGTCACTCTGTATGTTAAAATTACAAATGAAAAGTTTTCTACAATTTTGTTTCATCAAAGGCCTGCTGTCTTTCTGACAATTTTCAGCAAATATATCATAAAACTATTATTATGTGAGCACTGGACCAGGGCTAATCAATTATACAAAAAACTTATAAAAATTATTTGATACTCGTGAATTAAGTTGTTATATTTTCTTTGTCACTTATTCAGCTTCGCAAAAAATATCTTCACAGTCATAGAGTGATCAAAATTGTAATTATAATTGTGTAATCATTGTAAAAATCTACGTTTCTATCAAAATGATAAAAAAACTAATTGAATTAAAAAAAAAAGTATATTTAATTAAGTATTATTTAATAGCTATATACATAACAATGAAAACATGACATTTAACATTCTTAGACAATGTTCAATCTTATCTAGAGATGTAAGAAGAACCTTGTACATTTTTTGTAAGTAGGTACACCCAAAATTCACATAAATTGACTATTTCAATTACCCTTTCAGTAGAGAAGCTCGAAAAGAAATAAATCAGAAGCATTGACAAAAAACTATGCAATATTTATTTAATATATTGTCACTCGAATTAACTATAGGTGTTACAACCATATTATTACGTATTTTTTTCTTTCAGTGGAAAAACACTTCTTTATTTATTATTAAATTCCATCTTTTTGTTATGCTTATAAATGTGTGACAAATAACTTCATTATATTACTGAATAAAACGTTCCATTTTTTTCTATAATATTAAATTTTGATACGATAAAACCTTGTGTTCTAACTGTAAGTGTTTCTCTTGAAATCACTGGAATAAAAACTGGCATTTAAAAGTAATCACAAATTATTATTACTACTTACTAATTGTTTGTACTGCCTATGTTACTTGCCAGAACATGATTTCTAAACAAAATGTTAAATAAAATTAACAATTAATTATGTATCGAAATAAAATATATGCTCTATAAAAAGTCCAATATTAAAATTATCCTTATGTAGGTGAATATGCCAGTAGTAATTAAACAGCATGGTGATTTACTGTAAATGACTATATTAGACAGAAAGTTGTTTTGGTTGCAACACAGAACCCACGAAAGACTAATTTACTTACTGAATCACTAAGTGCTTGCTGACAGTAATTTTGAAGTTGAAACAGACAGGTGTATATCTTTACAAAGTAATTTTAAACACTGTATTATTTATATTCTTTTAACAGAACTATTTCCTTTGCCTAAAATTTTAACCCATTGACCGTTTGTCGAAGTATGATCGTATTTTTTATTCTGTCGAAAAATGCCACTTCTTGGATATAAAAGAGGGCAAGCTATTTTTTGCTGGAATACCTTCAATACAACTCACATAATAAAAGTGTTGATCCCAAGATATGGGCGAGGTTCGGAACGTTTTCAAAATTGTAAAAATGTTCAAAAATTTTTAAAAAATACCAAGTTTTTTACTTATATCTTGGAACCTATGCATTTTGGAAGATTATTGAAGAGGAAAAAGTTTTAGAATTGAATTTTGCGTAATATACTGTATGTTAAAAATGTTTACATGTATTACAGATGTTGCAAAATAGCAATAATTGATGAAAAAAAAAGCAAAATAATCAAGTTTTTTGGATAATTTTTTAAAATATTTTTATTGCTCCGAGGGCATTCTAATTTTGGTAAAAACAACTTTAGAGTATAATAAAACAACACACCAAAATTCATTAAACTCGGTTCGATAGTTTTCGCAAAATAATTTTTTGGAAAAAATTTTTAAAAATTTTTTCAAATTTTCAAAATGTTGCACAGCCTCAAATAAGGCATCTAGATACTTGAAATTTTTTCACTTAGAAAAGACTGCTCAACCTTTCAAATGGTTTTTGAAAATTTGAAATCGGTTAATTAGGACAGCCACAGTAAATTTTTAAAGTTATTCCTTTTTTTAATTTAAACATTTATATTACATTTATCAATTTGCAATTTAGTTTTTTCAAATATTATAATTTTAAAGTACTCGGAAAGACGCTTCTTTTAAAAAACAAATATTTCAAATAATTTGTTTTTAATTTGTTTAAATAAAAATTATTTAATTGTAATAATTATGCCGAAATATATTCATATTCAGTGTTGAAATATATACGTAAACAAATTTTTTTCATTGAAAAAATGCAATAAACTTTGTTTATAACAAAATATATGCAAATTAGACAGTTCGCATTACGATATTCGAATGGCTTGGCTTGACTCGCGAGACATCGGATTAAAAAGAAAAGATCGAAATTGGTCCTTTAGAAGCCAAGATAATGGAATTTTTTTCTTACCTTCGCATTTTGAACCTCCGAATTCAGTCTCGGAGCGAAAGCCCCTTCCCTCACTTTTCGTGTTTTGAGTCACTTTTCGCGCGTGCGAGCGACAGTATTTTAAAACTATAATTTTTGAAAAAAAACTAAATTGCAAATTGATAAATGAAATTTAATTGTTTAAAAATAAAAAAAAATACTGTGGCCGTCCTAAATTACCTATTTAAATTTTTCAAAAACCATTTGAAAGGTTGATCGGTCTTTTCTATGTGAAACATTTTGAAAATTAGAAAATTTTTTTCAAAAAATTATTTTGCGAAAACTATAGAACCGATTTTAATGAAATTTCGTGTGTTGTTTTATTATACTTCTATTTTTTTTACCAAAATTGGAATACCCTCGGCTTAATTAAAATATTTTTAAAAAATTATCCCAAAAACTTGATTATTTTGCCTTTTTTCATCAATTATTGCTATTTTGCAACATCGGTAATAAATTTAAACATTTTTAGCTTACAGTATATTGTGCAAAATTCAATTCTAAAACTTTTTTCCTCTCCAATATTCTTCCAAAATGCATAGGTTCCAAGATATAAGCAAAAAACTTAGATAAAATAGGTATTTTTTAAATTTTTTTATACACTTTTGCAATTTTCAAAATCTTCCGGACCTCGCACAGATCTAGGAATCTAGAAAAAAATTGCTTGTCCCCTCGCACATCCACCTCAAAACAGATCCGCCCTGGTCTATTATCACATTCTTGCTTTTTAATGTAACTTTTGTACTCGTCTCTTTAACATAATATTTGTTGCATTCTCAAGCCATATTATAAATATGTATAACTTTTTGAATACCATTCGACTCTTTTCCAGTTAAAATTAAGTTCAAACATACTTACAAGTTACAAGGAAGTGCATTTTCACACGCTGCACCCAATTCCTGTTAAATGTAATACCCATTAAATAGACAATTAGTTCTTAAATGTCTCACAAAATTCCAGCACAGTGCAGAGACCTAGTGGCCAATTACTTTTCGTAGAGCCGACTACATAGAAATGCCTCGAATGGAGTCAAACCAAGCGTGTTAATTTAAATAGTACGCCTAGGTGAGTCCAAAGTGATTAAACTGTGTTAAGCTCCTAGTATTCAACTCATATTTCCTCATTGCAATAAAACAAAACTTGGTTCCACTCGTGAATCGGTGTATGTATCTTGTTTTTTGATCTAAACAGCTATTAAATGTACGTTTATAAACCTGCGTGGGTTAAGTAATTAGAGCTTGTCTTATAAAGATTTGGTAAATGTACTACCTCTGTAACGTTTAACATTTAAACAAAGACAAAGCCAAAGTGTGTGTTCAATTTAAATTAGGAAAAATAATTTTCAAGTGTTCTGTTATTTTTTTTATTTATTCGTTATTTTGTTTTAAAAAGAAGTGGCGGTAAATGACATCGTTCTCTTTTTTGTTTCGTCTTTTTATAGTAAACAGAAAAATTGTTAGTTTAATTTTAGATAATCATTAGTTCTACCTTAGTTTTGTGTCTTTTATTGTGAAAATTATTAGTGAATAAGTTGAATGAAGTCATTTACTTTTCTAGATTCATCAATCAAAGACAAACTATTAACTAAAAACAAACGATAGAAAAACTACTGCTCCGCGGATTAAGGCCTCGTCCAACGTATTACATTTATTTCATGGATTCCAATAAACTTTTAATAATAAATAACAAAATAAAAGCATCTCGTTACTACTACTACCAGTCCTTAATACAGATCGTTCATCACTTCCCAAAAACAACTGCTACAATTTTGCAATGTCTTTGTCTAGGACTGATAGTTAACCCACTACGAGTCATATGATGGAGAGGACGGCAAAAATTGAATATCGGTCAAGTAAACTTAAGCGGAGGTACTAGCACTAGATAAAATCTCTTTCATTCTGAAATTGTATGGCTATGTGCTGTCTACAGGGTGGACTAAACTCAAACTATTTACGCGTTTTCCTAAACACTGTTAGATCATTTCTTTTCATAGTGAATCTTTACTTCTACTAAATTTTAGGGTACGCAAAAAAAATATGGAGCACCTTCGTATAGTCTTTCCGATCTCATACCCATATACAGGTCTAGTCGCCCAGTTGAAGAATGAGCGCGCGGGGAAACGCGGCACGAACACAGCCGCACTGAGCCACTTAGCTATAAATTCAGTTGTCAACAAAAATATTATCACAACATGGCATTTTGGAGACCTTTTGAAATGGAACAAAACGAAATTTATCATCAATATAATAAAATTGTTTGATGGCATAAATAATTAAAATATGTTGTTGGTCAAATGAACATATAGTAGAAATTTTGTACACATTATATACAAATTATTATAATTTTTTTACCTCTAGCAGAAAACATTTTTAGAGACGTCTATGAAACGTATTAAATTTTATTGCTAGGCGTTTTTATACCTACATGTTCAACTGACTTCGGAAATACTATACCAGTGGTGTTTTCAGAATATATACATTTTGTTTAAGATAAACTTGGATGTCGTTGATCTTGGTGCAACACATTAACAAATAATGGGAATAAAAAAATACTTGCGAAGCCTATAATAGATATTTAGGTTTTATCTTATCGAACAAACGATTACTTTGTTGCACATTTCTATAAGCTTGAAACACTGTCGTATTGAGACCACCATGTATACCTCCTTGCAATGTGGTACAATTCTTCATTGTAATGCAGTGGCAGCAATATACGTCCGATAATATTTTTAAAAGCTAATGGTGTAATTGTGACTGGCTTGCTCCAGTTTTATTAATTTTAGATTATTGGGATTATTGCATTTTTAGTGGGGCTGACTAGATTGCTATAAAATCACTTGGGTAGTAAGTCGGCATCATTCTATCCACAGTGTAGAACGATCGACTTACATACTTCAAAATGTTCAGATTGGTAAGTTAAGCCATCTTTTTGGGTTTGGAATAGAGGTACCACAATGTATTGCGAGGAATTTGGAAATATTTAACTTATGTTTGATTCGAACATTGCATATGCCATAACTTATTTAAAAATTAGAAACTTTGTATTGAAACAATAAAGTCAATGATTAACTGAAGGCGTTAATATTGATGTCAAATGATTACATCTTTAAAAATAGTACACAAAATGAATATTTATATTGGTCGTGTCAGAAACAACAAAATAAATTTGGTTCTAGTAACTATGATTTATTCTCTTATATATTTTTTTATTGATAATAGTAATTGTACTAATAATAATAACCTTTATTGTATTTTAATATATTTTTTGCATACTGTATAAGATCAATCAGAAGTAATGAAATACAAAACATAAACTAACACGAATATAGTATTACAAGTACAGTAAATATGAACAAACAATAAAATAAAGTTTAAAATCATTTTACATGAAAATATTCAGCAAGTTTGTAAACATATTTGTTTATTAGACACGTTTTCAGGTTCAGAAGATGAGTATACTTTGGCTAACACATAATTAAGTTCACAGTCAAACTTGGTTGGGTGTTAAAACCCAATCAACACAAATAATTGACGTTCAACGATTTTTAAGTCTGATAAAAATATGTATTTACATTTTCATTTAATGATTAGGTACTAAAAGAGCAAGTCAATATAAATTTACGTAATTTTTAATATTAATATTTCTGAAATTTACTAAGGTTTAGGACGGTTTTCATAAGGCATTGTTTCGGAAACTAAAAATTCTTCTCACTTAACGAGGAAAAACGTCGCAGCATGATTGACATTAAATAATTTATAAGTATTGCTGAATACGGAAATAGAGTAAACTGAATATATTTACACATTTACAGAATTTCAATTCTTCTTCAATTTTCCTAAAATTTAAAGGAATTGTTACAGAATACTTTAGAACCTGTATTTTTTTAATTTCAGTGCCTTTTCGCCCTTCTCGCCACCACTGCCCGTGCCGGTCTCATCGGCGGCATCGGCATTGGCCATGGAGTGGTAGCCGCCGCCCCAGTGGCTGTCGCTGCTCACGTGGCTCCAGTTGCAGTAGCTGCGCCTGCCATCGCCGTAGCTCATGGCGCTACCTCCTACCAAAATTCGAACTCCATCAGCTTGAACCCAACCGCTGTTGTTACTAAAGTAGCCGCCCCCGTTGCCGTAGCGGCTCCCGTGTTCACCAAGGTGGCCGCGCCAGTCGCGGTTGCTCCTGTCGGTCTTGGTCTTGGTTTTGGTAAGTTGTGGAATCAAGCAAAGATTTTCGGAAGTATTTGAACTCCAAAGTCTTGTAAATGTTTGGCTAACTTTAAAACTTCTCATGGGGACAGGAAGTAGATATAAAGTCTTATCTGTATCAATCATCGTTAAAGTTTACAATATTTTTACGACATTTAGTTCACTATTTCTTTCATGTCAATTTCTAAATTAGTTAAAACAGCTGATCAGTTCCTTCTAATGTTATTTGAGATAGAAAAGATTGGAATATACAGCCAGAATCTGATCACAGCAGTAATTTTCTTGTCGTTTCTACCTTGAACCAATAATCGGATGAATATGATCCAAAAGCCCTACAGAGAAATTTAGGAAATTTTTAATTTCAATCCCCAAGCAGTTACATTCAAAGATATTGCACGTTTCAATTCAATTTCAGAATATTTCAAAAATATATACAGATAGAAGAAGCTGCCAATCTTAATTAAGGAATGTACAAACACTTGTTTTATTTATTGTTCTGTGATGACCTAATGTTTCATAAAAATTCTTACAGTAGTAAATTTAAGCAATAATTCTCAAATACAATTAATATTATTATGAACTAATTGAACTTATCTTTATAGGAAAAGGTTTGGCCTATGGCTTGCACTAAATCGAAATTGGAGAAGCTGTGAGCGTATGAAATGAGCAACAAGGATTATTTATTTCTTTAGATTTACTGTAACACAATAAATTTGTAAAAAAAATAGTCTCGATTTATTTATGCCCTTATTTTAATAAATTAATGTACAAACAGAATGAAATACAAAAGGCGATCTGACTATATTACCTACAGCTTCTAGTAACAGGTAAATAGAACACAGAGATATCAAGAATATTGAGCGTGAAAGAGAATAGAATAATTATTGCGAAAAATGCCAAGAGATATTCATTTTTATTTGATGAGATTTTTAATAATTTTACTTTATATTTGAATTGGTTTTGAACTATGATGTCATGGTAACTTTTATAAATACTAAACCTATTCCTTTTTATCAAAACTCGATACAACTTAATTGTCTGGGTAGGCTGATATAATAAAACAAGTTTGTCACAACATGTTGAAATTACGAAGAAAACTTTTTTTGAGAATAAGGTTTGGATCTCAGTATCACAAACGCATGATTTTAGGTGACGCAACAGAAAAAATTTCGAATAATATTTTCAATAAAATGCCCTGTTGATCGTATTTGATGTAGCAGATTAGGTACCCTACTCAGTTACCAGACTTAACGCTCTTGATTATTTCTTGTGTGAATTTGTGTAAGTCTTGCGTATTTTTGAGAACCAATAAAACGACAGCAGGATTGTACAAATTTTTATTAAATTGTCATTTGTCTGTTGATTCCTCTACTGTAAAAACCTCTAGATTTATAAAGGAGAAGTATTTTATTTGAAGCAAATCTTACTTTACTTTTTAATAAAGTTTTTATAAGTTTTATCAAAAACTTATAGATACTTAATTTTCAAGTGAATTTAAAATTTAAGTAATTATAACAATTGAAATGACATTGATACTCTATACAGGGTGTCATAAATTTTGAGGTTATATAAAAATTTTCAAAAATTATTAATTTAATTTTCCCATAATTCAAAATTTAAATAAACATAATGAAAAAGTTCAATATTTTTTTGTTTATACACCGTATCATCTTAGAAAAAAAAATGTTACCTAAATTGCAAACGGAACTCATTACGAGAAAATAGCAGTAGGTCATGGTTTTTCCTTCCAAATCAAAGAAATAGATATTCTACAGATTATGAATCATACCTAACATAAATAGTACGACATTTCAAAAAATAAACATTGAACTGTATATTACTTATGTATTTACATTAATTTTCATTATTTAACATTATTAACAAATTATTATATCTCTTAAACGTCTACGAATAATTTACTGCAAACAGTGAGACAAATAAGAACTATCCATCATCTCAAACCTTGAATCACCAACTATTCCAAACCAAAAAAAAAATAAAATAGAATAGATAGCAATTAATTAATTAATTAATTAAGGAAAATGCTTGTTTTTGCAATTTGGCAAAATACTTAACATGTGTATCATATAACAATTTACTTATTAAACTATTATTTTTAATAAAACTGCATTACATCCACCTTTTTTATAATCTTTAACTTTTTTTAAATTGTAGGGGTACAAGAAGTACAACAATTTCTGCGCTTGCATGTACCAGAAGGCGTAGGCCATAAAAGTGAAGGATTATACTTGTTGTCATTTTAAGTAATTAATATTAGGTTTTTTTAACAATGATAATAATCTTTTAAAAAATAGTACCTGCATAATAGTCCATTGATAGGTACATCACAAAATACATAATCACCTTTGCAATCTGCATATATTACTGGTTGTTATCTCATTTATTTATGTCGACAAATTTTTTAGGCAATTTTTTTGTTTTCTGTAATAATAATTAAATAATAGTGTACCTGATATTGCCTTTTACAATTATTGTCAACATTAAATAAATTTAATACAAGATATTTGTGTTAAAAGCTGACGCAATGCAATTCACAACTGCGTATACAGAATCTTCTAAACGGTGGAGTTTGTTCATTTTAATACAAAAAATATTATTTTTCTGTAGGATTATTCATCAAATAATTTATATTTCGATTTGTCAAATTATTTGTTCGTTTTGGCACATGTTTCCATGATAATTTGAAATATATTGTAACATGCGTGTTTTGCTGCAAAATTTATGCAGTTTTCTTGAATAAAATATTATTTATATAGATACCAATTAGATAACTGTCAGTGCAGATAAATTCAATACATATTATTACTGTTATTAGAGACCAGAATACTTCAACAGGTCTACAGTATTTATAAAATTTAAAAATATGACATAGTAATTGCAGTGGCCCTTGTTCCACTTTTGAAATTAATTCAATGAGTTATTAGATTATAATTTGACTTGTTAGAATTTCAGTGGGGCTTCGAGGGTATATATAACAAAATAAATTCACAAGAAAATATTAATATTCTGTATCACTTTAGTGCAAACGGATTAACCAAACCATCCATCATGTTCAAGCTGGTAAGCCTTCTCGTATTCAGTGTTTATTCTTATTAAATTTATTTACCATGTTAGATTTTAGTAGATTTATCACTTGTATTATTTTTTTTAGATGTAAAATTAACTGTTCTTATAGAGTTAATTTAAAATATAAAGAATTAAATACTTCGGTAACTACCAGTTTTAATAATTTTTATCTGCAATTTTGTAATTGTCTACTGTATTCAATAGTGTTTATATACTGTAGAACATATTATTTGAAAATCTCTTTGTTTTTAAGACATTTTCATTTTTTATATACTTAGTTATGTACTTATTACATTTGTTCATTGTAATTGCTCTGCAAGCCACACTTTTGGAATAAATAAATAAATAAATAGTAGGTACTGATTATTTTGCGTCGACATATATGTATATGGTACTCAAACTCTAAAAAAATGATGAGAATCATGCAATGGTGCTCTCACTTTCTACAAGAAATGATTTAAAAAATACTGCTATAAACATTTTTTTCCAGATCGTACTCGCTACGTTGGTGTGCTTCGCCAAGGCCGGCCTAATCTCCTCTGGCGTGGTAGGCGTTGGAGGCCTGGGAGAACTGGGAGGCATCGGTCTAGGAGGTATAGGTAGGGGCGTCGCGGTGGCAGCTCCCGTAGCTGTAGCACATGGAGCTGTTTCCTACCAGAACAACAACCAGATCAGTTTGCACCCCACTCCCGTTGTTGCTAGAGTAGCTGCGCCCGTAGCTGTGGCAAGCCCTGTCGCTGTTGGTGTCGCTCCTATCGGTGTTGGTGTTGGAATTGGTAAGGATTTTCTGTTTCTATTCTTAAGCATAGATATTTTACACGAAAAATTAGCAGATCTAATAATGCTGTGTATGACTGTAGGTAGAGGTCTTGGAGGAGTTGGACTTGGAGGAATTGGAGGAGTTGGTCTTGGAGGAGTTGGACTTGGAGGAATTGGAGGAGTTGGTCTTGGAGGAGTTGGTCTTGGAGGGATCGGAAAAGCTTGGTAAAATGAGGAAGCAGTTAATGAGATGAGCAACGTTATGTTTGATAATTTATTTTCATTTAAATAAAATAAATAGGAAATAAAATAATTTTGATTTATCCACTACGGTACCATTTAAATATGTTGGGCTTTTTTAAAAACTTTTTGAAAATATATGCACTAATTATTTGCAAGAAATAATTCAGAAAAGTCGTACAATTGCAATACTGAATTTAAAAAATCATATTGCAACATAGTTTATCTGATATTTTAATTAAATTATACTATCTACGACGGCATTGAGTTACAGTATCTACATAGAAAACTTAACAAGCTAATATTGTAATTATTTAATTTTTTACATGTCTATCTTACTGTTAGAACAATTACTATAACAATTTACTAAGTGTCTGCACTTCAAGGTACATTACACTTTTGAATAATGCATATATAGTGTCTAACCAAATCCCATCAATGATCTTACAACAGAAATAATTAAAAATTATTTAATTCCAAAAATTATGTAAGAAACATAAAAAAAGTCCATTAAAAAAAACTATTTTTCCATACAAAAACGAAATATTATTTTGAGTATGCTAAAATTAATGCAAATAAGGATTATTGCTAAATTATTTAGAGAGACAAATACTTAGAACGACAGTACTTGTCCGTCTGCAAAATACTTTGCCAACAAATTTATATAGTTCTCCCAAACAAAGTCAAATAAAGATAATATGCCATGGCCTCAATTATTCATATGGTTTATATTGCTCTACTAGGTACCTACATTTAAAAAATCGCCTATTTTCTTCTTCGTCAAAATTGAATTTTTACATCTTACAATTAGTAGAAGCTGATACTTTAGCTTAGCATTTCAATTATTGCTTGTAACATATGAATACGGAATTTACTATTGAGTCACTAATTTTTCTGTAATTAATTATTTGGTTTTGTTCTCATTTGTATTTAGAGAGGCATTCGAGATATTTATTTTTAATGCAGAGAACCAGCTAATCATGTATGTATATTACAGAACAAGTCACTTTACTTACTCTAAATTCTTGATCTAGAAGTAGATCAGCTATTTAATTAATGTCCAACTAAATGGAAACGTATGGTATTCTCGGATACATAAGTTATCTGTGATAGTTACAAAAGAGATAAATTACGGTTAAAGCAGGGCTATATTGCATTGATTACAGTTTACCGTCGTTGACACATAAAAGCTCTATTTATTCCCTTTTTTCTGGGTATGAAAGGATTCCAAATTTAATTAGATGATGTGAATTTATTCGCATAAAACATACCTAACATATAAGTCATAAAAAAAAGTTGCAAAGATATTATCTTCTTCATTTATTTCTAATCAACATTTGGAGCAAAAACCATAATATTAATGGTAATTACTATCATTGTATCTTCACTAAACAAAACTGTAACAACATTCCTTGCTGTGATTTATTAAATCATCGTTAACGTAACTACAACATTCAATGAAAGTACTATACACGTGGTTTCATCACAACCATGACCCAGAACTGTTGTCAGCGTCTTATTACTCACAAAGTTTAGTATAAAAACACTGCTTCCACCCTCTGGTCTTCATTCGACTGAAGCTAACGAAGCAAAAAATAAAGATGTTCGGAACTGTAAGTATCGCAATAGCAAATAGGTTTTAACATTTATTAAGACAACTTAAGGAAATTTGGCTAGTGAGTTATATTAAAAAATAGCGAATATATATGTAAATTTGTTTGTATTAATACAATACTTACTACAGAGGACGTGATCTCCACTTTTTAATTCATTTAAGTTTCATAAGAAAACAATTCTTCCGCTTCCTGTTTTTCTTTAAAGTGACAAATAAATAAACTACTTTTCTTAGTTATTCTTGAGTTCACTCATATAGGAACAGTATTATTTTTATTTGACAAAAAACTACAACCAGTTTACAGGGTGTTTTCATTTCAGTAGATCTAACACCTATATATTTTCCTGGTTAAAACATTGTTTACATTAATTTGTTTTATAACTGTAGCTAGTAGGATTGACTTTATTTATCACCGCTGCCAATGCTGGACTTCTGGGCAGCCCAATTGCCTACTCCGCCCCTGTATTAGCAGCCCCCGTAGCCCATGTATCGCCTGTAGCCCACGTAGCGCCTATAGCCATTAAAACGGCTGTCCCCGTGGCCATTTCCTATCAAAATGTTTATAAGGTAAGACCGTTTATTAAATATATCTATTTATTTTATTATTAAACATTTTATGGCTACTTTTATCTTTGAGATAAATGTTGGGTTTAATTATTTTGTCGAAATAATAATTAACAGAGACCTTGTATTCTGCGATTATTGGTGTTGTGTTTAATTTTATCTTAATTAATTCAGAAATATGTCTAATTTTATCGAACAAAAGTGTTTACGATATACAGGGTAGTTCGAATTTTATGGAGGAAACTTCGGGAGCAGATAGATCTCTTCTCTAATAGATTCCTGAGATATAAACAAAAAATCAACTTTTTTTACAACTCCAACACCGTGTATTTCCTTCAAGCTATATAAGCTTTAATATAGTAGTAGTATGTTAATTTTAATATTCATTCAAGGCGGTAGAATAGAAATTAGCATAGTAGATAGTCGACTATTTATTTCTAACGGTATGTAAACTGCCACAAGTGTACATTACGTAGCAGTAGACTGCAATCTTGCATCTAAACAATGTAATTGCGCTTCTCTGTAATTTTATGCAATTATGCATCGATCAGAGCGATATAGTTTGAATTCAAATTTGCATTTCCAATTTCAGACCAAGCAAGCGCAACATATTGAAATAGAGCAGGATTTTCAGTATTTTTAAAGTTCCAATACTTTTTCTGGAGCTTTTAAGTAGCGCCCTATGACCTTCGCGCAAGATAAATCACTTATTGTCTTTATTTTTTCAGATTTCTGGTGCCGCTGTTCCGGTAGTTGCCGCTGCTCCCGTTATAAAAGCTGCCCCCGTGGCGTATGCCGCCCCACTGATTAAAGCTCCAATTGTAGCTGCCCCCGCCTACTCATATGCTGCTGGTCCTGCTTTGCTGAAGAGTCCCCTTCTTGCTTCCCCGTCAGCTTACGGCCACTACTAGGATCAAGATGTTTTTGTTAATAACAATGTTATACTTTCGGTTGCTGTAGATTACGATTATGTACATATACTTATTTATTTTTTTACCCCTGTTACCAAATGACTTTGTAAATAAATGCATTTTATAATAAATATTATTGTTAGGTGTTTTATTGATTGCAAAATAATATCACTTTAAAGACTGGCGATATCTTGATTTCATACAATTCTGTAAGGAGCAAGCCAAGTAATTATTCCACTTTTAACGTTGTCCATGACTTCACAACAGTTATGAATTCATAACTGTCCGGATACGATTTTCACAACATTTTCGTCACAACCAAGGCCAAACTATTTAAAATGTTTTAACAGGGAACTGGGTTAAGAACAACAAGACATTGTTGCTGTATCTTTTCGCATCGTAAAGCAACATTGCGATACACTACAATGGTGCAGTTGTCACTTGCATAAATACTGTTAATTGCAGACAATTATTACTGAACAGATTCAACAAGGAAATAAATGATGTTATCATCTCTGAAATGTTGCGTTAAAATATTGTTTACTTATTAAAAAAACGGTGGTTGCGAACGTAGTAGAGCGTGACGTCACAATTATTGTCTGCAGCTGATCTTTAATTGATTCAACACTCTATTTTAATAAAATTCGAACGTGGTTTAGCTTGTGGCTATGATTTTAGTGTTGCGCTAATTGCATACGTTGCTCAAACCAGAAGTATGTCATACATTTGAATATCAAGCAGTTTGAAGAATGACATAATTGTTAATAAATTCCTTGATAAATTTTTGTGAGACTGGTCGCTGTTCTTTTATTGTTGTACTCCTTCCCATTATGACGACTTGCGTTTCTACAGCGCTACACTACGGAACCAGTTGTTGAAAAAATACGTACCTGTGTGTTTTCAGATATTGGCTGACTAATCAAAGTGGTACACTGCATATACAATTAGACAGCTTCTTTGCGATTTAAATAACTGGTTTTAGATCACTTTGCGTTATGCAAAAATATTTACCTTTCTTTAAATATATGACACTGACAAAATAATGCAAAATTAAAGGATTAAGTTATGTGATAAAAGTAAATTCATAAGGTTTGTTCCAACAAGAATCAGGCACTGTTTTCATAACATTATGTGAGTACTTTTTGCCAGAAGCAACAGGCTACATATGCTCCTAGACCTAATAGATTGACTGGAGCATGTGTACTGTAAAGTTGCCGATTTACTTCTAAAATACAATAACCTTGTCCAGGTGTATCTGTGCAGATAAATCAGATAATGCAGTTCTCCACTGCCGTTGGAAAAACCTATAAGCAACTGATTTACCTTTTACTGAAAACATTATAAAGAGAACTGTCCGTATTTAATTTCTTGTGACTGTATTGGAGTTCCAATTCCTCGAGCTTAATCAACACCTCAACACCTCCAGGGGTGCTATCTCCATTAATTCCTGCACCTGCATTTTCCTTCGTATCCTTCAACAACCATAATAGCTATTCCAGTTTTACGATCTCCAAATTATTGTTATATTGGCCTGTAAGAATTTAATTCTTATCACTTTATTGCTATATTAGAAATAACTAATCGCTTGTTTTTATCAATAAAACAGAAATAACGCTCGGAGATTATTTCATTACTTTATTTTGGTATAGTTTTATACATTTAGTATATACAATTTGCAGTGGTTATAAGTTACTAGGTTAAATTTAACTAGGATGAAAATTAACTTCTATATATTGTACACCAACATCTGCATGACATATTACATTAGTAACCGCGTCCACCATATCCACCGGCTCCAGCCTGTCCTCCATAACCACCTGCTCCAGCCTGTCCTCCATAGCCACCGGCTCCACCCTGTCCTACAAAACCACTTGCACCTCCGTATCCAGCAGCTCCTCCATAACCACCTACACCTCCATATCCACCAAGAACTCCAAGACTTCCAGCTCCACCATTTCCCCCTGTGCCTCCATACCCACCAACAGCTATAGCTACAGGAGCTACAGGTACAGCAGCGGTTACTCGGGTGACCACTTGAGTGGGATGAACTACGTCAACTCTGGCTTGAGAACTGGTCGCCACGGGTGCTGGAGCAGCGGCTACGGGAGTTACAGGTACAGCTGCTACAAATGGAGTCGCAACTGCAGCTACAGATACCTGGTTCGCGGCGTTTACTCCTCCATACCTTCCTGCGCCTCCTCCAAGTCCTGCTCCAACGATTCCTGCGCCTCCAAATCCTGCACCATAGCCTAGTCCCAGATTTCCTGGGGTGGCAGTGCTTGCGGCCAACAAAATGGAGAATATGACGAACTGGATCATTTTTTCTGAGATGTCTTGATGAGGACGAAGCAAGTACAGCTACTGACTGACGTTGGTGGGTTGGGATGAGAATTTATAGTTATCCTGATATTAGAATGTAGTAATTTAATAAAGGATGTAAGGCGATCTTCTCAGGATATATCGTATGTTGGTTGTGTAAGACGTAGTATGAACTGATCCTTTAGGTTTACTCTTACTTTCATGAGGTGACTGACATGAATTTGACCATATATTAATTTCTCCAGGGGTTCCTGAACTCCATTAAACATTTCATTCTTTTTTTTTATCAAATAAATCAAAATTTGTAATGATTAATAAAATAATCATTTTCACGTAAAAAATAATACCTAACGAAGAGGATTACTATGAGGTTGGTTATTCTTTAAATCTGTATTTAAAAAAAAAAAGTGGTTCCGCCCGGGATCGAACCGGGGACCTTCTGCGTGTAAAGCAGACGTGATAACCGCTACACTACGGAACCAGTTATTAAAAACCATCGCAAATATTTTCACGGCTTCTTTTGAACACGAAAAGTGAAAGTACAACAATATTACATTAGTTATACTCGTACAAATGAAAAAGGAAAACTCGCAATTTCAAAATTTCAATATTTTTCATATTTTCAAAGGCGAAATATGAATTTTAATCATCTTCAAAATTAATCGAATATACAGGGTGGTCCTGTTTCCGATGCGGAAACTTCAGGGACCGATAGGGATTAAAAAAATTATATGAGTTTGATATATAAACTATATTCGAAAAATGTTCGTTAAGGAAATACAGGGTGTTAAAGTTTGATTTAATAAAATCAAATTTATTAATTGTTGTCAAACGGCTAAAGGTATTTCAATGAAATTTTGTAGACATTAACTACCATCGAGAGAGCACGTTTTGAATGAAAAACATTATTTTTAGTTTTGCCAGTGGCGTCAGTATTAGCACGTTACTGGATATTTCTGAAGAAAAAATTGGTACGCCACTGCTTTTACATAAAATAAATATCAGTTTTGGATTCTTAATTCAATTTGGAAGAAAAAAGCTCACTTTCGATTTTTCTGTACGACTCAGCATTTTCAAAGTGATCTTTGTTTAACAACTTAATATTTATAATTCATTACCTACATTTTTTGTACGAAAATTATTTTTACTGTGACCGCAAATTGTGTTAAATTTATAGTGTCTGTATATTTTCTTTGTCCGATTGGTACTTGTTTTCACTTTCACGGCAATCTTTGACCTGCTTATTATAATTTTCGAAGTTTGGCACCACATAAAAAAAACACTCCATAGACATTTGTCGTTCAAATTTGGTACATGGGTATTTTGATGGGTGTTGAATAGCTTGGTAATATTATCTTTTTGATAAAAAAATTTAATAATTTACCCCCTAAATCGTAGTAGGCCAGGCTTTTGTTATATCAATAAAATGATTAGAACAATATAACCTCCCATCAGGGTACTATTTGTAAAAAAATTGGCTTGCGGAAAGTCCACAGCCTTCTCACATTTCCAGTGGTGTTAACCTGAAATACGGGACACACTGTACCTACATAAAAATTCAAACAATAACACAAGGAATGACTTTTGCTTAATAAGTATTTTTAATTTTTGGGTGAATATAAAACTGAAAGGCAACATGGAAAAGGTACAGTTTTGTATAGTTTAATTATGCAACTATCTTTAAATTTTACGGTTTCTCTTATTTGCCTCATTGATTTTTACGCAAATTTCTCAGTTCAATATTTACATATTACAGTTGCATTCGCTATAAAATAAAATAGAAAATATTCAACACAAATTTGTTCTATCAAAAAAAATATATATATATCTTACAAAGATAGTTTTTCAGTATAAACGTTTAGGTACATAATATTATTTACTCTGAGTTCCTCGTGAAACTTCAAGAAATAATAAACTTGTCTCACAATCAGCTAAACCTAAGAAAATGTTGACAGGTATTCAATGTGGAATAGTTTCATTCATGTTTTTAAACGCGTATGCCTAATTTATTTTATTTACATAAGGCTTACATATTTTATTTGCTCACTGTTCTGAGAGTTTCTTTTATTTGCTGTGTTCATATTCTAAGTACATACTGTATATTACATTAACAACTATTTTCTGCAATAATACCTACTATTCATTAAAATGTGCATATGATATGTTGACTATAAACACAACGTGTTCTTTATCGACAATGGGCATGTCCCACATATTTTTTCTTTATTTTTTTATTTTTCTTTATTTTTTTATTCAATTACTGCAACACTAAACCCACAGTTTTTTCTCGGATTATTATGTGCCCACGTAAGTGCCGTTGTAGCTGTTTTCGCAACATCCTGTATATATGATAAAAATTGTACATCGTTGACGATGGAAATTAATTAATTACATTTTCATATAATCGTAAATACATAGAAAAAATTTAATTTTCAGATATCCCCATTATCTACCACTTTTTTCATCTTTAAAATTTTGTATTACCTTTTATTTCATTACAGTAACATATACATCCAAAAAATAAATTAATTAATAAAAAAAAAAGTATGTTGGCTCCGCCCGGGTTCGAACCGGGGACCTTCTGCGTGTGAAGCAGACGTGATAACCGCTACACTACGGAACCACCTGCAGTAATGTAATGAAATCATTTTCACCTCCGTACTTATTATGTAGTAGATACTAAAAATATGTAATATGATTAATATACTATTATTTAACTATAGTCATTCTACACAAGATTATTGGAAATTAAGTAAAATATATAAAAAAAATTAATTTCCCATGTTTTCTTTCTTTTTTCGATTGACACTAGAATAACTTAAGATTTAAACATGAAAAACGTAATGATTTTACTATGGTCGAAAGACAGTGGTAATAAATAAACTAAATTACATACTAAATTCGCGTAACAGAACAGAGTGGTGAAATTCTTTTATTTCTAAATAAATAGGCACAAAACCCACTTTCATTTTATTTGAAACTGATATGTATCTAATTTGCCTTGTTTGCATCAATTCAATTAATTCATTTTGGGCACGTGGCTAAATTTTAACAACACAATTTTAGCAACAGTAAAAGCATGGCACCAAGTTTTCCACTAAGTCAGATGAGAAATTAGGTATAGACTTTATTTTAAATAAATTAGAAGATATAGATATTCGTTTCAGATATATTAATATTTTATAAAATATAAGTATATACAGGGTGTTTCAGAAAAACCTCCCGTAAATTCAGGAGGTGATAGTACGACAAAAAATAAGAATTTTTTGTCTTATGAACTATATGTCTATCTCCTCTTGTTTTCGAGATACAGAGCGACAAAATAAAAGTTTTTAAATAGAATTTTTACGAAAATTTCCAAACGATAAGAAATATTTTTATGAAATTTGGTATTTCGGAGTTTTTAAGGACGCCAAATACGCTGGTCTAATAATTTTTTTGATATTTCATAGAGGGCGCTAGTTACACTACATTCCTATTACATTTTAGGTTCAAATTTTTTAAGGTTACATTTTTTACCATTCGGGCTCCAATAATAAATAATAATAATAATAATTATTAGACTAGCGTATTTGGCGTCATTAAAAACCCCGGCGTACCAAATTTCATAAAAATATTTCGCACCGTTTGAAAATTTTCGTAAAAATTCTATTTAAAATTTTTTATTTTGTCGCTCTGTATCTCGAAAACAAGAGGAGATAGTCATATAGTTCATAAGACAAAAAATTCTTATTTTTTGTCGTACTATTACCCCCCTGAATTTACGGGAGGTCTTTCTGAACCACCCTGTATATGTTTCTCATTAAACATATTTAAGAATCATTTAGGAATAAAAAAGTAAATAATTTAATATATATCCCCCATTCACAAGGGCGGTTTTTGCTAACGGCAGTTTAGTCGCATATTTATCGATTTCTCGTCAACTGGTGGGAAAACACCGTGCAAAAATATTCGTACCTAAAGTTACGTCCACATTTGATCGAAACGGTTGGCAATAAAATGGACCAAGACGGCTGACAATTTATTTATTATGTTTATTTATATGAAACTGGGGTCATATGATGGCAACGAACTCAAGTTTGTTTTATTCAGATAATAAAATCATACTGTTATTAACTCATCTTCCTTGGAACGAAGGGATTAGGTACGTAAATAAATAGATTTTTGCAGATTACAGTCAAATATCTTAAAAACATACTGGAGGTTACTACCGGGAAGAAAAAAAGGTACAAAAGGGACAATATGTAGGAAACGCTTTTAATGTAGGTGAAAGAAAAAATACCTACCTGCAATGGCAGAGCACAGAATTCTTTGTTCTGTGGTCACTAGTCCGGATATACTACAAAATATGCAATGCCGATGTAAATTTTGTAGTTTTTAAATGGAAAATATTCATTTTCTTCACTTCTTCACAAATCTCTTCGACTGGACTGACTTAAAAGAAACGGTTAAAGTGGGATAATCCCCGTTGTTGGCAGCCCTGCTTACCACGCCACATAGAATAGAACAAAAAATGAATGAAATCAATTTTTATTATCTTACACTAAATAAATGGCAACTGTACAATGCAAGGTGAGTGATATTCAACGAAATTTCACATTAGATCTAAGACCTAATGACCCAACGCAAGTCCTCCATGTCCCAATCCCAGTCCCAAACCAACACCTCCCAATCCAATACCTCCCAAACCAATCCCCCCCAATCCTAGCCCATGTCCACCAAGGGCGACAGCAGGGGCGGCAAGAGCAACCGGGGCGGCGGCCAAAGCAATAGGGGCGGCTGCCACAGCGACTGGTGTTCTAATGTCCAGCCTAGACTGGTGGCTAATTCCGGAAGAGACGGCAATGGGGGCGGCGACTGCGAGAGGTGCTGCGGCTATTCCAATTCCATGTCCAAGTCCTCCTAAGCCCACGCCTGCACCAAGGAGTCCCGGTCGAGCGACGCAGACGGCGACGAGGGCGGAGAATACTGCTAGTTTGAACATCCTGGTTTGATTCGAGGTATGTGTAGCTGAAGGGTGGAAAACTGAGACTGATATGCATGCGCTTTTGGATTGTATTTATAGTCAAGTCAATTGAACGCTTATGACGGAAGTGGTAGAAACATGAAACCTGATCGGTTTGTTGAAGTGTGACCTTATTTTTGCCCCGTTTTGCTCCTAGCGCCGTGTTGACTATTAATTGTAGCCATTTTGACTTGCATTGTATAACAGAGTGCAGGTTTGAAATGCCGTAGAAAAGTTTTATGCTTTATCGAGTTACGTTTTACAGGGTGTGACTACAACATTTGAGTCTGTATAATATATCAAAAAGTTTGATTTTATAATACTGTCTTCAATACATGCACAATGCCCTGGGAATTTAGGAGAGGATATACGAATACAGTTTTACTTCAAATTAAATAAATTCCAAAAAGTTTCTAATTTTGTTCAAATAAATAGTAAACAAATACTTCGTTGAGGATGTCACACTCTTCTACCGACAAAATCCCAAAGAAATTTCTCTAATCAAATAAAAGCAAATGTTTTAATGAACGCCTGCAAATAATTCGTTTTTTAAGATACAGTTTGTTAGTTTTATAACTTAAAAAATCATATTTAATTAAAAATAAAAAATTACAATATCCATCTACGTACAGGATATATTATAATATTCAAGTAGCCTTATGAGAAATTTTGGTAACATATCTTGATTTGTAAGTATAGAACATACTTGCATATCCTACAGAAGCAGATGCGTCAGTAATGAAATTCAGATGTCCTCAGAGTATGCTACAGACAATTCTTAATACAAACCGTGTGTCCCTAAATATGCTAATTTGTAAGAATGCGATATTCCTCGCATTTCCGAAAGATAACTCCCCAAATCTCCCATGAATTACATATAACGCAAACAGTGTGTGACATATGCAGTGGGATATTAGAAGGATATCCTGATTTTCCTGATTTTTAACTTAAGAGGTTTCTGAAAATACAGCTACACAGTCCTTGGGGCATAGGGTATCTCATATGTACATAATTCATTTGAATCTTGAAGTAAACCAAAACAAATCACTTGGCAGACAGTTTTTCAATGATATGTCCTCGTTGTGGTTGTAATAATACGATATATTATTACAAATGTAATGGATAACATCACCGTAAATTCCTGCTTGGTATGGAAAAATTTATGCAATTTCTCTACATGTTCCTGAAATTACTTTGTCACATTTTCCACAAATAACAAACAAATTAAAATAATCTTCATTGGCATAATTTAAACAACCCCCAGGTATTTTTATTCAAATTTTCAGCAAAAACTATTCAGACACAACTATAATTTGACACTAACTTGACAAATGTCAAGTTATTTCAATTGTTTTTGGAGTGTTTCTGGTCATAGCCAATTTGACCACAGGTCTGATATGAAAAAAAGTGTCCAAAAAATAGAAAATTGCAAATATCTCTAAAAGTAGTAATGGCAACCCTAACAATGCTTATATGGCTTGAAAGGAAATTTCAATCTACATACGACAGAGTAAAAAAATAAAGGGTGTTCCATTTAAGTTAACAAAGTTATAGCCGTTTGAAGTTATCAAAATGTAACAGCAAAAATGAAACACCTGGTATTAAATGTTTTAATTTGTTGATATACCATAATTTAGTGTTACTTATGCCCTTTACAGGTACCAAACATTCAGGTGATATCACGCTTCTGAAAAGAGTTACTAACATCTCTACGGACCCTTGCATCTGTCAATTTTTTTCTTTAAATATTAATTTCTCAAATTCTGTAATTCCTAGGTATAGGGAATATTGAATAAAGTGGCCCTCAAGTTTCACGTAGAATCCGAAAATGCAATAATATATAGGGTGTCCCATTTAAAATAACAAAGTTGGTGTCGTCTTTCGCTATAATTTAATCCAACTGATTTATTGTGGTTTTTAATTTTTCATCTCATTTTGATATTTACAATCCAAAAAAAACAATACCTAAATTGATGTTTCACCGAATTCTCTGTTACAAAAACTGTTTAACGGATGCAATAAAATTTAGAATGTGGCATTTCCAGTGAAATAGACCTAGCATACAATGTAGTATATCCTCTAGCTCCATAATTTGTTATATTAATTAATTGCCTAACAAATCATTTTTAATAATTTTTCTATATCGTCTTTAGCGACAAATATTCAACAATTTTGAGTTGAATAGCAATTATTTGAACAATGAACTTAACATATGCGTTGATTATAATATAATAGTGAGGGATAATAACATTAGCATTAAATCAATGCCTAGACGAATATTTAAATATAATGAGTGAATAACCTGTAATAGATATTTATATGAATCAACAAATTGAAAATTTAAAATCGAATAAAGTTACAAAACATATGGCTATTATGATGTGAAATTGTAATATAATTATATGATATTAAAAATGCAGATTAGAGCGACTTCTACAAAAATTAATGTATAATATGTATGTTTTATTGAAACTGAAGATAATAATATTGAAAGATCAACTAGCCATTTACTTATCAAACATAAAAATCTCGAAAGCGTAAAATTACAAAAGGTCTTGTAAAATATAAGTAAGAGAGAGAATTAAATTCATGATTACACTAATACACTTTAAAAGCGAACAACTAAACTAATTGTAATAAAAATAATTCAATAAATTTGTAGAATATTGTAAAATATTGGAAAAAAAATAAAATATAACCATTACAAAATTAAAATCAGAACAAAGCGTTCTTGCCATGAATATAGTTACATTTAACAACCATTTTGCTAGTGCAAATAAATTTTTTGAGTTCTGAGAAACTGAAGAAATATTACTAAGCTCAGAAAATATTTAAAAAGACTATAATTGAAACACTTTTAAAAAAGAGTAAAACACAGCAGTGTCTAATTATAGAACTGTATCGAGTGTAACATACTAATAAGATAATTCGGGATTAAATAGGATCTACACCAAATATTATTGAATGCATAACTTCAATTCATATTTAAGGAATTAGATGGAAAAAAGGGAACTTTCCTAAGTTTATATAAAGCTACCTAAGTGCTTAAGTACAATGTTACCAGATAAGTAATGTTAACAGGTATAAGGTAACAGAGATGTATGGTACACCACAAGGCCCAATCATGGGACTTATTTTATTTAGCTTGTTCAATAATGATTCAAATATTCTGCTTTTGCAAACATTACAAAATTCACAATCATTCGTCATAGTAAATGAGAAATTAGGGACAGAAATAACAGGTTAGTATTTTCAGAAGCATACAAAATATGTTTTTTAAAAAATATATATATTTATTCCTTTGCAAAATTATACTTTTGTTTACAGTAGAGGAAATATTTACATAATTGTAGATATATGTACACAGTTTTTACAAAGATACGTTATTTTTCATAAAAGTAAATTATTACTAGAATGTCAGTACTGAAGTGTCTCAAAAGGGTTTAACTATATTTTTATATCATATTAAACATTCACGAAAATGTTGATGTCCCTTTCAAAATTCAATAATAATTGTAAGGGCAGTAACTGGTAGCATTATTAAAAAAAGTAAATTGTTGGAAACAGGAATAATTTGCAATACAAAATTACCAGCCGTGTCCTAAACCCAGACCCAATCCTCCCACCCCAAGACCTCCAATTCCCAAACCATGCCCTCCAAAAGCCACAGCAGGGGCGGTGACGGCTACTGGTGCTGCCACAGCGGTGCGGACGACGGCTGCTACAGGCCTTACAATGTCAGTTCTGTAAACGGAACTGACGGCGGCAGGCACCGCCAGAGCAGGGGCGGCATAACCGCCCAATGCTAAACCTCCATGGCCTCCAAGACCGATGCCTAGGTTTCCAGGACGAGCTGCACAGATGGCTAGTATAGCTGACAAAAGGACTAACTTCAACATCTTGCGTGGAAAACTGAAGAAAGACTGATAATCCAGCAGCATTTTGGATGTAATTTATAGTTGCCTTTATGGCGGTTGTGGTAAATTTGTAATAAAATCGCTTCGATGCCGACCTTAACGACTGCAAGGATCTAATCGTAGATAGGATAATTGTTGGTATCGTATGTCGAGGTGGTACGGTAACCAGATTTGATCTCGCTTTGAAAAAATCGCTGCAAGTCGAGTAGTAGTTATGTCTACCCACGGAACGGACTGAAGTTGCGGCACGTCGAAATTTTTAGCTCTCGAAAACGAAACGTTTATTTAGCGACGTGTGATAAATTGGCTTGCGAAATATTAATTACCTCGGGTGATTCACGTTTCAATAATAATCACTTACAACTGCAATTTACATTCTATTAGAGTAATAATATTAACAATTATTTTTTCGCGTTTTGACTGATAATATGCAATTTGACTAAGTTCAAAATCGTTTATATTACTAAAGTGGCACTTTACCACATCACTTAGTTATCAATTTTAATTTTTTTATACTCAATTCAGGCTTTCCCTTCACGGCGATGATACGTGAACTTGTAGCTACGTTTGCTTGGTGAGGAAACGGAAACAGTGACCGAAAAAAAATATAAATAAGTCGTAACTTACATAGTATTACGAATTTGAATCGCTAATGTTATATTTCTCAGGTCAAGAATGCTAAGCTCAATTACATTGTGCGTTTATTTACATTATTTAAATTAAATTCTACACATTCCGCTCGTTCACTGTCAAGAATTTTAGGGCTCATATGGTAATAATTTAATAGCACCAGGCACGAATGCATAATTAATTTGTACAGAAAATACAACTAATACGCATAGCAAAATTGATCATGTAGGTGTCATATCTAGTATCAAAATAATTCAGATGCTGGAGTCAGGAAGTTTTGACTTCCACTAGAAATGTGAATCGTCGTTGCTTGCTAATTGGACTACTACCAATTCATAGGTCACATGCTTTTCTGATTGGTAATTTTAGTGTAAAATAGGACTAACGAAATGCTGAGTATAAGATTCAGACAGATGAGACAGAGAGAGAACAGGACACTGTCGATTCAAGAAGCATCTCTGCAACATAAAACTAGTAAGAATAAAATCAGAAAAAGGTTGTCCACTAGCAGAATTCATTTTTTTTTTAATTAAAGAACAAATCTACTAAACGAACGGAAAGACAGTTACAATTCTTCGAGACATTCGTTCGCGATCTTAGGAAAAAAATATATGTGATTTATTTAGTACATATATATTTGTTAATTAGTACATATTATATTTTCCCAAAATTAAATCTAGACATTTTTTATAAATGTCAAGGCTTTTTCACTTAATAAAGTCAAGTATGATATCTTAATATTACACTCAGGTGTGATGTGGTTTATAGTTCTAATAGTGTCACTGTTAGCATAACATTCGACTAAAATATCTTCTGGTGTGCTAAGATATTTATGAAATTGACACCACCAGAACTAAGAAGAGCACACGTAATTTTAATAGGAATTTATTGGAGCAGAGAATTTTTAATTTTACATTAACAGAGAACTAATAATAAGTGCAATTATGACATAGATAATTTTAATAAACGTACCAAAAAAAAAACTAGAGGCAAAAAAGTAAAAAAATCAAAAACAATTTTTTGCTTTTTTCAAATTGTTTATTAACGATTTTTTGCATAAAATTTTCCTTTTAAATTTTTTAAACAAGCTATTTCGATGGAAAATTCAATTCTCTAAATAATGAACTATAACAAAATTTTGCTTCGTTTTCGAGCTACAATTAAAAAACTGAAAGGGGTGCATTTTCACCCTTATCTCCAATTTCCACCCTCTATTTTAATAGCACTCCGCGTTTTTTTTCATCTAAAATGACCATTTGAACGATTCATGTAATAAAATATCTAAATACCTTTTAAAATTCTATAATCAATAGCCTGGAATTTGCAGTGTCAGTCCGGTTAAGTTTTGCATGAGTGAACAACCGCCAATGTATAATACACAAAATTTTAAAAAGCTTTATATGAACCAGTAAATTTCATAACATACATACTTTATCCGATACGGACTATAGAAATTAAAAAATTCTTTACGTTTCCGTCGTTGAGATAAAACATTTTTATATAAAACCAACGATTTACGTTTATTTATGGCCATTATTATGGAAAAAAAAACAGTTAATAATTTCTGTTATAGATTTATTTGACTTACTGAAACTACATAATTAATTTTTGACTAATATTGTCCTACCATAAGAACTATATCTTGCGTATAGTTTCATTGAATAATAGAAGTTTATCGTTAGAGTATATACTTAGATTATCTAAAATTGTTTGACTACTACTACTACTAGATTTGACTGATGTTTGAATGAGGAGGCCATAGAATTTAAATCAAAAAATTAGTTGTAAAAATATTTGGAAACCCCAAAATTCGCACACTAGTGCATCACATAACAACTGAAATTTTTATTTATTCTGTGACGAATTTCTTGGAATAGGTTTTAATTTTCCTCTTGTATTTTAAACAGATTAACCATATATTCTTGTTAAAATATAAAACCTTAAATTCTTTGCCTCACTACATGATCGAAAAGTATGGCCAGTTCATACAAATTCGTATAAATCCTTTTTCTTGTCGTGTTGGCACCAGGATTAGCATCTGGTGCAGGATTTATAACCTTTCTATCGAACCTATTTTGGAAAATGAGGCCTTTGGTTGGATGCATTGATACTTTGTAATTGAGAGAATCGTTAGAAACAACCTTTCCAGCTCTCCAATGGTAGAACCCTAGATCTGTCTGTTTTGGTATAATTTTCTTAGTGCCTATAAAACAAGAAGTATTTAAAATGGTTGTTGTATTTTCTCTTTCTGTGAATCACTGACTGAATACGTAAAAAAATTACGATTAAATTTGCCTGGTCCTTCTGGTTTTCTCGGTTGCTGATTACGAATCTGAAGTTAAAACTTTGGAATTTGGAAATGATAAGAATTGTGTCGAATACTACACAAAATTTCTAGAAGAAAATATGAATATAAATGTCATCATTTAAAGTTTAAGGCAACATTTTTGATAAAAAAATTCATTAAATTTTCAAATTACGATCACTATAATACTCATATTTTAGCTGACAGGTTGAATTTGATTTCCTGCACTTTTTTTTTGTTTTTTGTTATAAAAGTTGATAGATGTAGTCAGTCGCTCTACGGACAAAAAAAAAGCATGGCTATTAACGATTTTCAGGCAATTTTTTTAGGTAAAAGTATTTGACATTCTAAGCAACAATATTTGTCAACATCAGTTTCTTAACAGCGCAGCGGTGGTAATGGTTGCACGCCACTGAACGTATGGATTGGATTAAAATTTGGTAATTGGGAACGATTAGACTACACGGTCTATTAAATTTAAAGACAATTGGTTCATTAGATTTCGATCGCCACCCACTTAATTACTTAATATATGGTTAAGTTTGTGGGAAAGCTCGCATTGATATTTCCTTACCTCCACTTACCTTTGAAAAAGGGTTTGCAGTCTTCCTTGCGCAATTTTTCGCTATAATCGATATACCCTGAGATTTCGAAACCGTTTTTATTGTAATGCCTTAGGAACACAATCGTCGACAGTATCCCCACTCTATTCGATCTTTCCCTTAGAGCTAATTCCAACTGAAGTGGATCGCCTTCTTTGATACCTTCACTAGACAACTCGTAGGGTTTATAGGGAGGATACAAGTACAACAGGACGGCGGCTAGCCTCTTCTCAAACTGCTCTCTGCTAAGTGTCTCACCTGAACTCCTATAACCCAGTTCCGCTATGATTCGGCGAACTTCTATGCTGCCCAGATAACAGTCGTCTTGGTTGGTGTTTAATGAATCCAGATACTCTTCATAGTTGTTGAATTGTAAGAGCCGTCGATCTGCTTCTATCTGAGGAGAAGCGTTGTAAGGAATTGCTCGAGCCATTTTTGTCGGACAAACTTTTTTTTCTAATGTTATACAAAATATTTATGTATAATGACTATTGTATAGTTGTGAGTGGTTTATTTTGACAACAGAATTTGGATTTGACGTACAAGCTACTCTTTCTGTCAGAATGAATGACAGATAGACAGTGTTAAGGGCTATTGTAATGTTAGCATAGCTATAGAACCAGTGATGAAATGAACACAAAATACAACTCTTTTAAAACTATTGTGCCTTCTTATATCAAAGAAGACACTAGGTCCCCCAAAAAATCCATTCCATCGAATGAAAAAATATATAATACATAATACATTTACTAGTTATAGATTTAAAAAATAATCCAGGTTACGTTTGCGTTGTTTTACTAATTTAACGATCCATTGCAATTTCACCGTAAAAACTAAAATTGAAAAAGTCAGGAGCTCAAATACAGGTTTTTCCGGTTAAAAATAATTACCTTGGGTAACTAGAAAGTATATTATTTAATAAAAGACTTAAACAATCGATCTATATTCAAGGATATAACCAACAATTCTAATAGCACCTCCATTAAACTGTCAACAAACTGTAAAAACGATGTTGTGACTGTAAAACATGTACTGTTAGAAAAAAAATGAAGAGGAAGATCATATCAATTGAGTAATGACTAACCTAATAGGTTTCCGGTTCTTCAAACTTCAAAGAACAATTTATATGTAATAGTAAAAAAAGATTTTAAAAATGCAAGCAATATTTCACAAAACATTTATTTTTACAGCCTCATCGAATACCTATTTAATTTTCTATTCAAAAACTGTTTGTATAGTCAATTTTTGTGTCTTTGACCTCTGAGGGGTCCGTACACTTCATTCATTGCCGACGAATTTACCCACGGGGTAAAATTATTCCGAGTGAAATTGTTACAAAACCGTGGTGTATGAGAGAAAACTGATCTATTTGCCTATCGGTTTTCGCCGTTACATTTCTGTTTTGCAACACCTTTGTTCAGAATAATTTAACTTAACAGGTAATACAGTCGAGTATGAACGAATTGTATGGAGCCTCTAAGAAAGTAATTTGCAGGTTGACGGATTTTGTTAAAATCCATAATGTTAATTATGTAATAGATCTGTTCCATGTAAATTATTTACAGTGTTGTAACTTTGTAATTATTTAATTTAATCCCATTTTATAAAACGGACTATTTCGATAATATTGGCGAATATTAGTTTCTATTAAATGTTTTGTGCGAGTTACAAATTTAATAAAATTAAAACAGAAATAAAAGGGAAATGTAAAAACTGTAAACATTTATTTCGTGACAAAAATTTAAAGTTATTTTCTCCAGACAAGCAATATTTTCACAATAATATTTTAATAAATTATTTTCATACTAATTTTACCTTAAATAGATTTGGCAAACATTTGGTATGAGAATAAAATATATTCACAAAAATTATATGCTCACATATTATAAAATGTTGCATGTATTTTATATAAATAACTTAACTTCACCATTCATGCCACCATCTGTAACCGTAATCGTTATCATCAAAATTGAAATTACGTCTAAAATCGTTCTTAGGTTCGTATACGTAGTAATCCTTTAAAGAGTCTTTTTCTTCACTGTCATCGTCACTTTTGTCTTCGTACTTAAAGGGTGCATCAGAAAACCAGTCAAGATCATCATTTTTTTTATTTCTACCTTCTGTATACTTGTTACTTACAGCTTCATTACCAAAGACCTTGCTGATGTCGTCATCGTAAAACGTATTAAAATTGTTTTTTAAGTCCTTCCAACGCCCCTCAGCAGTAGTAGACTTCGGTCCTTCTTTTTCAAACCATTCTAGGTATATATCTTGGATTTCCTCGTCGAGGACATTTTTACGTTTCGGTTCTTCTATGGTAAACCACGTTCTAACAGAATCCCCATCTATCTTGTTGGCCAATTGACGGACGCCTACATATTCATTCTTGGGATCTACTGGTTGAGCTTCCTCAACTACGATTGGAGACTTGAATTGATTTGTCGATTCGGCTGTTTCTTGAATAACTGTTGGGCGCCTTGCCGAAATGGCGTCAGCCTCCTTCCTGTTATATACAGGACCCCCTTTGTCTATGGGATGGATGATATAACTAACATAAGACTCAGAAGCTTCCTGTGGCACTGCTCCGAGATAAGTAGCTACGATCCTCTTATTGTACCCAAATTTCTTGGTGATACCGAACTCGTACCGATTCCCATCTACCGGAGCAAAATTGCTAGCAGCTGGTTCGTAATCCTCTGTTAGAGAATTGCACACCACGACACTGTTTAACGTGAACAACACGACGACTAGCTTGTACATTTTCCCACGACCAACGTTTTTCTGTTGAGGTTGCGGCTGAACTAAAACTTTAAAACTGTCCCTTTCAATTTATAGATTTTTAATTAGATAATTCGCCATGTAATTATGTGAGATAATTCATTGGCCTACACGGAGTACAATATTTGTAGGAAAAAATGTTATGGTCTATGCACGTACGGACTATGACCGCAAAATTGCAAAAAGTTTAATTGGAAACATGAATTTGTTGACCGGGTTCTTTCTCGCTGTTTGACGGTTTGTGTGTCACTGATACTTTTGCAGCGGCAAGTCTGCTGTCTTGGCTATTTGTATAGGATGATGTAAAGTTAAATTGGTGAAATACGAAAGGCTAAGTGAAGCGTGGAAACAAAATGGATTAGTTCCGAGTGAAACCTTAGGTTTGTGGATAAGTAGGTAACTGATTTTTCATTTTGTGCACCTTCATGTGTACCTATTTCAAATATACAACGTGATACCCTATCTGCCATACATTGTAATGCAAAACTGGTCACATATTCATTTTGGATAAAGATATCGCAATTGGGTACTAAATATTGAAGTCTATCATTAGAATCATCTAATGCAAAAAAAAGAAGTATAAACAACGTTTTTTACAAAAGGAAAGTGTATCAACAAAGTTGATTTACAAAACATATATCTCACTTTTAAAATAGGTATCAAAGTTCCTAAATGCAAAGGGAAGAACCATTTACAGAAACTTTTGCTCTTGCATTTTGGTTAATTTTTTAAATTTTCTGACATTTTACTCTTGTTGTAAAATAATTTTGTTCGTCTTAAGTATTTGGTTGTAATGATAGTCCTACATGAACTTTTTATTGATTGAGATATGGTCTTTTAATTTCTCTGATTAAGATTCATAAATCTCACAAAAGTTCCATTCACACTTATACTCAACTCACCCTAACCATATTCAAAAACACTTCAATGAGTCACTTAAATCCTACTGAAATCGCCCTAGTGCTAAGTTAGTAGACCAGAGCGGACCTGTTTTGAGGTGGATGTGAGAGGGGGGCAGCAAATTTTTTCTGGATTACCTTCAGTACAACTCACATAATAAAAGTGCAGATCCCTAGATCTGGGCGAAGTCCGGAACATTTTCAAAATTACAAAAAATACTTAAAAAATTTTTAAAAAATACCTAGTTTTTTACTTATATTTTGGAACCTGTGCATTTTGGAAGAATATTGAAAAGGAAAAAAAAATTTTAATTGAATTTTGCACAATATACTGTAAGTTAAAAATGTTTAAGTTTATTACCAATGTTGCAAAATAGCTATAATTGATGAAAAAAAGGGCAAAATAATCAAGTATTTTGGAGAATTTCTTTAAAATATTGTAATTGCTCCTAGGGCATTGTAATTCTGGTAAAAAAAAAACTAGATTATAATAAAACAACACCAAATTTCATTAAAATCGGTTAGATGGTTTTCATAAAATATTTTTTTTTAAAAACCTTTGAAAAAAATTTTCTAATTTTCAAAATGTTGCACAACCTCAAATAAAGTATCTAAATACTTGAAAATTTTTTCACATAGAAAAGACCACTCAACCTTTCAAATGATTTTTGAGAAATTGAAGTCGGTTGATTAGGACGATCACAGTAAATTTTTAAAGTTAACAGTCTTATTTTTTATTTTTAAACAATTAGATTACATTTATCAATTCGCAATTTAGTTTTTTTCAAAAATTATAATTTTAAAGTACTCGGAAATACACTCTATTAAAAAAAAGTTAAATTCCGTTTATTGGTTCTAATCTTTAATCTAGTGGCTTCATTTTTCCGGGTTCTAAGCTTGTCTTATCTTATCCGTAAGTTATCGGCAACATAGATATCTCAGCGGAAAAGCATGAAAAGTGGGAGAGGGGGCTCCGAGACTGGAATTCGGAGATTGCGAAGGTACGAAAAAAATTGCATTATCTCGGCTTCTAATGGACCAATTTTAATTTTTTTTTTAATCTGTTGTCTCGCGAGCCAAGGAATTCGAATATTGTAATGCCTGTAACTGTCTAATTTGCACATATTTTGTTATAAATAGAGTTTATTATTTATGCATGTATATTTTATCCTGTTATTGCATTTTTTCAATGAAAAAATTTGTTTACATATATATTTCAACACTCCGAATTTGAATATACTTAGTTATAATTATTACAATTATTTAAATAATATTTCTTTAAACAAATTAATAAAAAAAAATTTATTTCGAAATTAATTTTATTGTTAAATACAGATANTGTAGGAAATATAGAAACTGTTGATCAGAACCTTTTTCGGCAAGTTGTTCGGACGGACGAAAGTCGGTTTGTCAGTAAAAACTAAATTGCGAATTGATAAATGTAATCTAATTGTTTAAAAATTAAAAAAAAGAGTGTTAACTTTAAAAATTTACTGTAACCGTCGTAATCACCGATTTCAATTTTTCAAAAACCATTTGAAAGGTTGAGCGGGCTTTTCTATTTGAAAAAATGTTCAAGTATCTAGATGCTTTATTTGAGGCTGTGCAACATTTTGAAAATTCGAAATTTTTTTTATTATTTTCAAAAAATTATTTTGCGCAAACTGTCGAACCGATTTTAATGAAATTTGGTGTGTTGTTTTATTATACTCTAAAGTTCCAAATTTGACCCTAAATTGTTTATATGTATCTACCT